TAATTATTAGAGTTGCCAGCCGTCCTGTAAAAAACAGAATCATCCCGTATTCAGAGAAAATATTACGCGTTTCGTATTGAGGTGAAAAGGAACATTTTGTCCCGGACTTCAGCTAGAATGAAAAAAGACACAAAGGTGGATTTATTCTGTCGTTACGCTGCACAGCTGCCTCTTCTTCTCTCATTCTCTCCTGTTTCTACTACAATCATGAAACTGATCAATGATCAGCTGATCGGCTTTTCTCTTGTTTGTTTATCGCCCACTTCACGCCAGAAAGAAGAAACCAGCGGATGTTGCGCTAAACAACAGCAACACGTTTAAGCTTGATCAGCTGTTGTTAGAATTTATTTAATATTAATTTCTAGTATCAGCTGATGTTTGCTGGAGCCACAGCTGTAAAGCTGCTGGTCATGATGTCGGTTTGGATATGTGGTAAGAGGGAAACATGAGGATGAAACCAGGAGATGTCCTTACTGAATCATCAGAGCTGTGATGGAGAAACAGGTTTACCTTTTAGGTGACATGGATGAGTTGAAGGGAAGTTATGAACTGTTTCTGAGAGACAAATAACCCCAGGATCCTTTTTTAGGTAGCTGACTGTGCTAGCTGGTAACTGTGCAGGGGCGGATCTAGCAAAGTGTTGCCAGGGGGCCAGGTAGGGCAATAACAGGGAAAGGGGGGCACAAAGAAATACTTTTCTTTCTTATTCTCATTTAAAATGTCTAGCTTTTAAAAAATAATTATCTGAGTCTTACAACAAACGATTGATAGATTGATACATATATACCATCAGAACAGTGTACATCACTGTCACAACAGTGTTTGTTCATTCAACCAACTGTTAACTAGGGCTGAACGATATATCGCATTTGCGATAATATCGCGACATGATCAAGTGCAATTTTCTAACCGCAAAGGCTGCGATTATACTCTGGACATGTCCAAATTCATGGGCTGCATCCTCCTGAGGCCGCATTTGTAGACCGATTACGTCACAGCGACGTGCCGAAGGCTGTCCAAATTACTACCATATCCCAGAATTCATAGCGCGGCCCAGCCAAACTCCAGTTTCCAGCAATGGCGGCCGCTACTAAGTTTTAAAATTACTCATACTAATCTTTCTGGGTCACAAAATAAACTTTTAACATATTTTCAGGCGAGAAAGTAGTTGTGTAAACATCAAATATCTGCTCGGTTTATCAAGATATCCCATATTTGCAAAAGTGCTTCGACGTTTTCAGAGGCGTCTGCTACCCACCAGCTCGACAGCTAGCCGGGAGCTCGAGGGTTACTGATGCGGCCGAGAGCGGCACAACTCCCGGCACATCATTTTCAGATCACCGCGGAGTTTCGCTGCTCGGGTTAAACGTAATATATAAGTCACTTAGACAACCTAAAAATGTTATTGTTGGGCTTTTTTCAGTGTTTTGTTTGTTCGTGAGTAAATCGGTTTGGCTGAGATTAAAGTTATTAGATTAGATAAAATAAAACTTTATTAATCCCCCGGGTGGGTTCCTCCTTGGTTTTCACACAGCTGACTAAACGTCAAACAGAAAACTTATTAAACAGAAGTATGAGACAGTCGAGAATTTACACCAGTGTCTGGTTATATTTTAGATAGCAAGAAGCAGACGGCCGAGTTTATTAAACTCCACCGAGACAGCGGTGACGCTAATCAGAACTAGACCATCCAATTTCACGCCTTTAAATTTTAAAGGCGTGTTTGTGTGTGTGTTTATACAATTGCTATTATGTTTGCACTTTATGTGTAATGTTACTGACTGCAGAGATCAGTAAGATGTGTGTATTTTTTATTTATTAGTTTTATTTATTTAATATTATTTTTTAATTGAATGACTGTCTAGTAGTTCACAGATGTCGAAAAACTGAGTGTGGTAAAGCCACTGATTTTTTTATGTATATTTCTGCAATCTGCACATTGTACTGACTTTCATTTTAATGTTTACACCAGGGTTCCTTGCCAGCACTTTATGCTCAGATGTTTGTAAGCTAAAAATAAACTATTGTGTATGTTCAAATATACTGTTGTGATTGAAGAAGTTAAATAAAAATGTCAGTCATCAATTCATGCATCACCTCATGTCATCATAACAGAGGTCTGTCTTCCAGGAAAGAACAGTTTAAAATTAATGTAATATAGTATTGGCCATACTATATGATGTATTGCTTGTCTTTGTTTAATAATACAGAAGACAAAGACCTTAAAAAATAATCGCATCGCAATCGCAATATTGGGGCAAAAAATCGCAATTAGATTATTTTCCATAATCGTTCAGCCCTACTGTTAACTATATTTCTGTACATTTACGTATTATGATTCATATTTCCACATTCAGTGACCTTGTTTATAGGTAATTTCATTGTTTGATTGCGTAAAAATGTTCCTAATTTAATGTCTAAAAGCACTTGGAAAAGGCAGAATCCCATGTCAAATTAGCGCAACAAACTCTATTTTCATTACTGAAAATAACCGTATTTTTATGGGACAGTTATTTTCTGTTATTTTACGGTCGCATTTTGGCGCCCCAGCAGCCGGAATATTACCGTTTTTTTAAGATGTTTTTTCCCCTATTTATAGATGATTTCATTGTTTAATCACATTAACATGTTCCTGATTTAATGTTTAGCGGCACTTGAAAAAGGCGAGATCCCATGTCAAATTAGCGCAACTAATTGTATTTTCATTACTGGAAATAACCGTATTTTTATGGGACAGTTTTTTTCTGTTATTTCACGGTCGTATTTTGGCGCCCCAGCTGCCAGAAGATTACCGTTTTTTTAGGATGTTTTTTTTAACAGTGTAAAACAACATATGAAAATGCGGGACTTTTGCCCTTTCACAGAGCAAGCAGTATGCGTTGTGTTGATGACTAGGTTGAATGGATGGCACAAAATAAAAAGGCCCAAGCCATAGAAAATAATGTATTTTAGAGCTGAGTGGCGCTGCGGTCAATCGCTGCTGTGATTACTAGTGAGAGGTCGCATAAATGGCAAGTATGGGATGAATCTAGGCCTTTTCTTCCCCAAATGTAAAACATACATTAGTGAAGTAGAGTTGCATTGTGAAACACCTTTAAACTTGTTGCTGTTATTGTTTTTGCTTTTTCTGCTGCAGCTTCATAATTATTAGAACAGGCACTGCCATAGAAAGAAAAACTATTAAAAACACACCTGTTAGCAAGCATGCAAACTTGCTCACAAGTATTTCAAATATTCTAGCCTGATGACCGACCTCTGTCTCTGACATATTTCCTGATGGCCATCTAATTCACACCCTGTTTTTTTTTCCTCCTTCCTTGTTTTGAGTAGTTCCTCTGCCTTATATGTACTATATGAACCCAATCCTTGTGTTTCAAATTTATATCACACCACAAGTATAGGATGAATATAGGCCTTTTTTCCCCAAATGTAAATTTATACTTTTTGCTGTTATTGGTTTGGCTTTTTTCTGCTGCAGCTGCATGATCATTACGACAGCCACTGCCAGAGCATGAAAAATATACCGGTTGGCAAGCATGCAAACTTGCTTGCAAGTATTTCAAGCATTTTCTCTTCCTTGTTTTGATTAGTTGTTGCATCTAGAAGTGGGGGAATTACTCAAAATTTTACTTTTGAACATCTGAAAATGGGATTCTGTAAAGATGTTTCTACTAGCTGAACAATTACATCTACATTTAAAATCTAAATTGAATTAAAACTTAAAGTCTGCACTTGATTCTCACATTCAGTCATATGTTTTTCATCTGAGGTTTTATTGAATATATATTTAGAATTTGCTAATGACAAGATGTTTTAGCATTTTCTGATACATAAACTTTATTCATCATGCAGGTACAAGTAATGCAGATAGACTATATTTTGCTTCTGTTAAATACACTTAGATCTGGCGAATAAACTTATCAATAAGCTCGAGGTAATTATGCAAAGTTATTAAAAATCAAAAGCTATCATCCATTACTAATCTTTGGGTATCAAAGCAAACATCTGTCATGCTATGCCTATCTGGTTCTTATTGCTGTGCAAATTTCTTAAAGTATATCTTAAAAAAAGAAAGAAAAAAAAAATTTATATATATATATATATATATATATATATATATATATATATATATATGTATATACTAAAACTATCCACTTAAAAGTAAATAGTTCTCCTGGATAGTGAACTGCTTTGGCAAACAAGTGCTTCTTCTTAAGCCGTGTGTGATGCTGTTCTCTAAATGAAGGAGGCCACGTGCACAAACTGTGCTAAAATTCTATGATGGCAAGAATGGTGACAAGAAACAGAAACTGTGTTAAGATGAGTGTCCCAGCAAAGGGCCCTTTAAGAAAAAGCCATGAAAGAAGCAAGGAGTAGAACACAAACACCAGTAGATTCACTCCTCGATTTTGACACAGGTCTTGCAAAAGTTGATTCAATTTTTTAATCCATGCTAAAACTCTGCATATATTGTATACCCACTTTATTAATTTGATTAAATTTTTCATTTTCTCTATTGCCCATTTCATTATTTTCTTTATTTTCTCTATTACCCATTCTACTACTTTGCTTACTTTAAGCATTGCCCTTGTTCCTGATATTGCTGTAAGTCCTTTTATGACTGTGGCTAGTATAAACCCTAATGCGGCTGCTATACACCCTGTTAGGGTATTTCCCAACCCTAAACAGAACCGAAATATAGCATCCACAGTGCTCCCAAATCCACTACCCCCAGTTGATTGTCCTCTTTCTTTACTGTGGTGTTTGGTTTTTTTTCCATCCAGTATTTCTTCTTCTTTTGTATGATCTTCATTTTCTTTCTCTTCTTCTTCTTCTTTGTCTTCTCTTTCCACAGCTTCTGTTTCTGTTTCTTTATCTTCTTCAACTGCTTCTATTTCTTCTTCTTCTATTTCTTCTTCTTCTTTAGCTTCTTCTATTTCTTCCTCTATTTCTTCTTCTCCTTCTTTATCTTCTTCTTCTATTTCTTCTTCTTTTTTAGCTTCTTCTTTAGCGTCTTCTTTTTCTATTTCCTCTTCTACATCTGATCCGGGAGTTAAAACTACAACAGCTGACCCAGAGAAAGCCTTTGCCACTGATTCTGATGCAGGGCCTGTAAGTTTGATCATGTCATTCTTAGAGACACTGTTGTTACTGCAGGTGTCTCCGCACTGCAACTTCCTGCTGGTGTAGCACACTCCTTTGTTTTGTTTAACTATCTGGTCTATTGTGTTGAGCAGCTCTGTAACCTGGGACTGGCTGCTGAGGTTGTCACCCTTTAGGTTGCATTTATTAATGATGTGGTATCGGCTCTTGCACTTCCTCATCAGATCACTCAGATATTTATTCTGATCTATGAATTGTTTGATCTTCATTTCATCTGAGTCTGGGCTATCCTGAGTAAAGACAACTGTAGCATATTTAAAAACTTCCTCTGAGAAATACTGGCTTATTTTCTCAATGAAAGCCTGCTGCTGCTGTTCTGTGGATTTCTCCACTTTGAGCACAATGAGAAAAGCATGAGGCCCTGGAGTGCACTCAGTGATACACCTCAGTATTTCAGGCTTCAGCTCCTCCTCTGATCTATTTGTGCAAAGTAAATCAGGAGTGTTGATCAGGGTAATCCTTCTTCCATGGACAGATTTGGACTCAGTTTGACATTCAGTGTTGTCAACCCTAAACATGTCTTGTCCAAATATGGCATTTGCTAGGCTACTTTTTACAGCTTCACTGTTTCCCAGTAGGACAATCCTGTACAATTTTTCCACTGGAAAGAAGTGAAAACAGAAAATTAATAGGAGCATTTGAGTACTGGTATGTTGTAATATTGAGCTACAAGATTAAATAGCAAAAATATCCATAAATGTGCCTGTTGTTCAGCCATCGGTCATTAGAGAATAATTGTTTGTTAACTAGAGGTTTATGGGGCACCGTTTGTAAATTGAAACATGCTGAAATTAATGGCAACATTTTTCCACATTTAGCTCAAAACCTTATGTGTACCCTGACAAAAGGTAGAAGAAAAATGGACTCTCCTGGACTCCTTCATTTTATTTACAAAAAAACAAAAGCAAAACATAAGACCAGGGGCCCGTTCTTCGTACCTCGCTTACTACATCCAAGATCAAATGACACATCCAAGATCAAATCATCGCGCTAACTCTGAGCTCGCTATTCCGGTTCTTCGAACACACCTGTTGTTGACGATTAGTATAGCTGGATGAAGTAATGTGAGATCACTGGGTGGCTTAACAGGGGCTATGCATCGATAGTAGAAACATTGATCGGCAACCCTTTGATTGGTCGGTGAAAATGTCGAAGGAGCGCGCTCGGTATTTTTCGGCAGCAGAGCAAGAACTCTTGATTGAGGGATTTCAGGAGTTTCAAAGTTTAATTAAAACGCAAGGGAACACTGCAAAGGCTGCAAAAGCAAGGAGAGAGGGCTGGCAGAAAGTTGCTGACAAATTAAACTCGTAAGTAATTTAATAATAATAATAATAATAATAATGGATTGGATCTATATAGCGCTTTTCAAGGCACCCAAAGCGCTTTACAATGCCACTATTCAGTCACTCTCACATTCATACACTGGTGGAGGCAGCTACAGGTGTAGCCACAGCTGCCCTGGGGCAGACTGACAGAAGCCAGGCTGCCATATCGCGCTATCGGCCCCTCTGGCCAACACCAGTAGGCGGTAGGGTAGATTTATTATATTACACTATATTATCCAATATTATATTACATTATATTACATTATGTTACATTATATCCTCTTTCACATTAGAGCCACAACAGGACCCACTAGAACATGGGAACAAGTAAAAGTGAAATATAAGAATATTCTACAGAATGGTAATATTTATCACTTATATTGCTTGTCGTCTCTTGGAAAGAGACCCTGAAATAATCTGTTTGTTTGTTCATAACAGCAACCAAGAAAAGGGCAGAGCAAAAAAAGACAGGTGGTGGTCCTGCACCCCCTCATCAACAAGTTGGTTAAGTGAATAATACCCTCACGGGAATATCGATATCTCTCTATGAGCACACTGTCGCGCTGAGCTAAAGGATCCTGTCTATCCCGCAATATACGCGGAATTCTGAAAACTCTCTGTTAGGTTTTGTATTGTTGATTGTCATTTATGCTTAGAAATATCTACTTATATATGCTTAGAGTTTTATAATTAGTTTTAGATTGGTAGAGGTTTGATCCTTGATAGTCTGCAAACCTTGTGTGCATAGAGAGCACTCTGGGAGCATGGGAGAGGTCGTACCTTCTCTTATTGTTTTATGGTAGGATTAACGTAGCTATATCTGTCTTAGTCTAAGTGCCTTTTGGCACACACACATACACACACACACACAGGCAAGGTACTCTTTGTTTGTATGTAGACGTCATATGTTAATGAACCTATGCATATTCATGTAACCTCAATAAAAGAGCAGTGTTACGGGAGAACGGACGAGAGCAACTGGGGTCAAGCGAAGGAACGGCGTCTGTCCGGTTCTCTCCCGTGCACGAGAAACATGAAGAACATTGCCTACTTCGTGTCTTGCTTGCTGTGTAATTATATTGTCTTCAACGTTCCAGCGAATAGGTTCAAGCTACAAACCTATCACTGTCCTTATCAATCTTGCACCTTCCGCAATGGGTGGTTTGCGTATACGGACAGGACATGGCTGCGACAGGCTTCCCAAATCCACCTTCGCTTTTATAGCCGTGGTCTCTCATCTTGATTACACGAAGTAATTTACTATTACTACTCTAAAATATGAATTACATCTGAAATAATCAAATACATGAAATAGAATGATTAATAGTACATTTCCCTTTTTTAGGAAATGACCTGTATGTATCTGTGTGACATCAATAAAAGGATCAAGTGCTGCATTATCTTTAGTTACATTGATAATATTTATTTATGGAAAAACAGTGGTAAAATATCGCTGTTGCTTTCGTATACATGAAGCGGACATACCTGAGTGGCCGCGATCTAATCCTGTTTACATAAAGTAAGCCTTCTCCCGAGCAGGTTTACGCTTACGGATCTGTTGCTATGACAGCAAGTCCCGGATGAGCTTCGGGGAACCGAACGATCCAAGATCACGCAAAATCGTCAACAATCAAATCCAGCTAACTTACTTAGCGAGGTACGAAGAACGGGCCCCAGGAGAGCAGTCTGTGGTGACGCTTTCCTCAGAGAACACAACTGAGTTAAACTCATGTCTCGTCAAATAAATTGTTACCTTTGATGTACTTTTGAGCCCCTGGTGCTTTTCCTTCCATGACAATCATTGCTGGTGGCACTAAAAAGGTAAAACGAGTGAAAATAACACATTAGATAATTCTGTTTTGATAGAGCGGTTTATTCATATTTCTTAAAAAAAAAAAAAAGGAATAAGAGGATCAAGGGCATGCTTTGCAAAGATTAGATTTGATGAAATGCCACAGATATGCTGGGTTTATCTGTTTCGTTCAGGATACCTGTAATAGGTTTGACATTTTCATCATCTTTCTGTGCTGCATCTTCTTCCAGTGGTGTTACCACTTTAACGCTCATATTTTCCTGCAAACCTGCTACACTTTGACATAAAGCTTCCATCAGTGGTCCAGCTGCAGGGCCTGTTAATTTGATCCATGCATCCTTGGAGAAGCTTTCCCTGACTTCAGTGGGGAGCTGCGGGATTCCTGGGTGTTCTAGAAGAGATAAATTACAGTCTTTAATTAATAGTGCACATTTATGTGGCTGGGATAATCTATTTTCAGCCATTTATACTGTTGCTGAATGAATGGAACACATAAATTAAATCACCAGAAGAGGTTAAAAACATCCATAAAATAATGATAGCATAGGAGAAATGTGACGCTGCATTCTGCGCATCCATAATAGGAATCAAAGTAACATATCTGCCTTTATGCAACATGTTGAGTTTGTTTGGCAAAGTCTGATCACAAGCTCCAAAATCAAAGAAAAGAAAGTTTTTCTGACATTAATGTTTCTATGATTTCATGTATATAATGCTAACTTTATAAGAAAATGTTCAAACCACCTCTTTAGATATTCTACTGCTATTTATGCCAGTTGTATACAATCTGTGAGTTTAATCCAGACTGTAAAGACTGTGAGGAATGTGTTCTGGATAAAAACATAGAGTTTAAATGCATGCATGAGATGTGCTATGTATGTGTTCAGTACGTTTATTTTCAGCACTTAATATCTTTAAGTGTCAATGTCATACATAACTCTAATATTTGTTAATTCTCTTCAATTTCCACACAGGACATCAACCCTTCAGCCACCTTCTGGTGAAAATGGTTAGTGAAGACGGTGGCAATGGCTCTGCTCTACTAATGTTTGGTTTTGGCTCCATCTAGAGGTTCCTGAAATATAATGCAATGTTGTGTCATGAACCTAAGATTTCCTGATTTTTTTTTTTTTTTTTTTTTGATGCATTCACTGCACGGCCTTTTAGATTAAATTAATGATTAAATTAAACCGTTAATTAATTAATTTAAAAAACAGAACTAATTTCTTTTGACTGCATTAAATCGTCATTAATGCAGTCTGGCTCACAGATTAAAACGATAAGTCATGTATCATAAAAAATAAAAAGCACCAGCAGGCCACGTGCTTGGTTTGGTCCGACATTTCACATTTGCCTGTACTGATTTCATCGCAATATTCTTAACGCGCCAACCTGTCGTTTCCATTGATTATTTATATAATATTAGACTTGGTCAGAGGGCCCGGTGGCGCCAGTGTTCGGCAGCCTCGCCTCTGTCAGTGCGCCCCAGGGTGGCTGTGGCTACAATGTAGCTTGCCATCACCAGTGTGTGAATGTGTGTGTGAATGGGTGGATGACTGGATATGTAAAGCGCTTTGGGGTCCTTAGGGACTAGTAAAGCGCTATACAAATACAGGCCATTTGTCAAAATGCATGTGGTTGTTATAACTGAAGAATATTAGGAATAAAATAACTTACCAGGCATGTTTGCAAAAATCAGCGAAGAGCAGAGCTTCACGACTATTGCTTGTTTCCGTTGATTCTCTGAGCTTACTTTCACTTGCTGTTTGAAACGTGGCCGTTTGGGTCTGGGGGTTTCAGTTTGAGTAGAAACAAAAAGTGAACTTGCCTGTTTTCAGTTGCTGAACTCTGCATTTACAAAATATCTTAACTCAGATGTGAGAGTAAAACTTATTGTAACTTATTCGTTTTCCAGCTCAATTTTGATTCAAGTTTGTCTTTTACAGTGTTGTAAACCATCATTATTCTTAACCTGCTTTCAGAAGGAAATGGGTTTTGATGGGTTTGATGAATGAAAGGTAACACGTGACTCATTGCCACACAATAAAATGCAGACACTAACATCTTACTGTTAATGCTTAGAAGGTTTACCCTTTTATGTAGACTAGAACAGAAAAGATAAGTGTTCCATTGGTCTTGCTATGAGCTGCTATATGATTTGATAGCATGTTCATGAAGTGAAAAATGTAAATGTATAATGTTGCATTCTTTTCTTTTTGTGCCCTTGCCACATGGTGTAAATTCAGTAGAAAGTACAGTATATACACATAACAGGTTGCAGGGAAGACACTTGTTTTATGCATAAACATGCTGGACATTAAAGTAAGGATAGAAGAAGCTCAAGTCCAATATTAAGTCAGATTTTAAGTTTTCTTGTTAATATTTGAGAAAGCCAAAACAAGCAAGTATAATCTATTATGAATAAACACAAACATATAAATGTTAAAATGGGTAAATTCCTCTTTTCTAAGTTTCTAAGTGTCCGTCTCCATAGCTGGACTGGCCATCGGGCATACCGGGCATTTGCCTGGTGGTCGGCTAGCGATTTTTTGTTTTTATGGGCCGATGGATTCCTTTTTTTTTAGGAAGGGTATGTATAATGAAAGGTGTTGGATTGGCTAATTGGTCATGATCGACTCTGGGCTGGACCAATTACAGCCGAGGAGGCGGATGCACCCTCCCCCTTGTTTAGCAATCACGTGATTTTCGCGCATTGCATGCCGGGAACTAGTGGCAAAACAATCCAAGTACCGCATCAATTGCAAGCATTTGCAGCACCGCAAAACGTTCATTCTCCGGTTCCAATACCTTCTTGTTTTTTCTTTGCCGCACAAAAAAGGAATGTACAAAACAAAAGGAGAAGAATGGAAGGGCTTGTCTCCGGTAATATGGACCTATACAAGGCTGCGTCCTACAACGTGCGCAGCGCGGTCCAAAAGGCAAAGCGGAGCTACGGGGAAAAACTAGAGTCACAGCTACGACAGTGCGACTCTAGGAGCCTGTGGAAAGGACTGCGGACTATAACGGACTATAAACGACCAGCTTCTTCAATGATGAATGCCGATGCTTCACTGGCTGATGAGCTGAACACGTTTTATGCTCGCTTCGACGCCGCAGCAATTAAAACAACAAACGGCTGCGCGCGCTCGGAGTGCACCAGTGAAGAAAATGCATTCGTCATCACAGAGCATGCCGTGAGGAACACCTTCAGGAGGGTGACCACCAGGAAGGCAGCAGGACCAGATGCAATCCCTGGCCGGGTCCTTAGAGCCTGCGCTGATCAACTAGCACCGGTGTTCACGGAGATCTTCAACCTCTCCCTGGCCCAAGCTGTGGTTCCCACGTGCTTCAAACGTTCCATTATTGTCCCTGTTTCAAAGAAACAACAGCCCGCTTGCCACAATGACTACCGTCCAGTAGCACTGACTTCAATTGTGATGAAGTGTTTTGAAAGACTGATGAGAGATCACATCACTTCTTCACTTCCTGCCACCATCGACTCACTTCAGTTTGCTTACCGGACTAATCGTTCCACAGACGATGCCATATCTCACCTGCTCCACACATCCCTGAGTCACCTGAACACTGGCAGAGGGAATTATGTTAGGATGCTGTTCGTGGACTACAGTTCAGCATTCAACACAATAATTCCCTCTAAGCTTTTCACCAAGTTGACGGATCTAGGACTCAGCTCATCACTGTGTCAGTGGATCCTCAACTTCCTCACAGACAGACCCCAATCAGTGAGGGTAGGAAAACAAGTCTCCCCCTCCATCTCACTCAGCACTGGAGTGCCTCAGGGCTGTGTTTTAAGCCCCCTGCTGTACTCACTGTACACTTATGACTGTGTAGCCACATCCGACACCACCTCCATTGTCAAGTTTGCTGACGACACTGCTGTTGTGGGCCTGATCTCCGACAACATCGAGACGGCCTACCTGGAGGAGATTAGGAACCTGGAGACCTGGTGCCAGGAGAATAACCTCCTCCTAAACATCAGCAAAACTAAGGAGCTGATCGTGGACTTCACTACAAAGCAGGCGAGGAATTACAACCCCCTCATCATCAGTGGCAAGCCAGTGGAGAGAGTGGACAGTTTCCGATACCTGGGTGTCCACATCACTCAGGACCTGTCATAGTCCTGTCACATCAACACCCTGGTTAAGAAGGCCCGTCAGCGTCTCTTCTTCCTCAGAAGACTTAGAGACTTCCATCTGCCACTGAAGGTGCTCAAGAACTTCTACTCCTGCACCATCGAGAGCGTCCTGACGTCAAACATCTGCACCTGGTTTGGGAACAGCACCAAGCAGGACAGACGAGATCTGCAAAGGGTGGTGCGCTCGGCAGAACGCATCATTCAATCAGAGCTCCCTGACCTGCTGTCCATCTACACCAAGCGGTGCAAGTCCAAAGCTAGGAAGATTATGATGGACCTCTCCCATCCCAACAATGGACTCTTCTCACTGTTGAGGTCTGGGAAGCGCTTCCGCTCCCTTAAGGCCAAAACAGAGAGAATGAAGAGGAGCTTCTTCCCCCAGGCTATTCGGGGCCTGAACCAGGTGTAGGACTGGACTCTCCCAAACACGTCACTATAAGACTGGACTCTCACACACGTCACCACACGCACCACCACACATTTCCTATAATCCTATAATTCCTATAATTTATAATCCTTATCTTTATAATCTCTTCTGCTATTTGCACATTCTTTACTGTAAATTCCTAAGTTAATTTGTAAATTTTTGTAGTAAATTGTAAATATTGTAAAACTTTTCTTCTGTCATTTAATGGTCGGGAGGAGTGAAAGGGTCAGACCCTTACGAGCACACAGAGTGGACAAAAGACGTTAGCGTGCTGCCCAACTTTATAGATTTATAATTATACGGTTCTTGGAGTGAGTGCATACACTCATGAAGTTTAGTAACTTCAGGTCACTGCAACAAGCCCAGGTACAGTTTACCGACGGATGGGTGCAGGACCTTGAAATGCACCATGTAGAACGAAAGACCATCGTACGAACAAAGGTAAGTTTACCAGTCTCACAAATCGTCTTCATAAATACAGATTCGTTAACCGTTTATTAATAGGACCTTTGAGCTCAACGGTAATTAATTAGTAGTGGAAATAATTTCTGGCAGCATTACAGAAATGTAGCAGTGACAATAATATTGTATGCTGTAATCGCACTGGACAATTAGTGATACAAAAAAACTGTTTTATCCTGTGAATAAAAGTATATGTTTTTGTCAATGTACCATGGTAATAACAGAAGCGAAACGCAATATTGTGTCAGGACAATTTACTATTTATGCACAATAAATAAAGGAGCATAGCGCGACAATTTCTGTTCAGCGCCAGACTTGCTTGTAACCTATATCACCAGTTATGTTAAGAAAAATGACGCATTAACTACTACAAAACTCTGACCTTTGTGGGAATGCTTGGAGCAGACTAACCTGTGAGCTGGAGTGTTCTGGGACGTTATATTTGGTATATCCAGACCATCCGTCGGCTCTTACTTCGGAAACATGGCTTTAAAAATTTCTCTTCAAGGACGTAATCCGATTAAAAAAAAAAAACGATCTCTTTACCCGTCGGCTTCCCGTCGCTGTCATGCGACCGGCTATTGCAGTTAATAATACAACAGCTTCTTGCCATTTTTTGTGTTTCTTTTTATCGCTGTTTAACTGGTTTCAATTGAAAGCCTGCGTGCGCTAGTACCTCTTGCCACAAGTTCCCAGAATCCTTTGCGGTTTTACCCCTGAATGACGTCACATTTTCAATCTTTATCCTGGTGGGCCGGTCTCTAGTCAAAATGCCCGGGCTGATTTTTTGTCCCAGTCCAGCCATGTCCGTCTCCCTAAAGGTTTAATCACATTTACACCAGTTTGGACTTTATTCATTGCAGCATGTGCTTTATTTTTACCTTTTTCTGTGATGTTTCTGCTGCATAACATCCTGTAAAGTCACCTTTAAGCGTGCCTGTTTCTGATTTTCCTTTTATTAAAATAATTTACATTTTAATAGTTCTCTCCCAGTATGCCAATGTTGGCACTTTATGGTAGTGCCTGCCAAAATTTCCCCAAAGGCCCTAAAAACTAAACTGTCTGATCTCTGCTTCTGTGTAATTCAGCCATTTTTGTTGTATTTCTTTCCTTCTTTCTGTATCACATTGCCATACCTGCTTCTTTGTTTGCTTGCAATGTACTTCCCGTTTCTTCAGGCAGATCCTCCATCTGGACCTGGTTTTCATCCTTTAAAGTTACTGTCAAGAGTTTGTTTTAAGGACATGAAGATGGCTGCCAATCTTATTCACCAAAACACTGATTAACTTCTTCTGGAAATACTGCAATAGCTTTAACACTACAATATGGCACAGACCAACAGTGTAAACAATACACAATACAAATTTCACTACTTGAAGAAATCATACACAGCAGTGTGGCACACATGCCAAACTTTGCATAAAATACTGAATAGTGCCTTCTGCCCTGCAGGGTCTCCTCTCAAGTGATTCATATATCAGTGTTGGGTATTTAAAAAGACGTATAGATTTCCAACAAAATGAAAGTTCTTGTATTCATTGTAGCAATTATTCAAAGGGTGAAAACACATGACTGTTTGAATTAAAAGTACTTTTTATGACTAAGTATAACTAATTATCGATACTGTCATCTTTGACAGCTCATCTCACTTATTGCTAATATATATTGTAATATATCTGTATCACTAAAGCACTTCTGGATGGATGCAAACTGCATTTCGTTGCCCTGTACCTGTGCATGTGCAATGACAATAAAGTTGAATTCTATTCTATTCTATTCTATTCTATTTAGAAGTGAGTAAAAAGTCTGAGATATATTTGTTTTATGATAAAAGCTTTATTTCTTTAACTAATACAAATATCATAATACTGTGTTGCCATTATAATGATATTGATACTGATATGACTTTAAAGCACTGTTAACAAAAGATTACAAGATGATGATCTTTCAGTTAGAGCGTGTTGGAATGCAAGTGCCCAATTTTGCCACCCCCCTGTGCTCCAGTGTGCTGACTTTATTGGCTTTAATAGTACATAATTTACTTTTTTCCCACACGATTATATGAAATCTCACACTTTGATAGCTGAGTTGTGTTGCACACATCATTTCACATTAGAGGTTAAATGCTGTATGGCAATTATTTGATCACATTCAAATAAATACATACTCACAGGCAAAACAGGCTTTTCAAATTTGGGACTGCTTTGTAGGACTTCAATATTTTTTTTTTTAAATTCAGGGTTTAAAAAAAAGGGGGGGGGGGGAGCTCAGCATTAGCTCTACTGCTCTGCAAAGCTATTGTTTACTCTCTTCTTCTCTCTTCTTCTCAGCCACTGACAAACACTAACCTGGCACTGTACACTAGGTCAGCAACATAAAGCAGGAAATTGATGGCAGTGAGTACAGAAGCAGCGATTGTTTCTGGGTCATCGTTTCTCCCGTAACTCTTGTTAAACTGGAACACAGGCCAGAGGATGGTGGCAGTCAAATACATGATAACTGCCAGGAGCCCGTATGCCGAAAGGAACTTGGAGAATGGGATGGGGAGACAGCCGGTCCACTCTCCCACACACAGCACCACCACAGCCATGGAGAGGATGAAGCAGATGCAGTACACTGCCATGCACCACTTCAGTGCTGGATGATGGTCGTATGTCACTGGGCTGCTGATCAGGATGAAGATAATACAGGCCAAAAAGGTCTGGCACACTTTCAATAAGCCCGGAGCTGTAGCCATGTAACCTGCCACCTCTCCTGGCCTTGCTTTAGACAGGCTCACCTCCCCCATGTAGGCAACCGCTGCCAGGCAGGAGAAGACTGTGGAAACTATGCGATGGTCACGGGTTTCACTGGCCTGTTGGTGTCTAAGGAAGAAGACTGGGAAGATGATGGATGCTGAAAGGCAGAGTAGGGCAGCGTAGCAGGCGACAGTGATGGGGAAGTTGGACCAGGACACTGGCACCCGGGCCTGGAGGCCGAACAACTCTACCAGCAGGACCAGCAGAGTGCAAGCGAAGCTGAACGCCCAGCAGAAGATGCACCAGTCAGCCATGCCTTGGTGGGGCAGATGAGCTCCATGTGCAGCGACGCTGAATGCCACACAGGTGAATAACAGGGCAGCTACTCGCATCCAGAGCAACTGGGAAGTAGGGACCACAATCAATGGCATGATGGGATGTTACAGTCTGTCAGGAGGTGAAAGTGACTTTAATAGTCCTGCAAGTTTCAAGACGAGTCTTGTACTGAATTTCGGATCCTGCTTCTCCTCTACTTAGTGGGCATTTGTCTCATAATCTGCAGGAAGAAGACAAAGATAATCAGAATAAAATGAAGCAAAAATGTGTTAATATGCAGTTAAGGAATAACTGTACAGTACGTCTGTGGAAAACAAAATTATTTTTGACATTTTAAAAATGTTGAAATTGTTTTAAATTTATTTATTTCTTGAATTATTCACAGTCCATAAAAAGAGTAGCTGAGTTTTCCAGAGTTTAACATTTAAGTTTAATCTTATTTCTTGTTAAAATCACATGCCATCCTGATGCTATACTAGTACTATACTAGCAACATTTTACCACTGGACTATTCATAAATAAGCTAACAGCCAAATGTACAGGGGGAATACAATACCTAGTGACCTGCAACATCAAACTTAACAATTATTAAAACGTTTCTCACCCCTGACTAACATGCCTGGGCTCTAACTTAAATTGCACAAAGCTAAAGGAATTTGTGAGGTCTGGTGTTCAGGCTGTGGCCTGTGTATGCAGGAAGCTGCGATCTGACTGCTTAATCTTCAAGGAATTGGAAAGTCCCTCAGTGTAAACCAAAGTGGGCGTAGTGCCTTTCAAACTCTCTGGAGTTTGATCCTGGTCTGTTATCCAAAGCATGGCCATTTTAGTTTGCTGGTTGGGTTGTATGTATACTGTATATTTTCAACAAATATGCTTCATTGCCTGTGTGTGCAACCTTCTATGAGCAGCTAGTTGTTCCATGAATGCGTGAGAAGAATTCTAGCCACTTGGGTGTCACCAGGGGCTGATTGTGACCCAATGTATATAAAGAGCTAACCTGGGATGTGTTCCAATAGTAAATTTTTCCTAGGAATCTTACTAACTGACAGAAGTGACCTGGAAGTATCTATTTAGTGGCAATAATGAGATCTGTTCCAGTCCTCCAAATATTTAGGAAAGGAAGTTCAGTGCTTCCTTTGTTGTCCCCTTTAGCTTAGGATACAACGGCATTATTCTTTATGAAGGGGAAGAAGAAAAAAGCTGTCCCATAATTCATTGTGACAGACAATTTAAACATTCATAAAAACAACAGACATAATAAACAAAGAGTAGTTCATCTAAGAGATGTGTTTAATTTTAAAGAACATAGGACAGATTTACTGAGTGGGGCAAAACATGCCACATTATTACACAATTACAGGTTGATCTACTAACAGTGTTCTGTAATTTATATGAGATGAGGGCTGTTCACTTCAGTAGAAAAACTCAGCCAAGAACCATGTGAATTAGTGGTTCAAAAATACCAGGGAGGGAGCATTAGACAGCGATTGATGAGTGACTTTTAACAAAAATAATCAGGTGTAAGCTCAGGTTTCACATATGCTTCTCTCTGGAAACAGCAAGGCAGCTCAGGTGAATGAGAGGGGGATAAAGGAAAATCTGTATGCTTTTGACATGAGAAATAACTGTACTGATAGAAATCACTGGGCACTATGTAAAAGGTTCTGAGGATTAGTACAGGTGGAGTCCAGTATTTATCCAGAGGAAAGCTGCATTATTACAAACAGAAATCTGTGTGGAACTGCTGATGAAAAATACCAAATATTATTGAGCATCAGACCACAAGCTGTCCCGGTTACTATTTTACTGCACCGTATCTGCAAATCACTTTAAAATCACATTCTAATAATAACAAATGCAACATTTGTGCATTAATCTAACACCTGCATTTTCACTGACATTTATTTTACTCATTTCAGATTTAGCAGGTGAGTCCCTCACTGTGCACGCACTGCTGAGAAAACCCCCAGCTCAGTTCATTTCTGCTTGAAATTCCCATTATTATTGAGGAGCATTAAGTGGGGCTTGCCTCTAAACACTCACTGTGAGGACTGAGTAAACAGTTTTAAGATTAAGAGTTTCCGCGCTGCTCATAACTTCTCATGTGCATTATCTGGCATCTTGAAGCTAATCTATAAAGCATCATGATGCCAGTGTCTACAAATTCTGCATTCTGCATTTTAGCCAAATCCCCATATACTTATGAGATAGGTAAAAGTAGGTGTTTTGGCAGACTGAGTGAGTAAGGAAATACCCTTTTACCGACATCATTTTTAATTCAAAAGAGTGAAACATCTGTTGTATTTCTAGGGTGTGGCGAATTTCACTAGAAGATAAACTCTAGCTCACGTTCAATTGCCATTAACTCCGGTGTCACATATCCTGTTGCACATAAACTCACACAAAACAGGAAGCAGCTCTGAAGGGCTAACAGCGAGTATCCAGGAAGCAACAGTAGCAACATCGAAGCAGTTTTTCAGACTAAATGGCAATCATGCCAGAATATTAGGACTATTTCGGGTATATTTTTTAACAGGGATCAACATCCAGAAAAGTTTTTTTTAAGTTCCTGTTGGAGTCTCTCAGTTTAAACACACTCCATGCATGGTGATCTAAACTGAGAGAGATGACTGTTAATATTTCAACAGCAGCATGGTACCGAGACATCAGAAAAAGGTGCGGTTGTGCGGTGTAGGTTATGTGGCCTCTTCTGCTGACAGGAAACCAGGTTTGGGTTTACGCTTTTGGTTTGGTAGCGCGCATACCATGCATACCTCGGTTCTTAACACAAACCAATCGAGGGGGTCGTGCCATATAAAGCTTAAAAGTTAAAGGGAACCACCCACACTGTTGTAAAATGGGGGCAAAGAAAGTTTCTCACAAATAACAGGTTATGTTAAATCAAATAGGCCACTGCAGGATTTCTTACCTCTCTTAAAATAACAAAGCTATGAAAGAAATCTATGCTCGTTTTCATGCAGATACCCTACCAGAGGAGGCGTGTTTATTTCTAAGAGTATGTTCTGTATAACAGAGGCGTTTATCAACCGTTTAACTGAGTAATTAAGAAGTTTTCCATGTCAGATAGCGGACATAACGCGCCTCGGTGCTATGCCTTTGTAATCAGCTCTATTCCAAGAATAGACCGCGATAAACACGAGCTGCTACGTTTTACTTAAAATCTTTCAGAGCAACATATCATTCTGAGGCGGGATCTTACCGATTTCTGAGCCACCAGGAGTTTTATTTCACAATAATGTTAAAGCTTTAAGTTCCTCGGCGCATCCCCTCTGTTATCCAGCGATATCTGTCTGCGGGCTGTGGGTCCCACGCCCCACACTGCCATATTTGGTAAAGTCTAAAACCTCCTCCACGTCCAGCAAAATCGTCACAGTTCCTCTTCTCGGAGATGGCTTACTCACATAATAAAGGAACAAATAAAAAGGTCATTTCTGGCATGTCCTCACAGATGCTTACGCAGTTGTGTCAGTAGTAGCGCTGCTGCATGGGCGTGGACGCTTGTTACTGCCAGTAAACAAATAAATGAATAAATACATTAACAGGCAGCGATAGGTCAAAAGTGTAAGTTATGTCATAATTTGGGGTTATTGTGTCAAAATTCTGACACAATAACCCCACATTATGACTATCTTGAAATTTCAAGTTACTTCTGAGTAGAAATGTCAAGACTCCTGAGTGGAATTTTACAGAGGGGAAACAGTAAGTGAGGCTGGAAAGAATCACATCAAGCATCCAGAAAATCCTCCCAGGGTTGTGCCCTCCTCTCTCCTCTCCTCCCTCTAAGCAAACCGCTGCACCCGTCTGGTACAATCGTGAAGTTCACAGATGACATGTCATTAGACTCATCGAGGATGGTGATGAGCGTGCATAAAGATGTGGGGCAAAACTTGATTTTACGTCAGCAGCACAGAAAGCGTCTGAAGGTGAGCTTAAAAAATGATTGCAGGCTACATTATGGAAGAGGTGCTACCGCTGCGTACTGTCTTTAAAAAAAATGATTAATTTCTATTGTTTGCCCACTCAAGGTTTATAGGGATTTTAAGAAGTATTTAGTTAAATTAAGTTACTTTTCTGACACAGCAATTAGATAAGTATTTGAAATACAATATTGACTAAGTAATTAGTAATTAATTACTTTTTTAAAGTAACTTACCCAACATTGGTGCTGACCCATGTGTGGGCCACATCTGGCAAACCAGATCTGGGCCAGCAAAGGGCTGTCATTCTTTGCGGTATGTGAGCCATGTGTAAGCACATTGTGTGGGGCCATACCATTTTGCTATATGGTAGTAGCACCCACAACCAAATCAACCACAACATCTTGTTAGTGTAGCACACTCCATCATTTTCTTTGGCAATTACTCTAAATTTTTTTATGTATTATGTATTTATTGTGTATTTAGGGCAATGTCTTACAGCGGTTCGACACTCTGGCCTATGTGATGACTCGTATGATTAATAATGTGTCAATAACACTAGGACCATCTCTAAAGAGACACCCACTCTAAGGCTTAAATACCTACAACTCTGTCAGTTGTTTTGGAACTCAAGAAGCTTCTTGAGTCTTCTTTTTAAGCACTCAACACAACCTTGCAAGTCAGTAAGGGGAAAAATGCATCCAAAAATATCAGTGACAATTCATTCATTTATTTTTGCATAACACAAAGGAATATGTGTGACAGAACATAGTTGATTTTCTTGTTGAAAAATATAATTGTTTAAAAGTAGAAAGTAGCTTAATTACTCTAGAAAAACAGGTTTTGTGATTTGGTAGAAATACTAGAGTACAGAGTTGATTTTAAATGAATTATTACTTTATTAAACATAATTGTTTAAATACAGAAATAATTTCTTGAGTTTACAAAAAAGACAAAACAGAAAAAAATGATTCTGATTACAGAGCAGCATGAAAATAACGGATATTTTGGGTAGTTTTATAAAATCTCATTTTTGAAACAAGGAATTTTAAAACCTGTGATGTTGTATCACAGATTCTGTGTTTCTGATTCATGTGCCATATTGGACATAGCCCTTATCTATGGTGTGATTATATGATAACAAGAATAATAACAAGCAACAGGAACAAAAATGATAAGAGGAGGGTCCAAGCAAATGGTGCTTTTAGAAAAAACAATGACAGAAGCAACGAGTAGAAAACAAGCACCAGTAATACCAATCCAAGATGTTGTTTTATCAACTCTATCACATTTCTTATTTTTTGTATTAGCCGTGCTACGCCTACTGCTCCTCCAGTGACTACAGCTGCTGCTGCTGCTGCTGCTGCCACATATCCTGCTGCTGTGCCTCCAGCCCCTGCTGTACCAGCACTTGCACCTGCTCCTGTTGCTTCTACTGCTCCTGCTGCACCTCCAGCCCCTGCTGTACCAGCACTTGCACCTGTTCCTGCTCCAGCAGCTACACCACCTCCTATAGCTGTTGATACTGCTCCAGCAGCTACACCACCTCCTATAGCTGTTGATACTGCTCCAGCAGCTACACCACCTCCTATAGCTGTTGATAATGCTCCAGCAGCTGCACCACTTGCAGCTGTTAATAATACTCTAGCAGTCACAACACCTCTTGCAGCTGTTCCACCACCTGCAGATGCCCCACCCCCTAGTTTGTTTTCCCCTGCACTCTCTTGTACTTTTTTGTGTGGCTTGTCTTCCCTTTTTCCTTCGGTCTTTTCTTGAGTGTCCTCTTGCAGTTTTTCTCCTGCTTCTTCTATTTCTTCTTGTGTTTTATTTGGTCCTTCATCTTGTTCTAGTTCATTTGATTTTCCAGTTGTTTTTTCTTCTTGTGCTTCTTTTGTTTCTTTTGCTACTTCCCTTTCACTGTTTCTTTCTTTTTTTCTTTTGTTATTTCTCCATTTTCTTCTTTTGTCATTTCTGTCTGTTCATCATTCATTTTTTCTAATGTGACATGCTCTTCATTTTTTCTTCCTCCTCCTCCTTCCTCTTCCTCTTCTTCTCCTTCTTTTGTCATTTCTGTATGTTCATCATTCATTGTAGAATCCTCTTCATTTTTTCCCCCTCCTGCTGCCGCTTCCTCGTCTTTTGTCACTTCTGTTTGTTCATCATTCGTTTTTTCTGATGTGGCATGCTTTTCATTTTTTCTTCCTCCTCCTTCTTCTTTTGACATTTCTTTCTGCCCATTGTTAGTTCTTTTTGATGTAGCTTTTCCTTCTACATTTTCTCCTTCTTTTTCATCCGTTGCAGTGCCATCTTTCTTTATTGCATTTGTTGATCCTGGAGTTAAAACTACAACAGTTGACCCAGAGAAAGCCTTTGCCATGGATTCTGCTGCAGCACCTGCAAGTTTGATCATTTCATTCTTAGAGACACTGCTGTTAGCCTTATTATGGGTGTCTGCTTGTGGCAACATCTTGCTGGTGTAGCACACTCCCTTGTTTTCTATAACTACCTGGCCTACTGTGTTTAGCAGGTCTACCACTTTAAACTGGCTACTGTCACCCTGTCCGTTGTATTTATTAATGATGTGGAATCGGCCCTTGCACTTTTTCACCAGATCACTCAGATATTTATTCTGATCTATGAACTGTTTGATCTTCATTTCATCTGAGTCTGGTCCATCCTGAGTAAAGACAACTGCGGCATATTTGAAAACCTCCTCTGAGAAGTACTGGTTTATTTTCTCTATAACAGCCTGCTGCTGCTGTTCTGTGGATTTCCCCACTTTGAGCACAATGAGAAAAGCATGAGGCCCTGGAGTGCACTCAGTGACACACCTCAGTATTTCAGGTTTCAGCTCCTCCTCTGATCTACCTGGGCCAGAGAAATCAGGAGTGTTGATCAGGGTAATCCTTCTTCCATGGAGAGATTTGGACTCAGTTTGACATTCAGTGTTGTTAACCTTGAACACGTCTTCTCCAAACATGGCGTTTGCTAGGCTGCTTTTCTCAGCTTCAGTGTTTCCCAGTAGGACAATCCTGTATAATTTTTCCACTGGAAAGAAGTGAACACAGAAAATTAATTGAGCATTTGAGTACTCGTATGTTGTAATATTAAGCTCAAAGATTAAACATTAAAAATATACATAAATGTGTCTGTTGTTAAGCCATCACTCATAAGAGAATAATTGTTTGTTAACAAGAGGTTTGTGCTAAAAAAAAATAAAAAAGGAAAAAAGATGTGACTGTGTACACTGACAAAGGAAAGAGGAAGAAAATAGGAAGCAATCAAGGATGAAATGAAATAGACATTTTAGCACGCTCTCCCAGACTCCTCCATTTTATTTACAAAAAAGAAAAGAAACATCGGGCCAGGAGAGCAGTCAGTGATGATGATTTCCTCAGAGACACAACTGAGTCAAACTCATGTCTCCTCAAGCATGTTGTTACCTTTGATGTACTTTTGAGCCCCAGCTGCTTTTCCTTCCATGACAATCATTGTTGGTGGCACTAAAAAGGCAAAACGAGTGAAAATAACACATTAGACAATTCTGTTCTTGTAGAGTTGTTTATTATATTTCTGTTAAAAAAGTACTTATCAGCTCAGGTCATTTGCTACATTGCATAGAGAGAAGTAAGGTCATGCTTTGGAAAAATGATATTAAATGAAATGACACAGAAATACTGCATTTATTTGTTTAGTTATTCAAGATACCTGTCATGTCATCTTTCTGTGCTTCTCGTAGTGTTAACACTTTAGCGCTCACGTTTTCCTGCAAACCTGCTACATTTTGACAGAAAGCTTCTGTGAGAGATCCAGCTGCAGGGCCTGTTAATTTGATCCATACGTGCCTAGAGATGCTTTCCCTGATTTTAGCAGAGGGATGGAGCATTCCAGAGTGTTCTAGAAGAGATAAATTGCAGTGTTTAATTAATCGTGTACATTTATGTAGCTGGAAAATCCATTTTCACTCATTTATGCTTTTGCTGAAACAATTGCACATATTTGTAAAATTCTTAAATCACCAGAAGAGGTTAAAAACATCCACAAAATAATGACGGCATAGGAGAAACGTGACATTGCATTCTGTGCAGCCGCAATAAGAATCAAAGTAACATATCTGCCTTCATGCAGCATGTCGAGTTTGTTTGGCAAAGCATGATCACAAGCTCCAAAACCAAAGATACTTTTTAAAAAGTTTTTCTAACCCCAATCTTTCATGTTCATATGATCTCATGTTTATCACACTAACTTCACAAGAACATTTTTAAACTACCTCTTTAGACATTCTAGAGTTACATTTATTTCAGTTGTACAATCTATAACTTTAATCCAAACTGTAACTCACTGTGAGGAATGTGTTTTGGCTGAAAATGTACATTTTAAATGCATGCATGAGATGGGCTATGTATGTGTTCTGTACATTTATTTTCAGCTCCAAATATCTGTAAGTGTCATTGTCATGCATTACTAAACTCTCTTGAATTTTCAAAAAGGACAAAAGGTCTTCCAGTGTTCTGACAAACCTTCCTACTTTGGCAAAACATCCTACCGTAAGTAGTTTATGCACATTTCTGCTGTCACAGAGTAATTCCAGCACAGCTTTAAGTAGGTGTGACGGTTTGCCACGTAACTTTGCCCATCAGAATATGCTTTTAGCTCATATTCATAAAGCCAGGATGGTTTGCCACTTCATTTTACCTGTTAAAGTATGCTTGTAGGTAACATTCACAAAGGTAGGACGATTTGCCACTTAATTTAGCTGTTAAAGTATGCTTGTAGGTCACATTCACAAAGGCAGGCACTTAATTTTACCAGTCAGAGTATTCTTCTAGCTAATATTCACAAGGGTATGACGGCTCGCCACTTAATTTCGTGTTGTGCGCATGTGCAGAAACAACAGGTAGGATGGTTTGTCAGGTAGGATGGATTCCCAGAACACCCGGACCTTCAGGTGAAAATGGGAAGACCGTAAGCAACAGCTCTGCTCTACCAATGTTTGGTTTTGGCTCCATCTAGAGGTTCCTGAAATATAATACAATGTTATGTCATCAAGCTTCGTTCTTGTCGGTTTCACTTTTGATTTCTTGGGTCTCTTTGATCCTGCATTCACTGCACGGCCTTTTAGGTGAACTGACAAAAAACGAGCTAATTTGATGTGTTTGTTTGTTTTTTATTCAATTATAAAAAGCTAGAAAATGCCATTCAAATCAAATGTATTTAATGCAATTTGGCTGACAGACTAACATAATGAGTCATGTATCATAAAAAATCAAAAGTGCCAGCGGGCTACGTGCTTGGTTTGGTCCGACATTTCTGTGATTGTGATTTCATCACAATAGTCTCAAAGCATTGTCGTTTCCTTTGATTATTAGACTTATCAAAATGCACGTTGTTGTTGTGACTGCAAGATATTACAATTAAAATAACTTACCAGGCATGCTTGCAGAATATCAGCGAAGAGCAGAGCTTGACAACCGTTACTTTTCTCCTCTGGGTTTACTTTCACTTGCTGTTTGAAACGTTGGCATGGAGAGAGCTGAGGGTTTCGGTTTGAGTGGAAATAAAAAGTGCAGCTGAATGTTTGTTTTCATTTGCTGAATTCTGCATTTGCAGAATATCTTAACATAGATGTGAGGTTTACCCTTCTATAGAACAGATAAGATAAATGTTCCATTGGCCCTGCTATGAGCTCCTATATGTCATTATTGCATCCCACATAGCAAGCAGGTCTGGCCCAGATCTGGTATCAAGCCGCCACTGCTGGCTGACTTCTGGCATGGTAAGACGCATGCCATCCAGATATGGGCCAGGTCTAGTATAGACTGCACTGTCTGTGTCATGGCATGCCACATCTGGCCCGATTGTGGTTCGGTTTATGTGGGCCAGGCTCATAGGAAACAGGTCTGGCCAGGATCTGGCATCAAGCTGGCACTTCTGACTGACTGGTGTCATGGCAGGGTGTATGTCAACCAGATGTGGGCCAGGTCTGGCAATGGTGGCACTATTTATGTTCATATTTTAGTTGGAACCCCAAAGTGCAATGTTAATACTATACTGCTATGGTAGCCAACGTTACAAATTCAGTTATGACAGGTTTGTGAGTTTACAGTTTATCCAAAACCTAGTGAGGGTTTACACATGTTTACCACCAGGTGGCTGTAGCTCAAGTGGTAGAGCTGGTCACCTACTGATCGGAAGGTGAGTGGTTTGACTCCTGGCTCCTCCAATCTGCATGTCAAGAGTATGAATGTAATTAGGAAACACATAAAGTGTGTGATTGGGTGAATATGGCATGTTATACAGAGTGCTTTGAGTAATAAGGGGGAAAGGAAAAGAATCAGTTAATTCACTGTCTGAACAGAGGTTTGTCATGTTACTTTTGCACTATTTATTTTCCTGCACATGTTGTTATTACATGGCTTGATTAAGGTACACATTTGGCTGACATCTGGGCCAGCACAGAGCCAGCTGTATGTCTGCAACTGGCCTTGTGCTGGCCCATGTCTACCTCTGGCAAACCTGATCTGGGCCGCCAAAGGGCCATCATTCTTTGCGGTATGTGGGCCATGTGTAAGCACATTATGTGGGCCAGATCTGGGCCATACCTGTCATGGTCTCCGTGCCTGCCCGGCCGGCCCCACAAGGCTACATGTGCTGTTTTGGTTCTCTCTCTCTCTCTCTCTCTCCCTCTCTGCCTGGGCGGAGCTCACTGTGGGCTCCCGCCCTTGGCCCACACACCTGACAAACAATCACCTGTCATCACCAGGAGCACTATTTGAGGCTGGAACACAGATCCTCTCGTCGCTGGATGATTGTACTAGTGACGTTAGTGTTTCTCGCAGCTCCTGTGAACTCGTGCTTAGTAATTTGTGATTTGTTTGTTTTTTGGAGACGTCTAACCGCTCTGCGCCTGAGTTCCTACAACCAGATTGTGACAATACCAATTTTGCTACGTGGGATGTTGCTATGACATGAAGTGGATGATGTAAATGTATAATGTTGCATTCTTTTCTTTTTGTGCCCTTGCCACGTAATGTGTCATTTAGGTAGAAAGTACAGTATATAACTACACATGACTGGTTACAGGTAAGACACATGTTTTGTGCAGAAAGATGCTGAACATTAAAGGATAGAAGAAGCACGTGTCTAATATTAAGTCAGATTTTACGTTTTCATGTTAATATTAGTTTTATTCACCTTGCTACTACATCATTAATTTCAGAAAACCAAAAAAAGAAACTATAATCAACTATGAATAAACACAAACATACAAATGTTAAAATGGGTAAATTCCTCTATTCTAAGTGTCTGTATCCCTAAAGGTTTAATCACATTTACACCAGTTTGGACTTTATTCTTTGCACTTTTTTCTGTGATGTTTCTGCTGCATTACATCCTGTACAGCCACCTTTAGGTGTTAAGCTTTTCTGATCTTCCTTTTATTAAAATAATTTCCATTTTTAATAGTTCTCTCCCAGTGTCACAATAGTGTCACTTTTTTGTAGTGTCTGTCAAAATTTCCCCAAAGGCGCTAAAAACTAAATCGTCTGATCCCTGCTTCTACATAATTCAATAATTTTTTGTTGTATTTCTGTCAGCCCTGCTTTCTCTATCACATTGCCATACCTGCTTCTTTATTTGCTTGCAATGTACTTCCCGTTTATTCAGGTTGCTCCGCCACCTGGACCTGGATCCTTTAAAGTTTCTTTCAAGATTTTGTTTTACAGGCATGAAAATAGCTGCCACACTTATTCACCAAAACACTGATTAACCTCTTCTGGAAACTGCTGTAATTGCTTTAACACGGCAATATTGCAGAGACCAACAGTGTAAACAATAAATATTAACAAATTTCACTACTTAAAAAAAAATCAAAACTTTGCATAAAGTTCTGAATAGTGCCTTCCACTCTGCAGGGTCTCCTCTCAAGTGATTCATGTATCAGTGTTGGGTATTTAAAAAGACGTATAGATTTCCGATGAAATGAAAGTTCTTGTATTCATTGTAGCAATTATTTAAAGGGTGAAATCACATGACTCAGAATGTATATTCTTATTTGAATTAAAATTACTTTTTATCACTAAGTGTAACTAATTATCAATACTTCCTGTCATCTTTGACAGCTCATCTCACTTATTCCATTTCCTTTCCAAGTGAGTAAAAAGTCTGAGATATTTGTTTTATGATAAAAGCTTTATTTCTTTAACTAATACAAATATCATAATACTGTGTTGGTATTATAATGATATTGATACTGATATGACTTTAAAGCACTATTAACAAAAGATTACAGGATGATGATCTTTCAGTTAGAGCGTGTTGAAATGCAAGTGCCCAATTTTGCCACCCCCCTGTGCTCCAGTGTGCTGACTTTATTGGCTTTAATAGTATATAATGTACTTTATCATGATACATAATGTATTTCATTGTGAGAAATCTCACACTTTGATAGCTGATGTAAGAGTTGTGTTGCACACATCAAGATTCAAGAAAACTTTATTTGTCACATGCAAGTTGCCCTGCAGTGAAATGGGACCCCCCGACCTTACATACACAACACAGACATCACATAGGGAGACAGGTCGGAAACCGGTAGTATTACGGAAAACACTGAAATGTACAATACAATGGGAAAGTCCAAGAGGGGAAAAAAGAGACCTCTACTCATGCTGTGCTCCTATGGGAGGACAGCATGAGATCAGAAAACAAAAAAACTCCTCTACACAGAAAGCACATAAATGTCCACAGCACAACATTATGGAGCACGTGACAAGCAACAGGGGTGGGTAGAGGGTGAGGAGTAATCCGAAACATTTTTTCCAGAATTTTTTCCAGCGCTGGGCCCAGACCCATTGTGTTCTCCAGGAGGAGACAAGCATCGAAGGCGTTTGGAAAGGGAGGAGGGAGGAGTGCGTATCAGTGTATGTGTATGTGTGTGTGTCCAGAGTTCAGCTGAGACAGTGTCCTTCGCCCATCATTTCACAGTAGAGGTTAAATACTGTATGGCAACTATTTGATCACATTCAAATAAATACATACTCACAGGCTTTGCAAATATGGGATCCCTTTGTAGGATTTTAAAGATTTTAAAAACGTTTCAGGATTTTTAAATTAGGAGAGGGGGGGGTGGTCAAAATTAGCGCTACATCTCTCCACTTCTCAGCCACTTACAAACACTAATCTGGCACTGTAGACTAGGTCAGCAAAATAAAGCAGGAAATTGATGGCAGTGATTACAGATGCAGCGATTGTATCTGGGTCATCGTTTCTCCTGTAGTTAAACTGGAACACAGGCCAGAGGATGGTGGCGGACAAATACATGATAACTGCCAGGAGCCCATATGCCAAAAGGAACTTGGAGAATGGGATGGGGAGACAGCCGGTCCACTCTCCCACACACAGCACCACCACAGCCATGGAGAGGATGAAGCAGATGCAGTACACTGCCATGCACCACGTCAAAGCTGGATGATGGTCGTATGTCACTGGGCTGCTGATCAGGATGAAGATAATACAGGCCAAAAAGGTCTGGCACACTTTCAGCAAGCCTGGAGCTGTAGCCATGTAACCTGCCACCTCTCCTGGCCTTGCTTTAGACAGGCTCACCTCCCCCATGTAGGCAACCGCTGCCAGGCAGGAGAAGACTGTGGAAACTATGCGATGGTCATGAGCTACACGATAGAACAACTGGTGTCTAAGGAAGAAGACTGTGGAAACTATGCGATGGTCACGGGTTTCACTGGCCTGTTGGTGTCTAAGGAAGAAGACTGGGAAGATGATGGATGCTGAAAGGCAGAGGAGTGTAGCATAGCAGGCGACAGTGATGGGGAAGTTGGACCAGGACACTGGCACCCGGGCCTGGAGGCCGAACAACTCTACCAGCAGGACCAGCAGAGTGCAAGCGAAGCTGAACGCCCAGCAGAAGATGCACCAGTCAGCCATGACTGTGATGGGCAGATGAGCTCCATGTGCAGCGGCGCTGAATGCCACACAGGTGAATAACAGGGCAGCTACTCGCATCCTGAACAACTGGGAAGTAGGGACCACAATCAATGGCATGATGGGATGTTACAGTCTGTCAGGAGGTGAAAGTGACTTTAATAGTCCTGCAAGTTTCAAGACGAGTCTTGTACTGAATGTCGGATCCTGCTTCTCCTCTACTTAGTGGGCATTTGTCTCATAATCTGCAGGAAGAAGACAAAGATAATCAGAATAAAATGAAGCAAATATGTTTTAATATGCAGTTAAGGAATAACTGTACAGTACGTCTGTGGAAAACAAAATTATTTTAGACATTTTAAAAAAAATTTAATTTTTAAAAAATTATATTTAAAATTATTTTAGTATTATTTATTTATTTGTATTTTTATTTCATTATCCTTTTTATTATGTACAGTCCATAAAAACAGTAGCTGAGTTTTCCAAAGTCTAACCTTTAAGTTTAGTCTTATTTCTTGTTAAAATCACATGCCATGCTTAGTATTTCTCATAATCAGTTAATAGTTTTCAAGCACTGCTTTAAACACTTTATTCATGATGAATAAGCTAATGTACAACACTTTTTATTAATTATGTTTTCATGTTCTACAACTCATTGATTAATCATTTATAAACGCTACTCTGCATCAGTTACAAACCAGTCATTTCAGGATGCTCAATGCTATACAAAATAACTGGTAAAAGGTAAGTAGATGGTTAGTAGTCCTATATAATACTATAAACTCTACATGTACTACACATAGTAGTTTCATACTAGATGTTTTATAAACACTGAATATCAGGGTTTCATCACTCATATATAGCTTAACAGATGTCTTACAATATATTTATAACTGTCACTTAAAGGCTGCCAAAGCTGTAACTCACTATCGACCAACTTCTTTTTTGATAGATTATCTAAAATGCTCATAAATACCTTAATAAACTTATTTAGGAAGTTACAAACCATTTACTACTTGTTAGTAAAGTATCTTGAGTGAGCCCATCTAAAGTGGGGACCATATATACCGTACAACCTATTTATAGATGTGAACGTTTTTAAAGTACATTGTAACAAAAAATAAATGACAACACACAGGGTAGATCCAGAACGCAATGTATTTTTAAGATGCCAATCACAAAAACATGAGAACAACGCTTACAGATTGGACACACAAATTTTGATACAAAAATAAAAAGTGTCATAAACTATCAGCCAATGTTTGAGGTAATACAGAACATGGCTGGATGCAAACTATATGACTTGTAGCTCTTTACATAAAGTGTATCACATGTATGATCATTAAAATTAAACTACAAAATTTATAAAATAATGAAGTAACATTCAAACCAAAATCAGCAGCAGACATGGTGCCTCCTCTTTTGAACAGCCTCAAAATCTTGTTATACCGGTTGACCACTTGCTTCGGATTCTGGACTGCATTTGAGAGAGCATAATCATTAATGTAATAGTGTGGTAATGAAACACACCACATGCAAAATCAAACTGTTAAGTTAATCACTTGACTTCTTGTTCTTGGTTTTTGGTCATGTTTCTTTGACTTCTTGTGTTTTTTTGCTTTGCCCTTCATCCTCTTCTTCCTGTCTTTATCTGATGAAGTTGTGCTTATGGAGGAGTCAGAACTCTCATCAAAAGACCCATCAGAGGACAGTGAAGATATGCACACTTAAAATCAATCCTTTGATTTTTCTGAAAATCGACAGTGCCCCTTATAATCCCGTGTGCCTTATGTATGAACTCTGGTTGTGTTTACTGACCTCGAAGCGATTTTATGTCGTACACGGCGCTCGAAAATCTGTCAAATGTTTTAGTACGACTTTGCTGAGCTACGAACCCGCACCGCTTGATGGATTGTCGGAGCATTACGGCTATCGTAGTCAGGCGCCTCGCGGAGTGATACGTACTGTGCTTCAACATAATATTAGGGTATTGTGTGTGTATAACCTCTTTTTAAGTTTTGTGGATATTATACATGGTTATGCTGAGGATATGTTGGCCAGTTTCCACTGGAAATGCCTTTTGGTTCAACTGTCAGCAAGGAATTTGCACTGTTACATTTTTATATAACTTTAATGCACATAAAAAACAGCTGCTTGTTTAAGTGAAAATACATTGATGGGGTTTTTTGCACTAATAACGTTGTGGAGTTGTAAAGTATTTTGTCTAGTGTCAATTATATCGTCAGTTATATCATTATCGCAAATTTTCAAATGTATATCGTGATAAATATTTTTGGTCATATTGCCCTGCTCTAGCTTATATGTCACCTCCTTTATTTGTTGATGAAAACAAACTGAAATGAAGTTAGCGTCATGCATTGGGATACTGAATTGTATCGTTGACATAATTGCAATTGAACTGATATGCGAGTAGGGCTGGGTACCAAAACACGATACCTTTTTAGTACTGACTGATTCAGTAGGTATCGATACAGAAAAAATAATATTTTTGGCACAAAATTTCTGTACTTTTCTAATTAAATCTCTGTTACTGAGCCTCACAAGTCCTTTTCTTCTGCTGCTGCATATCGCATACCAGCAGTGGCTTCGCACATGCGCGATTCATTTGCAGTCTGGATGCAGTGGGTTAAAAATCATCTGTTCCATATTCCACTCTGTCACCAATTATCAGAGGCAACAGCCTTAAAAATTTCCAGTTTTGTATTAACTGTCCTGAGAGTTTGTTTGAGGAGTGACCTCACACGGCTTTGAAGAGGTATCAAAGTCAGAGTATTTAAACTGTTTAATGCTCTGATTTAGAATGGAGTGGGTCAACCATTCTTTTTTTTTTTTTTACAAAAAATTTAAAAAACAGCACAACATCATATGACAAAATGCCCTTAAAATGTTGTGTCCTGATCAAAATGGCAAACCTGGCTGTCAGATGTGAAAATCTTTTAAACAGTTGAAAACTGACTCAAATTTTATTCCTCCTATATCTGGTGTACCTTCAGTCTTGAGGTGTTCAACAGGAGAGTTGTACATCTCTATGGTGCATTCTGCACCACACTAATGACACTCTAATGACACTTACAATGAAATTGAAGGTTGTTGGTTCAGTGCAGGGTGCTGCTGGCCTCCCTTGCTGAGCTGATTCAGTCTGGACTAGTGATGTTCGATTCGTGAACGAATCGTTCAATACTTGAGAATCACTTTACTGACTCGAGAATCATGATTCACAAGCCCAACTGACTCACTGACTCATCCCTGTTGCTGTTAGCAAACTAATTCCATTAGTAGAAATATATCTAGCTTATAATTAAAATTGTGGGGGGAAAAAACAACAGCCAGTTTCGTAACAAAAGCATTTCTGCTCTGAACTGGAAGAAAAACCCCTGAGTAGAAGCTCACATCAAGAAAATAGCTCCCCGGTTCAGAGTAGCATCACGCTGCTAACATGCTAACAACATGTTTTGAAGATTAACAAAGACTAACACTGAGCAGTGCTGATTTTCTAACACTGGAATATTTCTAACATTTTGAGTTATTTTCCAGTGTTAGAAAATCAGCACGGCTCAGTGTTAGCCATTGTTAATCTTCAAAACTGACTAGGTTACTTTTAAACATATAACACTGTCAAAGGTGTTAATTTAACACTCAACAGTGTTGTATTTAACACTCAGAGGTGTGGACCCATATAGACACTCTCTAGTGTTAATTTAACACTGGAGATTTTGCTGTGTACCAACAGGACAGTGTACATCACTGTCACAAAAGCGTTTGTTTTCATTCAAAGGCTTTATGGTTTTTCCCTGGTGGGCTGGTCTCTAGTCAAAATGCCGGGGCTGATTTTTTGTCCCAGTCAAGCCCTGGGTACACAGTGGTCATAAACGGATAGAAATGAATGGTTGAAGTTCGAGGAGAGGAGTAAGCAATTAACTAATAAGAAAAATTATGTTTAATGATCAAAGTTAACTGATGAATCCCTGAGATTCTGAATTTGAATGTGTTTTTTTTTTCAATGATAAGGAAGATTAAAACACAATCACTTGTGACTCATGATGTGCATTAAAGGGTTAAAAATCACTGTAAAAGCACACAGACGGTGTTATTGGTTCTACAATAGAAAAAAGCCTTTTGCCATTATTATCCCACAAAATTTAGTTTCATTATAAATAGCTGTCTTATATCAAATCACAATCAAATCAAAATTTATTTATATAGCACATTTAAAAACAGCAGTTTTGATCAAAGAGCTTCACAAGTTACTTGGTGAGACTGTAGAACTTAAAGAAATAAACATTTTTTATTTTTAGTAATCGCTCGTATTTACTGTTAAGATATACTGTTTTATCAAACAGTCTGAGCTTGTTAATATTAAAACAAAATTCACCGTAATTTTCACAATAATTCTAACAGTGTTTTGACATTTTGTTAAAATGAAAAGCACGGTATGTTTTGAGTAATTAACATACAGTTGTAAACTGTAAATTCAAATAAAAAAGCTGGAAAGATTGTCATTCATACAGAATTATTATGCAAATTGTGGGGTGATTAATTGTAGATAATGTTAAAGATTTTTCCTGTTGTTTTCGAAGACAAAAAAAGCAAATAACCGTTTGTCAATATAAAGTAATTTAACATAGATATTACAAGCATTTCCCCTTTTTGATTTTAGGCAATTAACCGTTGCCATTTTACAGTTATTTAGGGTAATTTTTACGTACATTTCTTATTTCTAGGGTGTGGCGAATTTCACTAGAAGATCAACTCTAGCTCACCCCCGCCCCCATAGGTCACGTTCAATTGCCATTAACTCCGGTGTCACATATCCTGTTGCACATAAAGTGACTCAAGAAGCAGCTCTGAAGGGCTAACAGCGAGTATCCAGGAAGCAACAGTAGCAACATCGAAGCAGTTTTTCAGACTGAATGGTAATCAGGCCAGAATATTAGGACTATTTTCAGGTGTATTTTTTTTTTAACAGGGATCAACATCCAGAAACACTTTTTTAAACTTCCTGTTGAATTATCACGGTTTAAACACACTCCATGCATGGTGATCTAAACTGAGAGAGATGACTGTTAAATTGCAGCAGCAGCATGGTCCTGATACATCAGAAAAAAGGTGCGGTTGTGCGGTGTAGGTTATGTGGCCTCTTCTGCTGACAGGAAACCAGGTTTGGGTTTACGCTTTTGGTAGCGCGCATACCATGCTTATAGGTTCTTAACAAAACCCAGTCGAGGGGGTCGTGCCATATAAAGCTTAAAAGTTAAAGGGAACCACCCACACTGTTGTAAAATGGGGGCAAAGAAAGTTTCTCACAAATAACAGGTTATGTTAAATCAAATAGGCTATTGCAGGATTTCTTACCTCTCTTAAAATAACAAAGCTATGAAAGAAATCTATGCTCGTTTTCATGCCAGAGGAGGCGTGTTCATTTCTAAGAGTATAACAGAGGCGTTTAACAACCGTTTAACTGAGTAGTTAAGAAGTTTTCCATGTCAGATAGCGGACATAACGCGCCTCGGTGCTATGCCTTTCAGCTCTACTCCAAGAATAGACCGCGATAAACACGAGCTGCTAAGTTTTACTTAAAATCTTTCAGAGCAACATATCATCCTGAGGCGGGATCTTACCGATTTCTGAGCCACCAGGAGTTTTATTTCACAATAATGTTAAAGCTTTAAGTTCCTCGGCGCATCCCCTCTGTTATCCAGCGATATCTGTCTCCTGGTCCTAGCCTGTTTGGCACCCCGGGCGAACACTCCCTTGCTCGTTTCTCCTCCTCTTGTTTTCTGTTTTTTCTAAACTGAGGACCTGATGGCTTTGAACTTTTCTTGTCCATCTTCCATTGGTGTTAATTTTGCACTCCAGTATGAAGACAAATCCCCCAACCTGAGGATCGCCACAACATAACCTAATAGACCTACACTTCAGTTCACATATTATTCACTTTATAGGGTTTATTTCTGTGATTTCGCACAACCCAGGATTCAAATCATGAATACATAATGGGCTTGGATTTACAACATTATGAAGCAGCCGGCCCCTCTCCCCTGTCAACAGGTTGTGTGGGAGACTTTAAATCACCAAACTGCAGTGTAGATTTATTTTCTTACGCTTCTTATATTTATTGTTTGTTTACTTGCACTGCTGTAACTGGAGCCTCGTGGTCTCGTCTCTCTATATACTGGACTGTATGTAGCGGAGATGACAATAAAGTTTACTTTGACTTCAGCAGCGAGCAGGCGCACCGAGGGCTCTCGCGCTCACTTTTCGCGTGTAGAATTTCGAAAAAACGTCGGTGCAAATTATAAGTCTGTATCATAATGTCCGCTGTTTTAGTGTTTGTTGTTTTTATTTTGTTTTATTTTGCGAGTTGTTTATTAGATGCTGCTCCAGCCAGCCAGAGAATCCCCCGCCGCCCCGCCCTCTCCTCCCTGTGCCGCAAGCAGCAGGTGCACCTCGCAAACGGAGGGCGCCCTTACTCCCAGCAAATGGGCGATAGAAAACCGATCGGTGCCTATGCCATTCCCGATGTGAGTACAAGCATTTTTTTTTCTTTTTTTTGCCGATGCCCGTGATGCCGCCCCGGGCAACCGCCCGTGTCGCCCGTGTCAAAAAACGCTGCTGCCCACGCCCCACACTGCCGTATTTGGTAAAGTGCTAAAACCTCTTCTCAGGGATGGCTTATAACTCAATAAAGGAACAAATAAGAAGGTCATTACTGGCATGTCGTGCTCCTCACTAGAGATGCTTAGTTGTGTAGCGCTGCTGGATGGGCGTGGAAGCTTACTGCCAGTAAATAAATAAATAAATAAATGAATAATTAAATCAACCGGCAGCGATAGGTCAAAAGTGTGAGTTATGTCATTTTGTGTCAAAATTCTGACACAATAACCCCACAGTATTACTATCTCGAATTTTCTAGTTACTTCTGAGTAGAAATGTCAAGACTCCTGAGTGGAATTTCACAGAGAGGAAGCAGTAAGTGAGGCTGGAAAGAATCACATCAAGCATCCAGAAAATCACCAGGGGCCTCCCAGGGTTGTGTCCTCCTCTCTCCTCTCCTCCCAATAAGCAAACCTCAGAAGACCCGTCTGGTAAAATCGTGAAGTTCACAGATGACATGTCATTAGACTCATCGAGGATGGTGATGAGCGTGCATAAAGATGTGGGGTTGAACGGTACTGTGTGTGCTGTAAAATTCTTCAGATTTCTGGGATCCACAGTCTCCCAGGATCTTAAGTGAGGACAGAGCAGAGGATAGACTTCCTGCACCAGCTTAAAGGTCAGCCTGGCTCAGGAGCTGTTGATCCAGTTCTACTCTGCAATAATCCAGTTTGATCTCTGCTCATCCATTACTGGTTTGGATGAGCCACAGGACTACAATGGTCTACAACGGAAAGTCAAAAATTCATTGGTGCCAACTTGCACTTCATGCGGGACTACATTGCAAACCAATGACACGCTGGACACAAGCTGTTCCAACTGCTCCCCTCTAGGCGCTACAGAGCACATCAGGCCAAAACAACCAGACATCTGTACAGTTTCTGTCCATAGGTCACTCACATATTGTCTACTAAAAAACCCACCGTACCTGCTACTGAACCAAAGCATGCATAACTCAAAATTTTGTGATATGATTCCAATACCTTGACTTGCTCACGGAAAAGAAAAATCATTGAAAGAAATATAACGAAACATGAAAAAATATATTTTCCATAATTTGTTAAATATGATGATATTTATTTTTTTATGAAAATATGTTTCATAAAATCTGTGGCACAAACAAGCTAGAGTGATAGCGACGGAAAAAATAAATATTTATGTCAATTATTTAAAAATATATTTTTATTGAAAAAAAAATCTTTCCATAAACGGATGCAATTCAAACTTATCCTGTCTGGTTACTGTCCGGTTGTAGTACACAACCCTGACCAAACGAGAGCGCTGTTTACGCTCTGTGTGTACGTCGTGTGATCCTTGAGGATATGGTGGTGGATCAGCAGCCAGACAAGACAGCAAGATAACAGCACAGCATACAGCTTAATGTCAAGGACTTTGGAGAGGAGATAAACATATGCTACGACGATTATTAATTAAATCCGGGTTTTTGTGGCAGACCACGAGAGGGAAGCAGATTCTGCTGTAACCGCTGTGTATTTGGAAAGAAGACCTGAGGAAGAGCTCTTACTGGAATCGCTTTGCCTTCTCGCTAACTAGCTAATATGCAACTCTGCGTGTGAATTTGCACGAAAACAAGACTGCTGGATATAACAAGCCGGGGCTTGCATTGACTTCCCTCCCCTTTCCTTTCTCATTGTGATATCCACCTGCTCACATGCAGCTAAAGTCATGCCGGTCTTTCGTCTTGCAGATATAGCCGGTTAGCAAACTAGCTCGGAGGCTCGGCAGGTGAAAGCCGGGCACGCAGCGCTTCGGTTCTGCGTGAGACACAACGCCATGCCGCTGGTTGAAAGAGGCCGATTCGTAGAGCTGACTTCACCGAGCTAACGCTAGCTGCAATTAGCAGGCCGCTGCAATCATCTTCAAGTCAGCTAATTACACAAAGCCACAGGTGAACGGTGGAGATCACCTTTCGCTTTCTTTCTTTGCTGTGCTTACTTGTATATAAGCTCCATCTGCGGGGTGAGCCAATACCCAGTAATCTGCTAATCGGCTAGCCCTTTAGTTAGACAGTAGCGTTAATGCAAAGCCATTTGTAGCGTTTTGGTTTTGCTGTTGTTTACATTGTTAAGAAAAACAGACTGTTTTCTGTAGCTTACAGCTAGCTCGGGTGAGTGATAAGGCTGTTTGTAAACGTGTATATATATATATTTTTGTTTCACTAATACACGCAGTTTGATACTTGTGTATTGAGTAATTTGCACTAGATAGCCACATGTACATCACTACAGATCATATCATATTCACTTTGTGGTGGCTTTATTATTTTTAAGCATTATCAGTGAAAGCAAAGTGAATGAGCAGTACTCATTTGAATGGGGTTATTTAGTCTGGGATCTCTGCTGAAGCCTCCACATGTAAACAAGTCTGAGTCAAGTGAGTGTCAGGTTCGCATTAGTATTTCTTTTTAACTGCACGTAATCACCGAATATCCAGTTAATCCTCTGAACGTTATTTATCCATGTTGAAGCAGTTACTTTAAACCTGACACAGACAAAAACAAAAAACAGCAACAAAAAACCCAAAAATGGGATGTTGTTGACCTCCTGGAGCATAGCCAGACATATCAGCCCATTCATTCATGATTGATGATCTTTGTGGAAGTAGGTTGTCCTCTATCCATTTGCCACTAATGTGAGACCTCAGCACCAAGCCACCAACGATCTGTATTTAATTTTAACCACTAATGTAAAGGGGTGAAGACAAACCCTGGGGAGATTTGAGCGTTTATAGTTTTAGCAGCACTTTCCTTTAAATCCTACTGAGCCTAAAACTGGAACCACTGGTGTGAAACATGAAGAGCACTGTGTCTGATCTAAACCCGCAGCCCTGTAGCGTGGAGATCTGATCAAAGCGCAACAGAAAGGCTCATTGTACGGACTGATAGTTGAAGAGGAAACGGAGATCATGGTGGTGATAACAAAAGCAGCCCAGTGACAGCTTTGAATCCCACACCAGGAAGCAGAGGAGTGTCTATAAAGGCTGCAGATATGAGTCTCCGCCAACCCACCTCCACGCTGGACAGGTAGGAGCCTCACATCCGCTACACCGAGACAGTTCATGTGGGTAAAGGTATGCCTCTTTACGCCTCGCTAAAAAAATGTGGTATTCCCAGGTGAGCATTGTTTTTATCTAACGGATGTGCAGTGAGGCCACTGGAAGAACAGCTCAGACGGCTTGTTGACTTCAGGAAAAAAAGCAAAAGATTGCACAATAATGTTCATTTATGTCATTCAATCTGCATCTCCTCTAATAAAACACTGGATGTAGTGCACCCCGTCTTGTTTGTTAATGTCACCACTTTCACCATATATCCCTGCACTGTGTGATCGTCTTTGTGATGCATCTTTGTTGTTTATCATGTGTCTTTCCTCTTTCTCCTGCTGTATACTGTTTTCCCCGATTTGCACGTGCCCATTACCTCGCACTGCTGTGTCTTTGTGTGTGTCATGTGACGGCAGGGCAGCCAATAAGACAGACAACCAACTGTTCAGGTAGGACAGCTGCCCGGTGGTCGCTCATGTCAGGGTTTGGGGGTTAGTGAAGCCTACAGATTGTACAGCTGTGGCAGCAGATTTCTCAGCGGTTGGCTGCTTGTTTTTTTTCACAGTGCTTTGGAGACATTAGGAACCCAAAATACAAGAAAAAAAACATTTTATGACCTCGTTACGTGCACGATCCTTACATGAGCACTTAATTTTAAGTGATAAAGAAACACTTTGACATCTTTATCTAAATACTGCCGTTTTGTCAAAGCCGCTGCTGCAAGTATAGCTCTGTGCTATGCCTATGTCATAAGAGCTAACCCTTCTGATACCCCTCAATCTAACCTACAGCCCCAATGTTCATGACCCTGGAGATATAACTACATGTGACCATTGACCAACGCATGCAGGTTTAAATGATGGCAATGGTGTTCACCACCTGTGTAGGTGCTACGTAGATTAATTGCAGAAGTCTCAAATCAAACACCAGAAATTGAGAGGGTTCCTACTCTTAATTTGTCAGGTATGGAGTGAACTTGCATTACTGGGTAGCTTAAGCCTCGATTATACTCGTGGTCATGGACACGTACACAGACAGCTGGAGACACCACAGCCGAATATCATTTATGCTATCCTTATTTGAAGTCCACCATGTGGTGCATGTGCATAGTTGGTGCATTTAAATATCCATCCATCCATTTTCTACCGCTTATCTGGGGCCATATCACAAGGCAGCAGCCTAAGCAGAGAAGCCCAACCACCTCCTGTAGCTCATCTGAGTGAACACTGAGGTGTTTCCACACCAGCCAAGAGATGTAATCTGTCCATGGGACTACCCAGGGACATCCTCCTGGTAGAGCACTCCTGGAACACCTTAACAGGAAGGATCCTGTTCAGGTACCCGAATCATCTCAGCAACTCCTTTGTTTGTCAAGGTTATGCTGATAGTGTCTCCTAAGGCACGTTGGTCCGGGGTGAGCTACCTTGCCCAGGATAGATGTACCAGAGCCCTGTAATACCTGGGATAGGCTCCAGCCCCCCTGAATTGGATAAACAGAAGAGCATGGTTGGAAGGATGTAAACCACTGAGTGAAATTAAAGTGTTCAAGTGAAACTACTCAGAGTAGGAAAACAAAGAAAAAGGCTTCTAGAAGGACATGAACTGCAGTGATGTTGGTGATTTTTGCCGTCTGCTGCAGGCTGTCGCAGTTTAAAACAAAGCTGTTCCACATTGGAGTAGTCAAAACCAGTTTGATTTGAGAATTAGAGACATTCTCAAGATAATTTTTTTCGTTCAGATTTCTTTTGTTTCTGTTTTCTGATCACCTAACCCTTAAGTAACTGATTGTTTCGGTGCTACTTGCCTATGTGAGGAGCTCTATCTGTCCTGATCACAGCACATTTCTTTGGATTTAAAATGACCTTTGTTTGAATTATTCCCTTCAACCTTCCATCACACCCCTTCATATAAATATATTCCTTGAAGTCATGGCTGCTTTCAGTGTTTACAGTCTGAAGGGCATAGTGATGGTTTAAGCAGCCTGCCCTCTCCCTCAGTCTGTTTCTCTCTGTTGTTTTCTCCGTCTTATTCTTTATTCTGACTTTCTGCTTCTTCCCCCCTTCTCTGTTTCTTCCTTCTTTCCTGTCATGCTTCGCTTTCAGCCCTTTTGCCGCTTGGTGAGTTTTCCTGTCAACTGCTATCTTGTCTCTTCTCTGCTATTCATACACTTATTACTGTTAATACCACAGCAAATATAACCGTGTGCCTCCATTGAATCTCCTTTTCTCCCTTCATTTTCTGCATTCCTGGCTAAGCTTTTTGGCCTGTTCTCTGACTTTTGATTTCTCCTCCACTGACCCTCATGTTTTTCATTTATTCCCTTCAGAGCTTCCTTGTCCCTCCCAGAGCGTTTCCTAAATTGGCCTGTTCAGTATCATGCCATACTAAAGTCTCTTTCTGTTTCTCGTCTTTCAAATCCAGGATCAACAGTTTGACAATTGGGGACTCGGAGCGTAAATCCTCTGGCCCTCAGCAGAGAGAGCCAACGGCAGAAATCATTTCTGACAGTACAGGTAACTGCGACTTATGATGGGTTATTTTTAGTTGCCGTTATATTCTTGTTTCATTTAATGTCCCCCCGCCGCTCATTACGGCTTCTTCTTCTTCTTCTTCTCCCCCAGGCACTGGACTTGTGCACAGATGTGTGGTCGTGCAAAAGGACCAGCTGGGCTTCGGCTTCACCGTGTGTGGAGAGAGAGTGAAGCTGGTACAGAATGTCCGACCAGGTGAGACAGAGATGCTGCGCCTGCGTTGTCATAGAAACGTAGACAGTGTTAAAAGGTGAACGCAGGTGCAATTACATCACCTTTTGGGTTTTGAAGGCTCATTGAGCATCGTTGCCAACCTCACCTTAGTTGCAAAACCCAGAGAGGAGTAGAGGCGGGTCTGACTGTGAAACAGCACCCTCACTGGCTAACAGCTTGTGATTGACATGTTGTTAGCCAATGAGTGAGCAGATAATACTGCAGATAATTGCCCTTTTTAAACGTAATTTAGTGAAGATTTGTTGTTCAGTATGGTAAACTGAGTCCTTCTCACACACTCAAACACGTTATGCAACACGCCACAGTCCCACCCATTCATAAGTGGACTTTTTTCTATGCTTAAGTGTTTTCAGGCTAATATTTACTCACATTCACGCCCGAGAGCAACTTGGGGTTAGTATCTTGCCCAAGGATGTTTGGCATGCAGACTGGAGCAGGGATCAAACCACCAGCCTTTATGATTAGTACATGACCTGAGCTACAGCCATCCTGTTATGATGACCCAAAACGAGTGACTGAGACCGTAAACTCGCCAGGATTGTGTTTACAGAATCCAGTTTCCCATCTGTGAACATTAACTAGCATTAAATGAATGCGATACAACAAATAACACCATCTCATTTGCTAATATGCCAGCAGCAATCAGTAGTTCTATTGTTGTAACACCACTTCGGGCTTAACGGCGGCAGTAGCTCAGCTCCAAGGACGGCAAAGTATCCTTGGAACCACGAGGTGCTCTCTGATTCGCTTATCAGAGTGAATGTGATTGAATTTTTGATAGATGGAAGAACAGTGTTTGTATGACTTTGTGTGAATGAGGCATGTCACCGTGGATTTCTACGAGTCATCGCTGTAAAGAACGCTTGTTCAAATGCAGTCTGACCCACGTGCTCTGGTTGGTGACGGATTACAGCCGTGCTGACTATGTGTGAGTTAAATCGTCCTTTATCCTTTGCATGAGTTTGAATGTATGTTTGTATGGATGCTCTTCAGGTGGAGCAGCAGTGAAGGCTGGTGTCCAAGAAGGGGACAGAATCATAAAGGTTTGTACTGCTTTCCATGTCACTGAATGTGGGAATCTGTGCTTTTTGTTCCTATTCAATAGTAACATTACTGATTCTGTCTCTCTTTCTGCTCAGGTGAACGGCTCGTTGGTTGCCTCCATGTCCCATCAAGAGGTGGTAAAGCTCATAAAATGTGAGTATATGTTTGGCTTTAGTGGTTACATGTTTTTGCTTTTCTTGTTTTAACCTCATTCTTTTATCATTTATCATTTCAAAGCTGGATCTTACGTCGCACTTACACTACAAGGGCCGTCTCCATCAACCACCTCCTTGCCCTTAGAGCCCCTCGCCACTGATCACACTCTTAATCAAAGATCATCTCTGGCTGGGGAGGCTGCACCTCCTCCACCTCCACCCTTGCCCTCTGGACTGAGCAGCACCCCCTCCCAAAGGATCACAGGACCCAAACCACTACAAGTACATGAAACTTTCAGGACTGATATCTAGTCGGTAAAGCTTACTTACCAGCAGAGTAAACGTCAGTGATTTACAGGGGTTTTTTTTTGTGTGTCACACTCATTTTTTAGGACCCACAAGTACAAAAACATGCGACTCAGATACTCAGGAAAATGCTGGAGCAGGAAGAGGCCGAGCTGCAGGTATCCATGCCACCTGTGCTATTTGTTTATCGATACATATCAGTGAGCTGCCCGTGTTGCAGAAAAATCTAGTGCATGCTGTCTCCCGTTATCACCGTGTACTTGAATAAATATTTTTTTAAGCTCCTTTGGCCTGTTTTGCTTTTGGAATACTAGTTAAGATAAAGTTGTGTGGATAAAATCTGCTGTTTATAACCAGACGGAGACTGACTTGATTTGCAGGACTTGATGGATGAGCAGCTGAGGAACCCGTCGCCATTGCTGGAGGAGCGAATTGAAAGCGCCAAGAGGAGAGCTCACCAAGTCAGAGTCAAGATTCAGCAAGATGTGGTGAGGCAACCCGGCTGTTTTACTCTATTACAGTTTCTGTAATCGCTGAAAAGCTCCTGTAACATTCACTTAATGATCTTACTAGGACAGAGCATACACTAAGACACAATAAAAAGAACAAACCATATTACTAGAAAGGCAACATGACCAGATAAATTCAGTTAAGTTAAAAAAAAATGTTTTCAGGGGAAACATCAAACAGAACGATCTGACTAACATGCTTGGTGCTTTTTTCCATTTGCATCAGGGACATAAAACAATGTCATTCTTTTAAATTGATTTGCTGCTCTAACTGTGCAGTATTGCTCTCATGAAAGACTTTAATTCCTATCCTGCAAACCCTGATTGATCCCCAAAAATGAATTAATTCTATCATAAAGGTAATAAACAAGCGTAACTTCTGTTTAAAGCTTGTGCTTCAAATCCATTTAACTCGCTTTATTTTTGGTTCGTAGGAGGGAACGAGGTCAGAATCTGTCACAGGCTACTTCATAGCAGGAGAAGGTTTGTATCTGTGGGTCTTTGTAAAGCTTCACAATATACAGTGCTGTTTAAAAGTCTCGATCCACGCGTCATCTTTCTTCTTTCTTTTTTTAAAGAGGAGTTGAGCAACAGGCTTTCTGAAAGTCTTTCAGAGCTTCTATTTGGACTTGTCTGCTTTTTCACTCATCTTCAGTCCAGTCCTTGTACCTGACCATTTTCAGAGGAATGTTTATTTTTTAAGCTACTTAACAAATAAGCTGTGTTAAGAATGAAAAAGGAAACTAACTGTAAACTGAACCTAACTAAAAGTGACAAAGATAACACAGTTTGACTGACAGAGGATTGTATGAGTCCCATAAAGATATTAGCCGGAAACTTGGCGATTCTTCGCGTTGTGTGCAGTGAGTCATTAAAAAAAGTTTCTAGAGTAGATGAGCGGTGTCTTAAAGTCGTGCCATTAAGAATCCAGTGAGGTGAGGGTCCTTAGTCATCTATAAAACACAGTGGAGGCTCTGTCATGGTGTGAAGTTGGTCTTTTGCACAGCACTCTGTGTCTTTTAAGCTTTATTCACTAGAAACTTTAATGATAGATTTGGTTGCTTCATAATCGGTTTCAATTGATTCTTTGCTTTCACAGGGCGACAATCAATAGACTCCAGTGAAGGAGACATGGAGGTAGGCGCCACAATCTCTCTTTTAATAAGCTTGTTTGTGTGTGCTTGTGCATGTGCACTCATCCCGTCCCGCTCGTCCTTCTTCATTCCCTCCTTCTCCTCGTCCTCCTCCCCAGGCCTTTGAGAGTCCCCACTCCTCCCCCTCATTTTCCTTCAGGACCCCCCTGCACCGGCGCCAGACGTCCGACATATCCACCTTATCTGATTTGGTGAGATTGATGCACATATTCACTGCAAAGACTTTTTCCTCTTTCTGCTGCTGGAGGCACACAGGACTAATGACTGAAAGAATCAGAGGATCATCATCACACGATTAAGATAAATGTGTACTGGAGTGGTAGGAGGGCATGCAGGTCGAAAAGAAAAAAAGAAAGTGAGAGAGGGAGACGGAGAAAGGGCACCACGTTAATGTATCACTTTGGAAATTTCCGATTTAGTGGTGTCATGTGATTGTTACCAAACCAGGCTGAATGTTATTAATCACTTTTATAGAGCAGAGTCAGTAACTGAGGAGACGATGCTGTATTACACAACATTTGCAGTCTGTACTGGGAGTCTGCCTTCGTACCTGCATGTTCTGCATGGTTCACTGTGACACGCCGACCCTTCAAGGCAACAGCTGCTTTCCTTCTCAGACATTCAGGCTGTCGCTTCCTGCCTGTTTCTGCCGTGTGGCACTTTGATTTGCCCTTTCCTTTCAAATGCACCAGACAGTCGCTGAGATCATTTTTCAGCATGAATATATTCATTATTTATATCGATCCCTGCACATGAATTATGTGAATTAAAATGCACATGTGTGTTTTCCAAAGTATTTTCCGTTTTCTGAAATCTGTGTGTGTCTGTTTAAGGGTGGAAAGGCTCAGATCATCGGGCCCGAGGAGGAAGATGAAGAATATGACGGCTATGCATTTAATGAGGTGACATAGATAGATGGATATAATATTTATTTTTTGGAAGATGTCTCTTCTTTTTTTGTACATTTTCCACCAGTTGAGCATCCCTTCATATTTTTCCCATCTTTCTCTCAGATGGACGGTCCATACCAAGATATTGAGCTGTTAAAGGCACGACCAGCACACATGGCAGTGTTCATGAGATATGTCTTTACCCAGCTTCTGGATCCCAACCCTCTGGTCAGTTTATATTATCTTTTGCACAAGGTTCAGTAAACTCCCCATTTTCCCAAAATTTGAATTTTATTGCAGTTATGTCATGTTTCAGACTTTAAGAGGAGGTTAAGTGTGGGACGACACTCGAGTTCATATGCGTGTGAAGGCAGATAAGCAAATATTTGTGGCAATACAGTTTAGCTTTTTATTCAAGGCCTCCAATTTTAGTAGTTCAAAATGTTTCTGACAATCCAGAATCTTATGTATATTTCAATTAAATTGGTGCATGTCAGCACTAAGTTACACAAACGCACGTGCATGTCTGTGTTTGATTTCTTACTTTCATGGTTGTTTTCTGTGTTTCTGCATCAGCTGTTCTACCTGTCTGTGGAGGCTTACCTCGGCTCCCTTCCTAAAGATGCCCGCACTCTTGCACCTCAGATCTGCTCCCTGTTCCTGGAACCAGATGCTGTATGTAATGAGTCTAATCCTGTTATCCCTGTATTAACTGACTGGTGATGATGGTACCACAATTATCGTGTGTGCTCCGGTTAAAAAGGACTGACTCTATATTTTTACCATAGAGTAACTGTAAGAAAGAAAACATGTTTTTTTTTTTTTGGTTACAGCCCCTGAAGATTAAAGTACGAGAGGAGTATCTTGCTGATATCGGTAAGTGAACTAAAAGCGCGTGTTCGTGTTTGTGTTGATGTATCCAGTCATATACAGAATTTTTTGTTTTGTGAAAAAGCCTCCAAAAGTCAACCTTTACCACATTTCATTAAGGTAAATTGGCGAAATGAAGGTCTTCAAACTGTAGCGTTGTGTTTGTGTGATGTAAGAATTGTGCAGGCAGTGAATTCACAGCAACTCAGTGAGCGCCATTCCTGCCTCATGTCGCCTACCCACTTCCTGCTCAGTGCCAGATGTGGGAAATGTTATTAGGAATGCCTGCTCAACTGTTATTAATGCAAATATCAAATTAGCCAGTCGCATGCCAGGAAGTGCACACATTTAGGCATGTAGACATGGTTAAGATGACCTGCTGAAGTTCAAACTGAGCATCACAGGAAGGTTTAAGTGACTTTGAGTGTGGTGTGGTTGTCGGAGCCAGATGGGCTGTTCTAAAAATGCTGATCTGCTGGGATTTTCCCACATAGCCATCTTTAGGGTTTACAGACACTGGTCTGAAAAAGAGAGTGAAAATGCCTTTTTGATGCAAGATGACAGGAGAGCGGCCGGGCGGTTTTTAGCTAATGGGAAAGCAACAGTAATGCAAATAACCACTCATTATAATCAGGGTTTGCAGAAGAGCATCTCTGAACACCCAGCACATCAGCAGAAGATTGCAATGGGAGAACAGCAAACTCTGACTGTAATTCATGCAAACTCAACAAAATTGGACTTGAGAAGACTGGACTGGATGTGGCCTGGTCTGATGAGTCTCTGTGGACATCATTTCACTGTGGACCAAAATCTCAGAGGAATGTTTCCAGCTCCTTGATAAATCTGTGCCATGAAGAATTGAAGCAGTTTTTAATGGAAAAAAGGGGTCCAACATGGTAGCAGCAACATGTACCTAATAAAGTGGCCAGTGTGTCTCTCTTCCCCCAGTGATCCACCAATGCAGTGCATCTTTTGCCCACAAGGTGGAGCCTGCCAAACAGTTTGAGAGTAGCTAGAGTAAATAAATAGTAGTCATCAAATTTAAAGGTTCATGTTATTCTGTCAAAGCAAACATGTTATTTATTATTATTATCAATATTATTATTATTAAAAATATTAGTTTGATTTTTCCTGCTGACTAACTGTACCCTTTGCTATTATGTCCATTGTCTCATAAGAAAATCGACTTCATGCTCAGGAGGACATCCGGGGACCTCTGTCTGAGCTGCAGCAGCTTGTGCTGCCAGAAATCCAGGACCAGCTGCAAGACTACAGGTACATCACAGAGGATTCATTTTGTTTGTTTATTCAGTGGAAAACATTGTTTTTAAATCCGAAGAAGAGTTTCTCAGAGGGTTACATTAACCTCGTGTCCGTGTGTTTCAACAGGAACAAGCAGATGATGGGTCTCGGTTCTCTGTTTGGAGAAGGAGACCTGCAGCACCTTGATGGAGACACTGTGAAAGAGAAACAGGTGGTGGACAAACAAGTCACCGCCCTGTGGGAAATACTGTGAGTCTGTCTGCATTTATCGTGGTATTTTAGCCCTAAACTGTAAAGTTTAAACCACATCGAGTTCAAAGTGAAGGCAGCGGTTTGTTTTTGTTTGATCGGCTGATTCAGCTTTCTGTGTTGCTGTGTCCAATTAAGTTTATTTACTCGTGCTCTCACCACACGCGCACACACAGACTGAGCCAGGTTTCCCTAGCGACGCCGTCAGTTGTTCGGCGTCCAATAAAACTGTTATTACATATCAGTAAAGCTATCATGACAAAGGTCATTCATCCCGGCCACAAACTCTGGAAAAACCACATGACATTTCCTCCTCTCACGTTATACACACACAGAAGCTGCTTCCCGTCACATGACTGTGGCTCGGTGCTGTTTCTTGCGTTCTTATTTGCACCTGAATAAAGTGGATTTAAGTTTGAGGAGCTCTTTGGAAAAGGGATTTTTGTCGTGGAGGGAGTTAACAACGTTTTGTCTCTTTGTCTTCCTGCTGCAGATCAAAGCACGAGGAGGACAGAAGGTAAAAGAAGAGGCTCGCCTGTTGGAGTGAAATATAACAGCTACACCTGCATTAGAAATTTCCTAATTCTTCAAACCTTCTTTTCTGGTCTCTGCTCTTCACTCCTCTCCTTCAGTTCTCCTCTGGCTTCAGCTGTGATCCTCTACCTGCGTCATTCTGGGATCAAGCCTAGAGACTCCAAGGTCTTCCCCGGCCTGACCACAGAGAAGGACAAGTGGATCACTTTCTTAAAGTCCAAGAAGGTAAGAATGGAAACTTGCCTTTTATCTTGTCACCTTCTGCAGCTGTAATCATTAATGTGACGGCGTCTTGAAGAACAAACAAACTTGGAGAAAGTGAAAAGGACCTGGCCTGTGATTTTCTACCACAGTATTAGGTACACCCTACTGCTACCATGTTGGACTCCCTTTTGCCTTCAGAGCTGCTGTAATTCATCATGGCACAGATTCAATAAGGTGCTGGAAACATTCCTCAAAGATTTTGGTCCATGTTGACATTCATTGACATTCAAGTCATTGTCACGACAATATCCCCCCACACCATTACACCACCAGCTGAACAGTTAATACCAGGCAGGATGGATCCATGCTTTTGTTTATGCCAAATTGAGACCATCCAGATGTTGCAGCAGACAGGAGTGACACCAGGTGTGATCTTCTGCTGCTGTAGCCCATCTGCTTCAAGCTTTGAAAGAGTTGTGCATTTAGATATGTTCTTCTTCATATCTTAGTTATAATGAGTCGTTATCTAAATTACTCTGGCCTTCCTATCAGCTCACTCATTCTCCTCTGACCTCTGACCCATCACTGAGGGACTTTTGCCCGATGAACTGCAGCTCACTGGTAGTCAAAACAAAGAGCAGCCTTTCTTTCTCATTCTGAAGCTCAGCTCAAACTTCAGCAGGTCCCGACTATGTTTACCTGCCTAAATGTACCGAGTTGCTGACGTATGATTGGCTAATTTGTGTTATCGAGCTGTTGAACAGGTGTACCTAACAAAGTGGCCAGTTTCTCTGCATTGATTGCATGATATTCATTTTGATGTGACTGTGTGTTTTCCAATTTTCTCTCTTAAAAGTTGTTGTTTGTCGCACTCGATCTCAGTGACTGAACTCAGACCTCCTCTCCACAGCTGAGCGGTACCAAGAAGGAAAAAGATGGAGAGGATAAAAAGAGAAATCCCATCCTGAAGTACATCGGCAAACCCCGGACCACATCCCAGTCCAGTAAATTAAACAGCACAAACACTTTAGAAGAAGCTTTTTAAATCATCATCCAGGCCCGGCTCATGGTCATGCTTCCTGCGGTCTCTCGACATTGTCTAATAACGGCTCGTGTCAGTGTCAGCTGATGGTTCGCTGACACACAACAAACAGCAGCATGCTGACACACGTGACCCTCTCACTCATTCTGCTTCTATTGATTCCTTTTTGTCCTTTGTTCGCCTTTTAATTGATTTTTCCTGGTTTCATGCGTTGATTTATGGGATTTTCATTGTGTCATTATTCTGATTTTTATTGTTGTTTCTGTTTGGCTCGCTTTGATTTTGTAGCATTCCATGTCCCGCTGTCACCCACCGAAGGTACTTCACTTATAATTTCACTTTTAATTTTACCCTTTTGTGCAAATTTAATTTTAAGAATCATACCTGGTGATGGATTTGAATTTTGTTTTTTCATCAACCGTTTCTCCTTGTAGAGTGTGTGTGTGTGTGTGTGTGTGTGTGTGTGTGTGTGTGTGTGAGGGCAAAAGAAAGGAATGTTATTTTATTATACCATTAAAGTAATGAGTAACGTTTGTATTGGCAGTCCGGCCTGGCAGCGTGCGGAACATCATTCAGCAGTTTGAGAATAGCACCGAGACCGGCGAGGAAGTCAGCGACGGCGCTGACCCGCAAAGGCTCTCCTCCAGCAGCCTCGGGGATGAAATGGACAGGTAGCTGCGCCTGCAGTATAAGTTCACAGCCAGCTGGCAGCAACTGAGTGAAGCAGACTTTGCTTTATTGTTTTTGTTGGAAGTGGTTAAACTGATTTAGCCTTTTGGGTTTGCTTTGTGCGCTCTGTCCCCACCAGCCCTCTACCAGTTCGCCTGGCTCGCAGCGAGTCACTAAAGGCTCAGGGAGAAGGGCGACGGCGGGGCGGCACCTCAGGAGCAGAGTCTGTGCCCCGCTCTCGTAGCGATGTGGACATGGAGGACTGCGCAGATGAGAGGGACGGGCCAGGCCTGAGGCCTCTGCAGCACAGCGCCTCGTCCTCTGCATCCAGCAACTCTGCACGGTAAAGATTGACCAAGCCAGACCTGTCGGGGTGCTCAAACACCAACACACGCACCTTAGCAGCCTTAAGGCAGGAGCTGAGGTCACTTTATTTGAAGGAGAGACTTTTGATCCCCTGAAGCACATGTAAATAAAGTTTTTTGCCCCTGATTTGACCCTGAGAATTATAGGTTTTCACCTAGTGCCGTCTTTCTCTCCACTCTCTCAAACTCAGGTCTCTAGAGAACCCTACACCCCCATACACCCCTCGGTCTAGACGCAGGTGAGTTAAGCTGTTGTCACAGTAGATGGACAGGGCAAAGGAATAAAGATATGGACATTTGAAGATGAAGTTGGGTTCACAAGCAGGAAAATTTTTACTTTGATCATCTTACAGTACTAATACATTTTAAAAGAACTATTTAGACATGGAGTTACAGAGATGATCGTGGATTCACGGCTGATTATTTTCTGTTTGTCTCTTCGTGTGTCGTCCGCCACTGCTGTCTACCCATCGCTCCATCTCTCTGCGGGTACACGTCGGTCCGCCTCATCCACCCGTGTTTCTGGATCCCCGTGTAGGAGCGTGGAGTCGCCGCTGGCCCTGCTACCCGATGCTGCAGCACTGGAGGATGACGTGATGGATAGTAAGACCTGGCAGGAGACTGTTACCCCTCAGCTCCTTGCAACACTCAGCCCCAGTGAGGTGGATAGACAGGCTGTCATATACGGTAAGAGCTACAGCATTTAATTCTCAGTACAATCAGCAGGTTTTAATTTGCTTTTATTTCCTAATACACATCTCTCACATATGCGAGGTAGTATGACCCTTTCCTCTTTCCTCATGTGGCCTCATCCTGTTCAGAGCTGTTCACCACTGAGGTGTCCCACCTGCGAACCTTACGGGTCCTGGACCAGGTTTTCTATCAGAAGATGAGGACTGTCCTGAACTCTGACGAGCTGGCCTGCATCTTCCCCAACTTGCCTCAAGTCTACGAGCTCCACGGTCAGTGTTTGTCCACCATAGCTGCTAAAGGCCTGTGAAAGTGTTTATACACAGGCCTGGTTGTGACATTTTAATCAATACAAGCAAGAAAATGGAATAAAGATTGATGTTTGGATGTCTTCATATTAGTTAGATGAGTTAAATATGAAACGTATCCTGTGTAAATGGAAATCCTCCCTTTTTAAGAGCCCTTTGCTGTCCTGCTGTGTCTGTTTGCACACCCGATGTGTTGTACTTTGAGTTGCTTTGTGTTCACTGCTCTGTGTTGCTAGGTAAACAGCAGCTTTTCTTTATGTTTGCTGAGCCTTTATTTCGAGCCATGTAGACACTCTGTGTTAGACCACTGTACTCCCTCACTAAGGGGAAGCTTTGTCCTGATTCTTAAAAATACCCCGTGTGTTGTTTTCATGATTAATTTAAACATTTCCAGGCTTTGATGTTCTTTGTTGCTTTTGTGTCTCTCGTTTGCAGCGAGTCTGTGTGAGGCGATGAAGAAGCGAAGAGAATCGCCGATTGTTCAGGACATCGGGGATGTGATGCTGACCAGGGTTTGTTTTGCTCCTCCCGTCTCGATGGCAAGTAGAAACATGTTTTCGTGCTCCATATTCAGTGTGTTTACAGTTTGTGTGTGTTTGTAGTTTGAAGGGGCAGCCGGAGACGAGTTTCAGGAACAAGCGTCCCAGCTGTGCTGCCAGCAGTCTCAGGCTCTCGAGCTCATTAAGAGCAAACAGCGTAAAGACCCTCGCTTCGCTCACATTATCCAGGTACACACACACACACACACACACAGCCTCTGACAAAACATGTAAAATATTCATGCAACACACACTTTGATGCTCCTTGTGCTTATTAAAGCTTTATGCAGTGAACACATCATTTTAAAAAAGTGTGTCATTTACTCACAGTTGACGACAGAAGTGTGTTCATGTGTGTACAGTTTGTCAGATTGTTCAAAACTGTGTCACCTTACAATAACTGCACTTCTAAGTTCAACAGTTCAGATTTAAAAGACCAAAGTAAAAGTCACACAGTCGGAGGGGCTGTTGTTTTTACTGGGACTAAAATATTTTAACATTTCATACTTTGTGTGTTTGCCTTCATTTTTAATGACATGGTCTCTTTTGGCACACAGGAGGTTAGTGTTGCATCATTTCTAGAGTTTTGCTTCCCCCCAGCTGCGTTTTCTTTTTCACTGTCTCAGCTCATAGTCTCTCTATTTTTTGCTTCGTGAGAGGACATGAATTCAAGCTTTCCTGTTGGGTATTGTTATGTTATAACACTCCTTACAGAGGAATCTTAGAAGTTCTGTAGCCGCCGTTAGGCTCTTATGATTTAAATGTAGTTTTTCCCAACATCCTTTGCTCTCGTGAAGCCCTGCATCTTCACACTCCCACATCTGTGCTTTCCTGCCGGGATTATACATTCACTGTGATAATCCTGAGCAAGTTCACACCGAACGTACAGGACGCCGTCTTAGTCTGAAGCAAGCCTTCGTTGTTTTACCACAGTGAGAAAGCAGCGAGCAGGAGGTCGTGTCTGTGGCCGCAGCTGCAGTGGTGCACATGCAGGTTTTTATCTGGCTGCTGATCTTTCTGCTTTCTTTTTATGTCTTTGTGTGAAATCTTTGCATTTTCCAGTTAATTTTTCAGGAAGCAAACATGCTCTGTCATTATCATCAAAAACACAGCGGCCACTTTATTAGGTATACCTTGCTAGTTTCAGGTTGGCCTTCAGAGCTGCTTTAATTCGTCGTGCCACAGATTCAATAAGGTGCTGGAAACATTTCTCCGAGATTTTGATCTGTATTGACATGACAGCATGACGTAGTTGCTGCAGTTTGTTCTTCCACTTAAAGCTGCTCTATTGAACTGTGATGTGGTGACTGGATGTGATTTGAGTGCAGTAAACTCATGTTCAAGAAGCCAGTTTGAGATGATTCAAGCTTTGTGACATGACTTGTTGTCCTGCTGGAAGCATCCATCAGAAAATAGGTACACTGTGGTCATAAAGGGATGGACGTGGACGAGGCAGCCTGTGGTGTTTAAATGATCAGTTTGTACTGAGGGTCCAAAGGAACCAGATGTTCACAGTCCCTTAAATCAGTTTGAGCTTCAGTAGGTCATCCTGACTGAGTTGCTTCCGTGTGATTGGATGATTGGTGACTGATTTGTGTTGAGGAACAGTTGTTATTAATCGCTTTATATCTGTGATATTCGAGGGTGCACTAAATAGTTCTGTGTACAGGATAGTTATTATACCGTGTATATGTGTCATAGGTGTAATAAAGCGTATAGTTGTGTTTAAACATGACCGCGTTGTTTTATTTGTTCAGGAGTGTGAGGCGAGTCCTCACTGCCGCAGGTTACAGCTCAAAGACCTGCTGGTGTCAGAGATGCAGAGACTCACCAAGTACCCGCTGCTGCTGGACAAAATCGTTAAATACACAGAAGGTGAGGAAAAGCAGATCCAACATAACCCTGACCACAAACTGAGCTGTTGCTAGGAACCATGATCTTATTTGTTTTTGTTGATTTTAGCGGGCTCATCAGATTTGCCCTTGCTCCAGCGAGCGCACGCGTGTTGCCGAGGGATACTGCAGAGCGTCAATGAGGACGTTAGGGAATCGGAGCACCGGCAGCGCCTCAGCGAGTACCAGTGCAGGCTGGATGCTGCTCCTCAGTTCAAGGTGGCGTACAAGTTTAAAACTTTATTTTTCTTCTGATTTTTAAATGACAACGATTCATTTTTGATCTGTAAATGTTTCGCTTCGTTCTTGTTTCACGCAGAATGTGGACCTCACCACGAAGAGAATGATCCATGAAGGTCCTCTCACCTGGAAAGTTAACAAAGAAAAGCTGATAGGTGAGCATCGCTGTGGTCATTATGTCTCATCAGTTTAGTTTCAGGCCTTCTAACCACAAATATCTGCATTCCTGTGTCAGAGATCCAAGCGCTGCTGCTGTCAGACTGCCTCGTCCTCCTTCAGAAGGGCCCGGACGACCGCCTACAGCTGCGAAATCATTCCAGCAGATTGGGTGGAGGCGGGGGAGGCAGCGGTGACAGCAAGACCTCTTTCAGCCCTCTAGTGAACCTGGCGTCGCTGCTTGTTCGCCCGGTAGCTACAGGTACGCTCGCAGCCTTTTGTTTCTCTGTTTTTGTAATTTTAAAATAATATTTAATTACCTTTTTTTTTACTAATTTTATTTTTTATTTCTGTTTTCTCTAGACAAGAAAGCTCTTTACATCATCAGCACCACAGATATGCAGATCTATGAGCTGGTGGCTGCAACAACATCCAAGAAGGAGACGTAAGCTCTTTTCTTTGATTCATTCACATTTACCTGAGGAAACCTGTGCTGTGCTGCACTCTTCACTTAATTTAAAATGTCTTAACTTCTTCTTGTTAAACAGCTGGAAAGATTTACTGGAAAAGGCCATCTCTGCCGCCGGCGGATCGTCACCTCTGATGAATCACAGCTCGATACCCATGTCGTGAGTAGATTTGATTTGAATCATTTCTTTGATGAAATGTCCTGATTAGACAGTGAAAAAATTGAACTTTTCTGTCATTTAATTATGTAACTATCACTTATTTATGTTATTGTCGCATGAGTGGTCATGTTTAAGCAGGAAAAGCTGTCAAACTTTACCAAACTTAAAAGTGCAGAGTTCACATGTTCCAAAACAGTCCGACTGGCAGGATTGGAGTCTTTGGTGGGCTGATTCTGGCCCGCAAGCCTTATGTTTGACCTCCCTGTTTTAAACACAATATGATGATCTGTATGTTCTTTTGATCTGTTTATTTTTAATCCAAAAATATGCGTCATACTCTTTATTCTTCCTCCAGGTCCCCGAGTCTACGCAGTTCTTCCCCCGCCTCAACTGGCAGCAATGCCTACGGAGGTAATGACCACGCCGCGATCGTCAGCCTCAGATCTGTAAACATTCTGCAGATGTTTTAAAAACCTTTCTCCAACTTCGCTTTCTCCCAGATAACTCGATGACGGAGCAGTCAGACTCCACGGAGACTCATTCCAACAGCGACGAGCCCGCGATCTCCCACAGTACGCCTGTGGACCAATCGCAAGCTTTTCTCAAAGGACAAGGCGTGGCGGAGGCCGCTCTGCAAGACGGTGAGAGCCTCCGAGTATTTTACGTTGGATTCTGTTTCTTCTGATTGTGGAACATAAAAAGTAGAAAAGAAAGAAATCGAACCTTTAAACCTGAATCATCGCTAATCCAAAATTCATCCCTTTTAAAAAAAATTTACAGTTGAAACCCTGCGGCAGCTCATATTACAAGATTTCCGAGAGGACTGTTGGAGCCACGATTCAGATGATACACCCACCAATGAGACGGCCGCTGAAAGCAACTCATTCACAGAGAGGCAGCGACCGGAGTCTCTGGAGACGGTCCTCAGCTGCTGCACCGATGAATGGGAGGCGGAGCCAGAAGAGCTGCTGCTTGCAAAAGCACCCAAACCTCAGGTTGTGAGGAAAGGTAAACACAGCCTGGCTGCCGAGCACCCGTTTTTTTCATGATTTTTTTCAGCAGCCGCTCACTCACGATTGCACTAAATTCTCAGATAATTAAACATCTTAAGCTATAATTTGCACCTTTTTCCCCCAATGAGGTGACACGTGGTCACTGTCATCTGCTTATATGACATCTGGGTGTGAATAATGGCCGCCGTCCTTTGCATGTCTTCTCTCTCACGCACTTTATCTTCTCGCTGTTGAGAACGTGACGGCACACTGGTTGCTTTAGTTCAACTCTTCACTCCTTTACACCTTTCAGTGCACTCCTCTTTTGTCACAAGTCTATCCTCTGTGTGTGTAGCTGTGGTTGCGGGTCCTCCTCCTTCTTCTTCTTCTGTCGCTGAAGACATCACTGATGATGTCACCCTCCCCTCCAATCAGTCATCCAAGTCAAGAAGCGAGGCCAAAAAGCAGGGTAATGCTGACCGACCTGGTCCACAGCTGTAGTTTTTTTATAGGTGTAATAAAGAATATAACATCTGATGTTAGAGGTGTTGATTTTACTCTCTGTTCATTCACTAAAACACTTCTTGTTTTGTTACACCTCTGCGATTCAGGAAATACCTTCTACCTGGTCATGCCCATAGAACAGGGCGAGAGCATGACTGAAGATCTCAACGACCCCCCTACACCCACCGCCAGCCACTTCCCTCCACCTGTAGAGGAAATGACGTTGCCACAGACGCAGATGGAAGAAGAGCCGGTAGCCCGCGGCCCGGAGGCCAACCAATCAGAGACTATGCAACTAGAACAGGAAAAAGAAACAGGCCATTTGCAGGCTGCGCAACACACTCACGTAATCAGAAACGTGGATGAGATTTTTCACACGATTGAGGAGCTGATGACCAAGTTGCGCCACCTGAAGGTGAGTTTTGTGGAAAAGATGGCAACAAAAGAGCCGCCGGCGCAAGCTGGTTTTCTGTCTGTGCCAACTGCCAACTCCACACCCCCGACCATGTTCAGTGTGTGGTTATTAGACCTGAGTAACAGCAGAAGATTAGATATTATATGCTGTAAGAAGCTTTTAAGAAACAAGAATCTGAAGAAAGAGGGAAAAATGTGCATAATCATCAGCAGTTAATCTTCAGTCTGTCCAGTAAAGAAACATAGATCATTGTGAATAGGTTTCATTTGCTTTGGTGCGAATGAAGGTGATGACAGGACACCTGTCATAGCCTTAGATTGTGTCCGGTGCACAGATAGTGTAGCTCCTCAAAGATCGTTAACTGTGTCTCCCAGCACAGTCTGAAGGTGTGGAGGAGATGGCAGGAGGTACGCTGTTACATGAGGACGGCTGGTTAGGGTGAAAGGACTCCTGCATAATGACCTCTAGGGGGTCACTCGGGTGGAGGTTTGTGACCAAACTTTAGTCAGACTATATTGTAGAGACTCAAGGGCCCAACGTCATTCAACGTCCCAGGATACCCACTGAGTCGGTCACTTTGCTTGTAGTAAACTGACGGTGTCATCACACAGTTACTTCTATTTTTGCTCACCGTTAAGGCGCAGTAAGCAGCTGCAGTATTCTCCTGAAAGATAGGTGTCGCCACTCACACAGCATCACCCCATAAGCACTGATATAGGAAGAGAAGTCTCATATTTTTTGAAACTGTTGCAGCATATCCCTCTGCGCAATCTGACGATCTCTGAGCTGCTTTACTGATCTGTCATTTAAACGGTGGTTAAAAACCGACATGATCGTACACTGGTGTCAGTTTTGTCACACAGCCATGCAATAGGGAGAGAACAGAAAGCATAAAAGCACCATTAGTAGGACCTGTGCTCACAGCCGTGTGCCAGTTAGCATTTGGTGGCCTGTTCTCCTCACAGATGAGAGCAGGTTCACCCTGAACACGTGACAGACGTGAAAGAGTCAGGAGACCCCGTGGAGAACAGTTTGGTCTACCCTTGGATGCTCACAGACTTTCCCTTGCTAGCCAGCGTTCACATACCAGAAAAAAGTGTGTTTTCTAAAACTGTTAACTCCTTTGCAGGAGATAGAGAAGGCCCACTATAAGCTTCTGGAAACTCTCAGAGAGTCCTCCATCAGTCAGGAGTCTGAGGACCAGCAGTGTCGCTCGGCAACAGTCTCCAGGACGCCGTCTCTGGATCGTAGCTCAGGAGATGGTGAGCACGCACTGAATTTGCAGCTTGAACTTTTACATATTGTTGGCCTATGATAGCAACTTCTCCTCTTGTGCTACTAATTAATGCTTTCATCCTTCAATCACACCAGGCAAAGAGAGCAGACCTGCGGAGCCCAAAATCCTGTCGACTGGATTCTGATGCGGCTGCATGGTAAATCCATTTGCAGTCGCTTAATCTTGATTGGCAGTCTGACGTAGCTATCCACTTAGACCCGGTTCCACTCACCCATCAGCCCCGTGTGCACCAGCCTGTGGCGCAGAACATCAAAAAGCCCGTCACCATTTCTTTGTTTCTGTTGCCCTGATATAACAGGAAGGTGAACTGACTCATCGAGGTTTCTGAGCTCAGTAAGCGCAGAATGAACGGAGTCCACGGAAGTTGAGGAATAAATACGAAGGAAAGGAAGAAAAAAGCAGAAGACAAGTTGACTGTGGAAGAGAGAAGTTGGAAAAATTGAAAGTGGAAATGTGAGCAAGTTTGGATATTTGTGAAGGAAAGAAGTGTTCATGTAATGCTTTTGGAGAACTGGTTGAAGGAACAGAGCAGCAAAAATGTTTAAATGTTAATTTAAAGAAGAAGAAAAAAAAAAATCAGAGGGACCCGTCACCCCAGCACTTTACCCACAACGCACCTGTCTGTCATGTACGTCCTCTACAGCGGACAGATCAGGGACTGAAGGATTCAGGCTTCATTTAGGGAGGGTGGGGTGGAGGGCTGAGACTGCCTCCTGATGGGGTCTCCCTCCCCCTCCCCCTTCGCTGTTTGCTTTACACCGACTTCACCTGCCACCTCGGCCGAAGGACTGTGTCTATATAATTCAGGTTATTTGCACTGGGTAAGGAAACACACACACGAGCATAGCCGAACTCTCATTCATCTCCTACACCGACTGTGGAAGAAACTCTTAATTCATTTCGTTCACACGCCTTCTTTGAAGCAACAGGAAGGCTTTCATCAGTGCAACATGTTTCACATTTTTGTATTTTGGAAACAGTACTACGCTGTTTACTACTGAAAATGCTGGCAGGATTTATTTTCAGCGCCGCTTCAGGGGCGCACAGGGATCTCAGCGGTTCTTACGTGCTCAGCGGATTCATGCAGTTGCTCGACCGTGTACAGCTGTTGGAACGTTTTGGGGAGATTTACAGTATGTTGAGGTGAGACTCAAACCTGGGATGATTCAAACTTAAGAAACTTGAATTTTCACCAAGAACCTGTTGCCAAATAACCAGACTGGCGTCGCCTGTCTACACTTTAGGGTTTAACTGTGCATCCCTCTCTAGTGTTTTGTGTATATGTGTAGTGACCCACCACGGTGAATACTGCGAACCAGCAACTTCTACCCATTTAATATTAAACCCATAAGTAGTGTTTATATCCTCCCAGGCCTACACTAAGCCATGAAAACGACTGCGCTCCACCCCCACTCCAAGCACACATCCACTTTGAAATTGTGGAAGATTAAAAGCTTTGTAAGAACCTTCTGACATTTTACGGGAAAACACTCAGTTTCGTTGCCTTAGCAGGTGGTTAGCGGAGCTTAGCATCAAAACTGGAAGCTGGGCTTGACCAAAAGTAAGCAAACCCACCTGCTAGCACCTCCAAGAGCCAATTTTCACATCTGAACTCAGCACAGCATTGGGAGAATCAAGTCAGGATCGTTGTCCAAATTAGTTTGCCTTTTCTCACATGTAGCGCACAACGGGATATTTTCACAACTGGAAACACTCAGTCTGGACTTAGTGGGCGCTACCTGGTTTGCAGATATAGTAAATGGGATATGTGGTGCTCTCTAGTTAGCACACTGTGAACTATTTGGATTATTACCTACTCTGTTCTCACTGAGCTTAGCAGGTGGGTTTGTTGCTTCTGGGAGGAGCCAGACTGGCTCTTTCAAGTCCTCATGCTAAGCTAAGCTGGCTAGCTGTTAGCTTAAGTTCTGTATTCAAAGCACATACGTGAGACTGGTGATGGTCTACACATCGAGGTGTGTTTCCCAGAAGTCAGGCCGTTCCTTTAACTATTTTTGGGAACATATTTAGGATTGTTTTATTGCTACTGACATTCAAATTTTTTGTTGAACGCCTTGTTTGAGGCACATCTAACCAGCAATGACTGACACTAAAGCCAAGTGATTTTTCTCTATTCTGTCCTTTTTCTCTCAAACTACATCTGTCTGGTACTAATTCTAATACACGGCAGGACAAAATGTGTATTTTAAACTGCAACTAAATAGCAGTTTAAGTGTTTTTTTGTTTTTTGTTTTTTGTTTGTTGCCTCTTTAATGCTCATCGCGCTGGGCAGAAACACACCGCGCTGAATTTGATTTGAGCTGGTTTCAAATACTAACTGAGGAGTGAGTAACCCTGATTACAAGCTCCATAACTAATCCTAACACTAAACTGATCAAAACCAGGAGCAGATTCAGTCGTTCGCACTGTCAGATTCTGCCATTTGAACGGATGTTTCACTGCCCAGTGGAAGGTTTTTGCTCTTCAGCCACCAACACTGTGTAGGAGAACGTGTGACTGTCAAATCACACGTGTACAAAACATTAAATGCAAATTTTAAAAAAAAGAAGAGAGATGATTAAAGCAGCGTTACTTAATGCCAGGATGGCTGATTTTTCTTTTCACAGCTGTATGAAATTTGTGCTAAAATGTAAAAATGTTTCACCAAAGTGATTTTTTTTTTTTAACTCCAAAGGTGTTTAAGGGAACACGTTTTTTTGTTTTCTTTATTCACATTTTGGCGGCTGAGTTTCAAGCACTTCAGACCAAGAGACTGACATTATTACTATTAAACTTTAAAATCACTATTTTTAACACCTTTTCACATCGAGCTGTCAGCACACAGTTTTCACACTCTACATTTTATTTATAATTAAAAAACAAACACAAAGCACCAAATGGTCTGAGCTGGTTGAATGCTAATCTTTTCTTTTCTGCACATCTTTCGGTGTACTGTCCTCTTTGTTCCTCCACAGCGTTTTCTAATTCCTACCTCTACACTTTCCTTTTAGTGATTTCCTTATCATTTTTACGTCAGCGCCGCAGCCCTAATGGCTGGAAAGAAGCTAGAATTGATTCCATTGTTTAAAAAGAAGAAAAAAAAAATCTTGCACAGACAAAAGTTCCCTGCACAGTGCAAACTACTGTATGCATAAACACATCAATAACTATCATCTCATTCTTTATTTTTGTCTTTTTTTAAAAAAGAAGAAATCTTGTTCACATGTAATATAGAGATCAACCCACTTGTTTTATATACGTTAATTTTTTTTTCTGTAAAGCGTTAGTCATTGTATTTGATTTTATTTTTGTAGATATAAAAAAATGATGTATAAATTATTTTCTTCTCCTTTGTTTTTAAAATTGGTGAGATTGTTAGCTGCACAGAAGGAAAAAAGAGCTCATGGCTCAGATTCATGTGTTTTGTGAGATTAAAAAAAGAAACTGGTTAAAGAGGACTGGCGTGCATTGTGACTCTTTGATTCAAATATATTTTGTTGTGCCGCCTTGTTTTGTTTTTCTTCTCTCTAAACTTCGACCTCTCCTGTATCTGCACATCAGCCACCTTAGTCATCAGTTATAAATATTTTCCTGGCATTTCTGTCTTTCATGGAACAGAAAGTAGGAAGAGACGATGTAGGAGAGCCCCCCCACCCCCCCCCCCCCCAAGGAAAAAACAAAACAAAACCAAAACCCATATTTTAGGTGTGATTGTGATAGATTGTAACTGAAAAAGTTAGAAAAGTCTGATTAGTACGTTTTTTTTGGCTTAGAAACCAGATTATTAAAAGATTCATGGACAAGACAGGAAACATAGTTTCAAAATAAAAGCATGAATGAGAGTTTCTAAGGCTTTCTTGGTAAATCTGCTTTTCTGTATTATATGGAAACGATATAAAAATGCAGTTTCCATGTTAAGAGGTTGTAAATAAATAATCAGGTGGCTGTGGAAATACATGCAGGGAAGTTTTTAAGGTTTTTGCGAATATTTTCGCATTGTCTTTGAGTTTGAAAGTTCAGTCTTATTATGAAAATCCCTACCGGAAGCCGAGAATACACTCCAACTGTGCCGGTTCAGTACGTGCGTACGAGACCCCCCTCACAGCGGGACACCGCAGAAGTAGATCGGGGATGAGGTCTGACCCGCAGCCTGTTGTTGATGTTCGCTGGGGGGATTTTATTAAAGAGAAAAGTAAAACAAAGTGTGCGCACAGCGGAGATTCAACATTCACTCCTGCTGTTAACGAGCGAGGAAACTGTGGACAGATGAGAGAAAGTGAATTAGAAGCGTTTGGAGTCGCTTTTGTTGGACACTCTGCCCTCTGGCACCGCTGCTGCTGCTAACAGCGGCTCTTTGTGCTGCAGGCTGCCGCTTTTTCCTTCAGGGAGAAAGGTAGGACCTCTGGAAAAACCTTCCTGCAGGTATTACAGTAGTTTATTATACATGAATTTCTCCAGCACCACAACACTTGATAGAAGCTGGTGCTCAGCCTCTCATCCGTGGACTTTTACGCATAGTGTGCTTAAGGACGCACTTTGCGCCACGCGTGTGGGTAGACTATTTCACTATCGTGAAATAAAAGACTGGTGACCAACTTATTTGCTGTTGGTCACCAGTCTGCTGCTCACAGCAGCATCACTTCAGCCTGCATGCTCTGCTTTGTTTTAACACCGATTCTCTTTGACGCTTAAAGTAAAATCGCGTTACGTGCAAACCTTCCCTGGAAGCGCCGTCACATCTATCATGTCAGCTGTTTGAGTGTTTGTAGAGTCCTGGATTATTCAACTACTCTGTTTAGGGTTGACTCTTGGAGTGAGGACAGGAGGCAACCCACACCTCGCTGGCTCACTGCCACCCGGAGGACAGGAGACCCCTGTGAGTCACAGAATTAGACATGAGGCTAAACAGCGACAGAGAGTTAAAAACATCCTAAACTGATTTAAAAAAATACAAAGTTTCACCTGCTGACAAATGCATTTTATTTAAACACGAGTGGAAGGACACATAGTGATATGAAGGCAATGAAAGCTTTTTAAAAATGCAAATCCACAGATAGTTATCTCTCAGCATCAGCAGAAGTGGACGCTAGTAAACACTGACGACAACAACAACTTAGGACTTTGAGGCAGGCCTCTTAAATTCAAATTTAGTTTAAGTGCTGGCAGTCCCCTTTCCACACTGCACGTGGAAAATCTCACATGACAGTGGACTGCAGTGTAAATCAACTAGTGAATCGATTACAGTGGGATAGCCTTATCTGATCAGTGTGATCGATGTGATTAACTGTGTCCTGTCAGCGTGAGAGAGAGAGATGAGGGGCTGGTTTTGTTCACATTCATGGCACAAAATAGTTTCCAATCTGTGAGAAACATTTACTGTAAATTCTGACATTTTGCATTAAGTTTGTGTTTGTCTGCAGAGAGAAAATATTCTACTTGAGCATGTGTCAGTATGCCTCCCATAGTCAAGGACATCCATAGAGGTTTGCACTCTCTAGACACACAGAGGTAACTGGGGCTGTTTTTCACTCAGTCCTGATGGTTTGTAACCACCACTCTCTCATGCTCCTTTTTCTGTTTGAGACAGTATTTGAAAAAAACCCAAAAAAACCCCTTTGTCTTGATGAGAGGTATCATGCTCAAACTGCAGCAGCTCTGAAGATAATTTTTCATCGTGTCAACAGGGAATATGAGTTCTTAGGTCAAAGTGATTTCCATTTTTATCCAGAAAGTTGGCAGAGCGCTCTGCCCAGCATGGTGCTGTGACAGGTAGTCCATACAGCCATGTCTCTCTCTAAGGAGGCAAGAATGCCGTTTTATGCCCTGTGGACACAGCAGACAAAAACTATGCTTAGCAACTCATTGCTAAACTCTTCACTTCATTTATGTGTTCCCTCTTTTAGCTCATATACATTCAAAGAAGGTTTTACATGAAAACTGAGGAGACATTTGACTTTTATTGGGATAAAAGTCCACACTTTTTAAGTAGAGATAGTGTCTCTCTCATGAATCCAAACCTGGTTCCACAGAGGAGGGGCCTGAAAGCTGAAGGCTCTGTTTAACTGTTTGTTCTAAAACATGGCCAGATTTCTAAATAATCAGGTCAGTGTATGTACAGTCAATTATATGTGAGCCACAAGCTCTAGGCCACATCCACACGTACATGGATATCTTTTTCAGTATCAGTATCAAGAGGCCAGTATCACTAATATCATCATCTCACACACATAGCTCTAGCTTTAAACATACAACTAACTCCAACTTACTTTTTAAGTCTTCTGTTTATAAGGGGCTGTTAATCAGAAGAAAGCTGTCTTAAAAAGGAAGGTGTGAAACAGTTTGTCCGCTGTGAACCAGAAGCTCAGGATTCACAGTTTTCTTTCAACCTGTGTTTCTTCATTACGTCAGCGCAAGCAGATATCCTAATATGTTCCCTGATAAGGCACACATCTCCAGCTGAGAACAAAGAAGCCCCACCCATCTGCTGTTTAAATATTTTGTTTGCTAGGAGCAGCCAATCAGAATAAACTTTTCTAACAAGGAGGGGGAAGGGAACTAAAACTGCTTGTTTTTGACAGTGAAGAGAGGGGGTGCACAGAGCCCGAGTATAAAACGAATAAGGGTTATATTTAACTGTGAGTTATGCAAAACTGCATGAGTGAAGTCTAATAAAAATATGGAAGTTGAATATAACAGGTTCCCTTTTAAAGCGGTGGTCCTCATTTCTGCATTATTAAAATAATAACAGCTTCTACAAAGTAAATAAATCAGTGTGTCAGAGAAATATTGATATTTAAGTGTCAGAAATTTTCAGTGACCCTCTGTGGATGTCAGACAACTCCACATGAAGGTCCGATCTCCTAAAATTTAAACCTACTCATGCGCCTTCTTGGAAAATGTCCGTCTTCAGAAGTCCATGTTTGAATCACATGAAAGCCGTTAAGTAAAACCTGAAGTCTCTAATGTGGAGATGTGATGCTTCAGGTCACGGCACAAACTGAGAGCACGAGGTGGCTTGTTATTAGATTAAGTGTCCGCTTTTTCTGCAGGCAGTTTGAAAAGTACCCATGAGAAAACAACCCGGCTCTATCTGCATGAAAACAAAAACAGATTACAGGTCTGTAGATTCAGAGGAATGTCCTTACAATGATGCCAGATTTGCTTAGTTTAAAAAAAAGTCTTGAGGTGTGCAGTTGAGGGATAAGAGAACAGGATGGGGTGCTGCTGAGTTGATGTTTTGGTCGCCACGACAACTGCTCCCCCTCCTGTCTTTTCTCACCGCTAGCCTCCCATTCATCCCCATTGTAGTAGCTAAGCTCCGTTGCCCCAGGAGACCACGGGGGACAGTTGGGGAATGTGGGCGAGAATGCAGATCGCAGACCGACCCACAACAAAACACTGCGGAAGGTTAAATATACCGAAATAAATGAAGCTCACTTTAAAAAGCAACAAAGTTCTTTCTTTTTTTTAAAAACTGCATGTTTCCAAGTTTTTCACGTATAAGACAGCAGGAATATTTTCAAGCGGCTGCCATGTTGGGCATCTGTTCCTGTGTGTCCTGCACACTGGAGACTTGCAGCCTAAGAATAGAAGGTGATGTGGTTGCCCTTCATTGGCTGAGAACACACTTGGAGCCAAATCACTCAGTTTGCTCATTTAAAAAAAAAAAAAAGGCAGAATAATGGGCTCAGTTATGCTCTTCCATACACTTAGAGTGCCAACATTTCAACAAAGCTGTCTCTCTTCCTGTTGCCATTCCTCGGTATGTGTCCCTCTGAGACTGTTTTACTTCTGTCTCACATGACAAATTATCTTTTTCCTATCCCTCCTTCTCTTCATTCATCTCTCTGCCTCCTCTCCCCGCTCTCCCTCTCTCTTCTCTCTCAGCTTTCTCTCTCTCCCAAATGGTTTCCATGTCTTTTCCAAACACTCACCCTATGTATAATTAATCTCTCACTCTGTCTTCCTCCCCCATCTTTCCGTCTTCTCCCAAGGCTCCAAGATAGATTCCCTCAGGAGTAAAGTGGATCTGCTGCGCCTCCCTCTGGCCCTCTCTACCAAGTCCATCAGCAACTGCAAGAGCCAGTTGGGAGTGGTCTGGGACAAGGGCGGTTTGGGGACAGGAGTGGCCCGGAAACTCCGCCCACCGCCGATCACTGACATGGACAACGAGTCAACGTACTCGGGATACTCTTACAAGTCATCCCACTCGAGGAGTTCCCGCAAACACAGGTAGAAGAAGTAAGCTGAGCAGCAATGCTGTCCAGTGTTTGTGTTCGTGTCTGACATTGTCCTCACCCTGTTTTAAAATAGCAGAGCATTTCTGAAAGGCCAAGCTGAGGTCATTAAATCTAAATTCTAATGATCGATGAACTTTTCAGTCATATTACAGCTGGATGTCACAACTCTTACAGTAATAAACCAAATCTGTGATTAGGACGTGAGCAGCGAAACTATCGCTATCAAGTACTGTGATCACATGTCATCACGGTGCATAACAACCACATGACAACAAGCGAAAATGACACTTCTGACATCTTAGAAACCCACTGAATCATTTTCATTTCACAACAGTAACATCTAATTTGTATCCACAAAACTTTTAATATTAGACAAATATGCGAAATGCAGGTGTGATTTATCCACACCTCCCCGGTCCTCTGTGAAAAAAGAATTGCCCTGTTTGTTAAATCATGAATTAACTTTGATTAATTGCACTCGGGCTTTATTACTGCTAGACCTGTCAAATCAAGAAATCACAAAAGATCGCAAAAAGCAACACATCATGCCATGACTTAAAGAAACGGCTGACAAACAGCCAGTTATGTCTAAGCCATTTGTAAGGCTTTGTGATTCCATGAACCGCAGTGAGAGCCATTATCCACTAATGGATAAAACTTTGAAAAGTGGCGAAGAGTGTCCTGCCTACCAAAATGACTCAAAGAGCACACTGACAACTCATCTAGGAGGTCGTAAAAGAACCTAGAACAACATGTAAAGAACTGCAGGCCTCACGTGTCTCAGATAAGGTCAGAGGTTATGATTCAACAATAAGAAAGAGACGGCAAAAGTGCCATCCATGCGAGAGTTCAAGGAGAAAACCACTGCTGAGCAAGAAGAACACAAAGGCTCGTCTCACATTTACCAAAAAACATCTTTGACTCCAAAGACTTTTGGAGGAAAAAAGCTGAACTTTCTGGAAGATTTGAGTCCTGTTAGATCTGCATTAAACTGACACAGCATTTCAGAAAAACACCATCATACTAACAGTCAGACATGGTGGTGTTAGTGTGATGGTGTTGCTTCAGGACATGAATTCTGATCCCTACCAGATAATCCTGAAGGAGAATATCCAACCATCAGCTCATGCTCAAGAGCGGAACAAAACGTCTTCCACATGTGAAAGCCTCAGTTTTTTAGTTTTTTGGCACTGCCAGTTTTAGGGGCACTTGCATTTTAATGCAGGCTGTAGGTTTGGAGAACTGTTTTCCCCTTAATAATGAAATCATTGTCTAAAAACTCCAAAAGTTGATTCTGTTCATCTGGACGTAGCGTTTTCAGTGGGAGAACACGTCCAGAACACGTTGGATTTTGTTAAGAAGGTGAGAGATGTCATTATGGAGGCAGATGAAACCGTGGTCTCGTACCATGTTACATCTCTGTTCACTTGCATCCCAGTCACGGAAGCGTTGGAGGTAGTTTGTAAGAGATTACAGGATGACACCAACCTCAGCAACAGGACCACTCTCAGCATCGACCAAGTGTGTATACTTTTCGAACTGTCTTCATTCCACCTACTTCACAAACAAGGGTCAGTTCTACAGGCAGAAACTGGGGCTCCCCAGTTTCACCTATCGTGGCCAATTTGTACATGGAAGAAGTGGAAAAAAAGGGCTTTGCTATCCTACCCTGGAACACCACCAAGCCATTGGTTTGGATATGTGGATGACACCTGGGTGAAAAACAAATCTCAGGATGTACCACAATTCACGGATCACATTAACTCGGTGGACCGACACATCAAGTTCACCAGGGAGGATATGGAAAGGGGCAGGTTAGCCTTCTTAGACTGTGAGATTTCCATCAGTAATGGGGGACATCTAAAAGCTGACGTGTACTGTAAACCTACACATACGGATCAGTATTTAAGGTTTGACTCTCATCATCCACTGGAGCATAAACTCTCCCACTGAAAACGCTACGTCCAGATGAACAGAATCAACTTTTGGAGATTTACTTACCTGGATGACTGAGCACGCATCAAGACATTGTCTAAAAACTGCATTTTGTCTTTACTTTAGTTATCTTTGTCTAATATTAGAATTTGTTTGATAATCTGGAACATGTAAGTGTGACAAATATGCCAAAAACTAAGAAATCTGGAGGGGAGCAACTATTTTTTCACCACATTGTATTGCTATGTGATCAATGGACAGTCGGTTAATTGACATATAAATCATCTGACTAAAATCAAACAAACAACTCTAGAGCGCGGGCATTTACTAGTAAATAAACAGTAACACATGTCTTTAAAGACACTAGATAAAGTCAACACGCTGGTTACATGAAACAGTAGTGTATAATTACATTATATGTTCATAATAACAATGCAGTAGATTATGGAAAAATATAAAATGATGTTTTTTTGTTAAATAGCAGAGTTTCACCACAACCGCTTCTGAAGAATCAGATCAAAATCTGCTGACATGAATTAAGTGTTGTGCGTTTGTAGACGATAACTACTTTTTTCTTGTGTGTGTGCAGGGAGAGAAGGGACAGGCATCGCTCTAAGAATCGCGATGGCAGCATCCGTGGAGAGAAATCTGTGGTCATCCAGGCTCCGGGGGAGTCGCTGCTGGACGCAGATTCCCCCAGAGAGGACGACAGGGTGAGAGATTCATTTTTCATTTTTAGTCTTGTAACAAATGTTCTTCATAGCCGCAGCATTTCTGACACTGACCTCTTCCTTCAGGATGACAACTGGGGTGAAACGACCACGGTGGTCACCGGCACCTCCGTGGACAGCATCTCAAACGAGGACCTGACGCAGCTATCTAAGGACTCAGACGACTCTTCAGCGCTGGAGTGCCGGCGTTACATCAGCCCAGCGCTGGGAGCCATTCTGGGCTTCGTCTCTCTGATCACTCCACTGGCCTTCTTGGCCCTCCCACAGTTCTTGTGGCGGGACTCACTGGACCCTTGTGGCACGCCGTGCGAAGGCCTTTACATTTCACTCGCCTTCAAGCTCCTGATCCTCCTCATCTCCACGTGGGCGCTGTTTCTCCGCCCGCCCAGAGCCGCTCTGCCACGCTTCTTTGTGTTTCGCTGTCTGCTGCTTGCGCTGGTCTTTCTCTTCGTGGCGTCCTATTGGCTCTTCTATGGGGTGCGGGTGCTGGAGCCCAGAGAGACAGACTACAGGGGGATTGTGGGCTATGCGGCATCTCTGGTGGACGCGTTGTTGTTCATTCAGTACCTAGCCCTCGTGCTGCTGGAGGTCAGACACCTGCAGCCGGCTTTCTCTCTGAAGGTTGTGAGGAGCACAGATGGAGTCAGCCGCTTCTACAATGTGGGACATCTCAGGTTAGTAAGTGTGGAAAATCAGGAGAATTTGTCTATTTTTTGTGTCTCTTTTTTTTCTCGAGTTCTCTGAAATAATGCTTTTTAAATTTCAGTGACACTTGCTGCAGAGTTTGGCCACGCTGTAGTAGGGGGCAGCATTTCATCACTGTTTGATCTGTCTGGGTCATGTTCGTTTCAACCCACTGCTAAGATGTCCAAAAAAAGCCCACTTTGTTTCGCACCACATGCATTATTTTCTCCAAACCGCATGTGGATCAACCCACAAAAAAAAGTCCAGATTTTGTTACGAAGTTTTCCCCACAGTGTCGGTGGAACTGTTCAGTCCTACAACTTTGACTCTTGACCTCAATGCATTGCACTAATTCTCAGTTTTAGTCATTGCTCTAGTTTTCCTGCAGTTACCAACCAAACCGCAGTGAGTGGTTTTTAAAATATGCAAAGATCGTGTGGATGGTGTTGCTTTCATTTTCTGTGGGTGGTTAGGAAGTCACGCCCGTGCTATGTGTGTTAGACCCCTCTTAACCTTTGGCTCTGCTGCGAAGCTGCAAGCATGTGCTGGTGGTGCAAGCAGAACGATCGGACTAAAAACTCAACACAACTGCAAAATATGTGGCCATAATTAGGTGATGATTTTATTTAGAGGATTGCAAATCACAATAACAGCCATCTTCAAGTTAAAGACGTTATAGATAGAAAAAGGAACAGCCCAGCAACACTCGAGAAGGGGAGAAAAAAAATAAGCTCTGGATGGACCAGACAGCTCAGGAGGGCAGACGTCTGCTACAAATGTCCAATTGCACAGCAGGATGGGTGAGAGCTGATAAGGATCACAGATTCAGACGGGATTAGGCCCAGATCCTGTTCAGCTCTGATCATTTTGCACTTAACTCAGGTTGAACATCCTCAGAGTGGACTGAACTCTGATCAACCTTTCTGGAACAGGAGACTCCAAAATTGTCGATCTCACAGTTATTCAAGCCACAGTTTCTTTTGAAACTCAGAGTTTGTTGAACCTGCTTCCTGTAATAGGGCCCTGGTGACTGTGGAGGTCATTTGAGTGCAGTGAAGTCATTGTCACGCTAAAGAAACCAAGAATATTGTGACTTTGCGTGTTGCCATGGAGCTGTAAACACTGTGGTCATAAAGGGATGGACATGATCAGCAACGATACTCATGTAGCCTGTGGTGTTTAAATAAAGATCAGCTGCTATGAAGGGACCCAATCTGTGCAGAGGAAACATCCCCCACACCACCAAACCACCAGCAGCAGCCTGAACTGTTGATGAAGGCACGACGGAGCCATGCTTTCATCTTCTTTGTGCCACTACACTTACCATCTGCACCAGCAGGTTGTCTCAATCATGTCTACATGCCTAAATGCAGAGCCCTGTGATTGGCTGATCAGATATTTGTGTTCATATGAGTTGAACAGGTGTTCCTAATGAGGTGGCCAATGCAGCGTACGTCATAGCAGAGGATTGTTGCTGCATGTGATTTATAATTCTTGCACTGCTGTGCACTTTTTTTTGTTTCACACTGTTATGATTGATGTACGTTGTTAGTCCACAGCAACCGTTTTTTGAGCGGCGCTCCATCTGAGTGACTGTGGCTGTTTCTTCCTGTTTCAGGGGCAGTAAAGCAGCGAGGATGTTAAGGTTGCCGACGCTGATAACAACTCTGCGTCTGTTTTAACAAACTTTCTTCCTCTTTGTTGTGCAATGCAGCATTCAGAGGGCCGCAGCGTGGGTTCTCGATCAGTACTACAGCGACTTTCCGGTTTATAACCCTGCGTTGCTTAACCTCCCCAAGTCCATCCTCACCAAGAAAATGTCTGCTTTCAAAGTCTACAACCTGGGGGAAGGTAACAATTCAGCTGAGCAAAAAACCTTATCAGTCCGAGTGAAATAAATGACGCTGAATGAAAAAGCAGTTTTCACCTCCACATGTAAAGCCATAGCTTCAGATTGCATAGTGAATTTCACACAAGCACGAGTCTATTAATTTATTTCTTCCAAATTCTACATGGAATAATAGCTGATAAGCTCATCAGAAGTATCAGAGCCACCCGTGTTACTCTGCTCACGAATTAAATGTCACATTTCTGTTCACAGACAACAGCACCAATAACTCCACAGGCCAGTCCAGAGCCATGATTGCAGCGGCCGCTCGGAGAAGAGACAACTCTCACAACGAGTACTACTATGAAGAGGCCGAGGTGGAGCGAAAGGTCCGCAAACGCAAAGCCAGGTACTAACGGGTGTGTGAATACAGAAGCATTCACTGACAAAGATGCAGAAGTTGCAGACTAGGTTAAACTTAAAAGGTTGTTTTCCTACTAAAACATAATCATATAAACATACTTAAAGATAAGAAGGAAGCACAAACACAAAAAAAATGATGTTAAGATGTTTGTTGTCATGAACTAACTAAATTTGTGGAATTCATATTATTACGTTTTTACCTGAAAGTCCTAAAATGATGCTCTTTTTTTCCCCCCTGGGGTAATAAACATAGAAGTATAGAGTTTGTAGTTTGTAATGTACATGACATCGGTTTAGTGGAGTCATGGTCTCCTTAATCCTCACAGGCTGGTGGTGGCAGTAGAAGAAGCTTTTACCCACATCAAACGTCATCAGCAGGAAGATGCAGTCACTTCGTCTCCCAAACACCCGCGGGAGGTGATGGACCCCAGGGAGGCAGCTCAAGCCATATTTGCCCCCATGGCGCGGGCCATGCAGAAGTACCTTCGTGCAACCAGGCAGCAGACTTACCACAGCATGGAGAGCATCATCAGCCACCTGCAGTTCTGCATTACCCACAACATGACACCAAAGGTAAGGAGGGTCAGTTTGTGTGCGTGATTTTCCCCAGTTCAGTCCTGGGAGGAGACACACATCCCTTCAGCGTTGTGTCAGGAACGTAGAAATAACAATATGATACAATAAGCAGAAATGCACTTTTTCCAGCTAAAGGTTCAAATAAATGAATTCTGCTCTTGTGTAAGTAGACAAAGTATGAAAACAGTGTGAATTTCTTTTATAAATGTTTTGCATTTGATTATGAATTGTGATCAAAATTGTCCAGCATTAAAGTAGTGGCAGCATTTTATTTTGACATCACGTCCAGCCACATTAAACAGTGTGATGGAGTTTGTTCACAAACCGTTCTGCGCATTTTCTGCTGTCATTAAAGGCTTTCCTAGAGCGTTACCTCGTCCCGGGCCCCACCCTGCAGTACCTGGACGGCAACAGGGGGCGCCAGTGGACACTAGTGAGCGAGGAGCCAGTGACCGCCTCTTTACGTCAAGGCCACGTCTTCAGCCTGAGGCGCCTCGACCTTTCTCTGATTGTGACAGTAACGCCGCTTCCTTTCTTGCACATAGCCGAAGAGTTTATTGACCCTAAAAGCCACAAGTTTGTCATGAAGCTTCAGTCAGAGACGTCTGTGTAGGAGGGGAGAGGCACCGGGCAAGGCAGAGGAGGGGCAGGATGTCGCATCATATGTACTAATAACTGAGGTCTATTTTTAATGTATCTTTTGTTTGTTCTTTATTTACTTTGTGGTATTAAAAACCTGATTGTTATGACTGTTTATTAGCACAGAAAGGTCTTTACTGACATAAATATAGAACTTGTAGGAAAAACACCAAGGCCACAAAAATAGCATGTTACTGACGATCTTCCATTTACTTGCTTGAAAAACTGCTGACTGTTAACTTTGCTCTGTGGTTCTAGTTCCCATTGTTGCATTTTGTTTGCTCTTTAAATTAGATTCTTAATAAATATGATATTCCTGCACTGTTTACCTAAGATCCACCCATGACAGATCTATGGGAAATATTCAAGCATTTTTATTGTTCACAATGACTTTTTCATATGCAATCAGACCTGAAAGGCTTCACTTTATTTTTCTCAGACTATATCTCAGTTCTCTTTTCTATCTTTAGCATCTTCTTTTTTTTACTTTTTTAGTTCCTGCAAGACTGACCTTAAAAGGCAAAGAATGAACAGAAAACTTTACTAAAAGTTTGCCTGACATTTATAGACAGCTTTCATAGCCTAAATGCGGAGACATGAAACCATCTTTGAACTATTTCTTCTTATATTTTTTATTCCACATGAAGAAGGTAAAATGCTAACTTTGTAGTAAATAAGAAATTTTAAGTGAGTCTGGAAGGACAATTTCACTGTTTCTGAAACATGTTTTGTATTGTTTATGTGATTTGGTCACTCACTGTGAGCACCACTCTTAACCTAAAAACGTATTTCAAATTAAGATCCTAAAAGAGTTTCAGTGCATAGGTGCCCTTCATTACTGCAGGGTTTTTTTTATTATGAAACCTGTCCAAGCATTTACACATACTATATGTACAAACGGCTGGACAAGATTAAAGGATGACAATAAAACACAGTGTTAAAAGGAAGATGATTGTATTGTTACACTTAAACTGAAGCAGTAGAAATGCACCTATGCTTAGTTGGCGCAGACATTACACCATGGGCACCTGGAGCTTATCTAGCCCTGCTATGTCTGTGTATGGGGGTCAACTTTCATCGATTATGAGTAGATGAATCTATAACACTAGCTAGAGCTGGTTGTCTGGAGTAATAACAAAGGTATTGATTTTAATGATGGATATATTTATGTGTCTTTTGTCATTCAAAGATGTCTTTTTTTTACATTACAGATAGTCACATCACTGACGACCAGTTTATATGTACATTTGGAGTGTTTTCCTTTTTTAAAATGTAATTGTATTTTTTATTGGGTGTATTTTGCTCTCACTTTGTTGTACTGAAACTAATGTCTTAATGTCCTGAAATTACCACTTGTCTCTGCAGGTCACTGTCTCTTAAGAAAAGACTCTTGGAAAAAAAAAGTATTAAATGATGTCAGTCAAACCTCATATGTGTCACCAGATAGTTGAGTTGTGTATTCGTTTTTTGGTCTGAAAAAAGGAAGTGAGGCTGACATACATAGGAGTGTGTGCGCCCTAACACGAGGTGACAAATTTCCACAGTCATGATATTCCATGTAGCTAAAGTTGACTGGAATTTTCCACACTACAGAAAAAATAACCTACAATAATACAAAATACAAATGCTATATAATTGAAAATGAAACCATAAAATACATTTTAAAAAACGGAAAGAAAGAAATTCAAAATGTACCAAATAAAAGAGGATGGTAACTTTGATAACGGACAATATTTTGAAATAAGTGATGAACATATTATAAGAAGAATATGTTATTTAAGGAAAAAGTAGGGTAGTATTTCTGTAGTAAATTGTATGATGTGGTAAAGAGTGTCCTCAGTAGAGAGAGAGTGGTGATTGGAGCTGACTTTAATGGACATGTAGGTGATGAGGTGTTGGGCAGGTATGCTTTAATGGAGAGAAACACAGAAAGACAGATAATAGTAGATTTGCAAAAAGGGTGGGAATGGGTGTGGTGAACACTTTCCAGATGGAAGACGAGTAGGGAATCAGGAAGTGCAGAGGATAGCTAATCTGGATGACACACCTGGCAGGGCAGTAGGCTTTTTAACCAAACTCATTAACACAGTTTGGTGATTGACACAAAGAGTACTTTGACTGATTTTCAAGAACAAGAGTGATGTGAAGACAGGTCATTGAGATGAAAATGTTAAGGTTTTCATTGGTTGTGACTCATGACTAGGATAGACAGCATTAAGAGTAGATCAGAGGACAGCTCAAGTGGAGCGTTTTGACAAAGAGTCAAGACAAAGATGCTTGTTCAAAGGAGGGAATGTGTATATATTAGACAAACGATGCTGAGTGTGGAGCTGTCAGGAAGGAGGAGAAAAGGAAAAATATTCATGGTTGTAGTGCAGGATGACATCCAGAGGGTTAGTGTGATGGAGGCAGATGCGGAAAGAGGAAGAAGTGCTGTATGAAATACAAAAATTACAGAAAGTCAAAGCACTTTGACTGTGTTGACGCCAGCTACCATGAGACTACCAACCCTTTTTATTCTTTTCTCTAAAGGTACGTCGTATCTGAAGCTATGTATCATCCAAAGATGTGTCAGACCTGGAGATAAAAAATGTTTTAAATATTTATATATTTAAAACATATTATATTATATATATATTGATGTTTATGGTCAAAGATTATAAATTTACAATTTGTATTGATATCTACCCTGTCTTATACTGAAAAGGAGAATGTTGGATGTCTAGACAGATGGAGTCATTGGGATTATCAGTTTGACCCAAAAAGAAAAATATATTGACAACAGATGTTCAGTATGGCCTGCTTATCGTTGAAACTACTGTAAATACTGCTAAAAAAACAACTTGGACATCCACTGTCTTCATGTGTTGATTTAACTATTAAAACCACTCTTAAACGTCATTTATTGTTGATAATTTCCAATTATTTCTAATCAAGATCACCACATAATTATGTGACAGATAGCTGTCATTAGCCATTTTATGACAATATCGTATTTAGAGATGGGTCAAATGAAAGCAAACTAAATTTGTTGACTCATGCAGTGGAGCTGAAATGTTTAAACTTTTAGTTGTAGGTCAAAAGTATGTAGACTAGTGCTTTTCCTTTCTTTTTTAGTGTTTAGACCTAAGAGACAATGTACATTGTTGCTAAATGTGTTTATATATTTATTTAACAGCAGTGCAAGGTGTTCAACCAGCAGCAGTAGCTAAATCACATCGCGAAGTCTCTGGGTACCTTGGAGAGAGCATCACATTGCCCTCAGGAGTCGACCCATCATGGAGGCTCATCAAAATTGAGTGGTCAATATTCCCCAACATCACTTTGATTGCCACTTATCGCAACAGGAAAATAAACACTGAACGTGTCCCTCAGTACACAGGGAGACTCACTCTTAACACAACATCAGGTGTCATTTATCAGCTTTTTTATTGCAAAGGAATTGTAGTTTTATTTCTTTCTTGATTTGGTTTCAATGTATTTTATTGTATAGGTGACCTAACAATTCACAACTTGAAGCAAAGCGATGCCAGTGAATACACTGCAGAAGTCTTCAACAGCGAGGGTGAAGACTTCTACAGCGAGGGTGAAGACAAAGTACATCAAGTCACAGCAAAACGTAAGTGATGTATAAATAAAAATGTATTAATAATAACAACACACACACATATGAGATGCGCAGATGCGGATGCAGAAAAAGAGGAAGAAGTGATGTAGCAAAAAAAATCAGGAAGTCAAAGCACTTTGACTGTGTTTCACGTCAACCACCATGAGACTACCGACCCTATTTATTCTTTTCTTTAAAGGTATGTCCTGTGTACATTATCTGAAGCTATTTATCAGACACAGATTTGCCAGACCTGGAAATTAAATACGTTTTGAAATATTTTTACATTTTGCTTTAAAAATGAGTAACTTCCTGGTTTCTTAGGTAGTAGTGCAAAACTTAACTTTTGAATTAATCGCCTCACATGCTAGACATAAATGATGTAAATGTTACCCTTTAAATTTTAGATTTGTTCCAAGAAAAGTGTGTATAGTGAAATGATTTACTGTTGTACGTATTATAAAAAAGGAGGATGGTTAGCTGGTGTATAGACTTGGCTGCTGTCACATGGCTTCATTTCCGTTTCTCATACAACTTGTTGTTAACTCTTCTGAAAATGAGACCATATATCCATGTGTTTAGTGTTCATTAACATACATTCCTATTGTACAATCTATTAGCTTGACCATTTTTGTGCGATTTTGGAAATGCTTTGATCTTTATCCTGAAAGATTATATATTTTCAATCTGTATTGATATCTACCTTAGCTTACACTTTAAAAAATAATTAATTAATATAAAATGTCAGAAGGAATTCTCATTCTAGACTGATAGAGTCATTGGGATTATCCGTTTGAACCAAAAAGAAAAATATCTTGACAGTAGATGTTCAATATTGCCTGCTTATTGTTGAAACTACTGCTAATGCTGCACAAAAAACCACCAGAATATTCCAAGAATTTGATTGTTTTCAGTGGGAGAAAATGTTAGATGAACTGAATCAACCTTTTGGGATTTCCTTACCTGAATGATTGATCATCGTGTAATTATGTGACAGATAGCTGTCGTTAGCCATTTTATGAAACTGTCATATTTAGGCTTGAAAAGCAAACAAAATTTTACAATTTCTGTATTTAAAAATTCCAACAAAATAACCTGTAAAAATGTCTAAAGATATCAGAGTAGTGGAGTTTTTGAAGCTTAAAGTCACGAGTATTTATAGAAGTTCTTTTCCTTCCTTCTTTGAGTGTTTAAATCTGAGAGAATATGTACAGTGTTGCTAAATGTGTTTTTGTATTTATTTGACAGCATTACAAGTTGTACAGACAGAAGCAGTAGATAAATCACCTCAGGACGTCTTTGGATACCTCGGAGAAAACATCACATTGCCCTCAGCAGTCGACTCATCGTGGAATCTCACCAGAATTGAGTGGTCAATATTCACCAACATCACTTTGATTGCCACTTATCGCAATGGGAAAATAAACACTGAACGTGTCCCTCAGTACACAGGGAGACTCACTCTTAACACAACATCAGGTGACATTTATCAGCTTTTTTATTGCAAAGGAATTGTAGTTTTATTTCTTTCTTGATTTGGTTTCAATGTATTTTATTGTATAGGTGACCTAACAATTCACAAACTGAATGAACTTGATGCCATTGAATACACTGTAGAAGTCTTCAACAGTGAGGGTAAACGCAAAACGAATCAGATCAAAATTACGGCAAAACGTAAGTGATGTATAAATAAAACTGTATTAATAATGAAATCCTTTATATTTTGACTTTTTTGTTGTATCATCTCAATCAACCATCTCTTATTTATCTTATTTAAAGATTTGCAGCATTTATGGACTATTACAGACTATTTTGAATGCACCCATGCTTCATAAATATAAAATTTAGCCGTCTACAATCAAATATACTGCTTGGTTTAAATTAAGCTATGCAGGCTTGTCTTTACTTTGTGTGAATTTATCATTTTCACTCTCCATCCTTGCAGAAAGGCTCCAGCAGCCATCCATCCAGATAGTCACGAGTACATCTGTAGAAAGTGGCTGTTTAATGGTGGTGAACTGCTCTTCTCTGGATGAGGGTGTTAATCTCTCCTGGGGTGTTGAACCAGTCAGTGTGCTCACCATCAACAAGAGTCATCCCAGTGACAGCTCTGCACAGCTTTTTGCATTTGTCAACACCAAAGAGAACTTTGCCAGTTTTACCTGCATCTCCAGCAGAGACACAGAGAGTGTTTCATCCAAACCTGTCACACCAAAGTGTGAGAGTAAGATCTGTGGTAAGTTGTTGAATGGGACACATTCTTTAACATATAAGCACAACATAGGCTGAGATGAAGATTAAACAAAAGATCCTGTATCAGTAACCAGTAGTGGTGTCAATGCATCCTTTGCTGGAAGGACTCTAAACTGAAACTAAAACGGACAAACCAGTTGACACAGATAATTCACATATCTGATGATTATGTTTTTGCTTCCTCTGTATAGATTCAAATTGTACAACTCCACCTTCACCCACAACAGAGACACAGTACTGTGCTGGAAAAATTGTTATTTGGGTCTTTGCCACTTTTGGAATATGTGGCATCATATTTTATATGATTTATCGTTATCGAGGTAAGTGGAAAAATAAATCACCTCCAGAAGAAAATGTTTATTCAGTTTCCTCCTCTGTGTGCAGAGCAGTAGAGAGCATTGAAGATAATATGAGGTTAGACCCTCTTTTGGCAACTGTCATGTATTTTAGTATAATTTTCTGACATTGTCTTTTAATGTTATATTCTGCCAACTGAAGACTGGAGACAGGGTAGAAGGAAAACAGGTTTTAATGTCCATCTTTCTTGATGTTACAGTGCAATCATACAGCCCGCAGGGTGACTTGTCATGTATAACTCAGACTGTTGTTACTCTGGTACAACGAAGACGAGGAGGTAATTTCATAACACACTTTACAGCAGATTTAAAACACACATTACCAGAAATATGGCAAAAATGCAAACTGTTCTGATACTGTGAGATCATTGCTGACTAATACAATAGTAGATTATATTTCTTGTTATTTTTTAGTTGAATTTAATGAGAGTGTGTGTTTTCCAGCGCAAAGAAGAACTGACAATCCTGGAGAGGCTTTACAAAACCAGGAAGACCAAGGTGAGCAAATGGGCAAATAGTGAAGTTAGGTGGGAAAACAATGCTTATTTTTTCATAAAATAATTTTACATACATTTCATCAATACTTTCCAATAACACACTTAAAAATGCCATTTGAAACTCTAAACATTTTGATATGAAGAGGAGCAGTTTACATGATTCATATCACTCTAAACAGCTTGAATAGCTCACTGATTCTGATGTTTCGGCGGGTCCGCGCTTTGTGATTAAGCCCTTTTTGCGCTTGATTCTGAAGCTGCAGGTTTTATCTCTCTACAAACTATTTGACTGAACCAGCAGCAAAAGAAGATCCAAACTTCATGAATTCCGTCTTACTTGTGCTGTTTTGCTTCCACCACGATAAAATCACACTTCATGCACAGCTCTCTCTCTCTCTCTCTCTCCCTCTCTCTCTCTCTCTCTCACAGTACACTTCAAGAACAGCTTCCCGTCTAAAAATCTGTTTTGTGAATTATTCGCTTGCTTGTTATGCACAAGTCTACCGTTGTTTACAGCGCTGTTGGTGGCTGTTACTTCTAAAAAGAAAGCCTCATTTCTGCAGTTCAATACTGAACAAACTTAAACTTTTTAAAATTATGCAAAATTGCAAAATGCTTGGCTATGTCTCTAATAAAACCTCTGTAACTTTGCTCTGCTTCACTTTAGCAGCATCAGGTAATGTTCATATGTTGATTAATGGTTTTCTTTCGTTTGTCATCTACTGCAGATTATTTTTATAAAATCCCAGGCCAGGAAAATGACCTTGATGTTTTTCTGTGTTTTATCCTCAGCTATTTTGACACAAAGGCATCTGCTGTGATGCTTACACACCTTTGATAAAGTCTCGCAACTGTCAGCTTTCATTTTATAGATATAAAAATATGGAAATGTACTGATGCATGATCTGAATTATAATATTTCTGAGGCAAAATTTCCCTGATTCAAATCGAATTGAATCGAATCGTAGAGCGAATTGACTTTATAGACACTTTACCTGAAATATAGCAAAAGTGCAAACTGTTCTGACAATGTGAGCTTTTACTTACTTGTTCCCCAAGCAGCATTGCAAACGTTAGCTCATATAGGCCAGATAGAGATTATTAGCTAATTTTCAGAACCACTAGTTTGCTGGTATATTGCTAGTTCCCAGTCAAGGAGCAGATGTACTTTATTAATTTAGTTTGTTAAAGATTTCTATTTCAATACTGTTCGAATTGTGCTTCATTGTTTGTTTACAGTACACCTCCAGATCCAGGAGGCAACAAGTGAAAATGATGTTAGCTCTCGATGTCCAGCATCAGCTGGTATTCAACTGAAATTGCTATAAATTAATATGAATCAGTTTAGACAATTTATTAGGTTGTAAATTCTATTTCTGTTACATTTACATTTTTAGTGGCAGTTCAAAGACAGACAGAGGAAGAGCAGAAAAGAAATCAGAATGAAGACAGCAACAAAAGAGCAAGTGAGCAAAAAGAAACAAGTAAGATTTGACATGCACAAGTATGCGAAATCATTAAGCAGAGTGTTATACTATATATAAATATGGATCTCCAACCTGCTGTTATAAATATTTATATAAGATTATATGTTCATCATGTTCTAGTTCAACACAAGGAGGAGAACAGAGAGCTTGAACAAGAGCATGAAGAACAAGGTGAGCAAATGGGCAGATGGAAAACATGCATTCATGGATGCTTTGTACCATGCCAGTATTACATGAAGACTTAAAAATACTAGTGGACATTCTACTCAAAATGCTATTCGTAGGGTGATGTTTTAGTGTCTGTATTGAATAGTGCCACTTTAACTGCTTGACTCCTTCTTTGTCGTTAAGAAACTGCAATAATGTGTGCAAGTTTCTCCTCTTACCTGCTTTGTTGCAAATTGTTTAACTTACTTTGGAAAATGTTGGTCAACATGATTAAGCCTCTGCCTCATGCTATTGAAATCAATAATTTACAAGTTAGAAATGTACAAATGTGGAAAGAGTTGACTACATTTGCAAGCAGCATATTATGCATGTTAATTCCACTCGTTGTGTTAAAATAAATATCCATTCACAGCACTTTTTTCCGGTTTAATTATTTCTTGAATTCAAAAACAGTAAAAGCAGCTTATGAATATGTACATAATAATAATAATATGTATATATACAAGAATACTTTCCTATAATTGAAGCAGTGAATGGTAAATCCTAATATTGTTTGCGGTTTAGCATAGAACAAATTAAATCTGGATGTGAAAAATTAAATTATGTACCTAATTTAGCAATGCTCAGTCACATGGTCCCTCATACGTGAATTACCCTTTTACAATTTGCCCAGGGGTGGGCCCATATTTCAAGCACTCTTTAAATGACTCAGTTACCATTTGGGCTACAGACAAAAGGTTCTGGAAAGAAAAGAAGATGAGCTTTGAGGGATATTTTATGTATAGCACGAAGCATTCAAAAGGTACTTGTGCCTGAACACAGACAGAAAAATCAGCTTTGCCAAGATTTTACCACGTGCGCTTAGCATTACAGTAACTCCTCAACCAGTTTGGTCTAGAAATAAAATTCAAATAGTTCGTGAATGACGAGAATTATGATGCAATTTCACAGAATTGAAAATGATAAAATAAATGATGATAAAATAAGTCTAGATGGCCTGTATTATATTTAGGTGATAAAAGTTTAAAGGTAAGTTTCTATTTCAATTTTGTGTAGTTGCTAGCATTCATTACACATTTTTTATACACTGCCCAAATAACCAAGTTCCTTTCTACTTTATTATATGTCATAATAGTTTCAAGAATGTCACAACAGCCTCAACAAGAATTCCTGAATGAGTGCGAAGACATGACTGAAGACAAATGGCAGACAACCATCGTATTCGATTGAATGCATTCTGACATAATCTTCAGGTGATGGACTCAGTATAATGAATACATCAGTTATTTAACTGATAAAGTTAAAAATGAAGTGTCATAACTTAGACATGCTGATCGTTACTCACTATTGTATAGGTGTTCAGGATTCTTAAATTATCTCAAATATAGGTTTGAAGGTAATTATGTGTTTTTTCTGCCTTTTTAAAATATTTCATTATCTCAAATGTAAATCTCTCCCTCTCTATTTTTTGCTATTACATGTACAGATGTAAGCTATAATTACAGCAATCCAGTACTGTCCAGATTATTTCAGTTTACACTGTTTTTTTTTTTGTTTTGTTTTTTGTGCTGTGTTCAGTTGTGTTTACTGGTGCTTGGTGCAAAATCAAATTGAATGTTCTTTCTGAATTATTTTCCAAATCAAAATAATTTTACCACATGAAAATTTGCATTCTTATATGTTAATTTTAAATGAGTTCACATAAACTCAGGTATATTTGTTTTGGATCATATAATATAATACATTTGTAAATAAATGCACAACCTTAAATACCGTAAATGAGAAACATCCCTCTATTTATAGGTTTGTCGTGTTGGACCAGTGTCAGGACGGTCAAAATCATGTATTAATTTCTATTTGATTCTGTTGGATTTTCTTTACTTTGAAGTTGTACATATGATGGTAACCGATCCCCGAAAGTCAGTTGCAAATTGGTCACAATGCCTTACTACTTCCAGTTTTATTACTTTAATCCTTTAATTCTGCAAAATAGAGTTGTGTGTATATTGTGTGCTTCACTCCATGGCACTACAATGTTGACTCTTACACTAAGTTGGATCACCAAGTGACAGTGGGAGGAAGACTAGTAGCAGAGCCCTTGAGTAAGCAAGAGTCATGTCAGTGGGTGTTCAGAATTCAGGTTGTCACCAGGGCTGGACTGGGACAAAAAAATCAGCCCGGGCATTTTGCCTAGAGACCGGCCCACCAGGTATTATAGGAAAAACCATAAAGCCTTTGAATGAAAACAAACTTTGTTGTGACAGTGATGTACACTGTCTTGTTGGTACATATGTATCAATCTAATAAACTTAAACCTACACCATCCTCCCTATTCTGGTATTCTAAACAGTACTTAGCCAAAACCCAAAGACTGCTTGGTTGAGTTAACCTCCTGAACTATCTACAACATATGGTGGAAACCTGAAATTAAGACAGAGAGGACTAGAGGTGAGACATGACCATTACTGAATATTAAAAATAATAAATGACAGATTTAGTGATATTTTCATAAACTATTTATTTACCACATCAATAAACAGCATGGCAGGGCAAAATATTTTTTCTAACATGGCAACCTTTTAAAAGTGAAAGGAGACAGAAAGACAGGTGAGCAAGAATAAAACTTAACTGACTTTTTGATGGCATTTTACACAAAGTACTAGTACAGTATCTAGAAAATGTGGGAAAATACTGGCATCATGTACAGTAATTTCTTCTGAAGAAATTATGTTAGGACCCTGAAAAAAACTTGCTATGTACAATAATGGATTTCTATACATTTGACATCAGATGAAAACTTTGGTTGTAAGATTCGGATAATTATTTGTTAAAAGCTAGAAATTTTAAATGAGAATAAGAAAGAAAAGTATTTCTTTGTGCCCCCCTTTCCCTGTTAATGTCCTACCTGGCCCCATGGCAAAACTTTGCTAGACCCGCCCCTGCACAGTTACCAGCTGTCAGCTACATAAAAAAGGATCCTGGTGTAAGTTGTCTCTCAGAAACAGTTCATAGCTTTCCTTCAACTCATTCATGTCACCTAAAAGGCAAACCTGTTTCTCCATCACCTGTTCAGCTCTGATGATTCAGTAAGAACATCTCCTGGTTTCATCTTCATGTTTCCCTCTCACCAGATAACCAAACCGATATCATGACCAGCAGCTTTTATGGCTGTGGCTCCAACAAACATCAGCTGATACTAGAAAGCAATATTAAATAAATTCTAACAACAGCTGATCAAGTTTAAAGGCGCTTCTGCTGTTTAATGCGACCTCCGCTAGTTTCCTCTTTCTGGCGCAAAGCGGGAGATAAACAAGCAAGAGAGACGGGACTTGCGGCAGAAATGCTGATCAGCTGATCATTGATCAGTTTCATGATTGAAGTAGCAGCAGGAGAGGGAGGGGGGAGAATGAGAGAAGAAGAGGCAGCTGACAGCGTAAAGACACAGAATAACTCCAGCTTTTTGTCTTTTTTTTTATTGTTTCTGAAGTACGGGACAAATCCCGTTTATTTTCAGCTCAATACGAAACACGTAATATTAACTCTGAATACCAGAGGATTCCGTTTTTTACTGGACGGATGGCAACTCTACTAACTAACCATATGAATAAAATAAAGTTCACCAGTAACATCATATCACCCACCCAACTGTATAGAAACTCCATCATGCTAGCTAGTACACAGTACGAGTCAGCACAACGAAAATAAACTCCACCTAAACTAAGGACCTGCAGTTCAAAAAAGCGCCCCTTCGACAGCCAAACCCATCTGTCCTCTGATTGGATAGTTAAATTTGTGATTGACATGACATTGGCCAATCAGATGAAAGGAAGAAAAATAGGGTCAAAATCCGTACTTGTAACTTGAAGAGTTTCACATGTTTTTTTTTTGGCTAAGTCCACACACAAATTCTTTTTATACATACAAATCCTGATTTACAAGTACAAAACTGATTTACAAATACAAAATATTTATGACCACAATTTGAGCCCATGTTGCTCTGCTAACATTGTCTTTAACTTGCTTTTTTTTTTTTTTTTTTTACAGCACCTAAATCTCCTAATGTAGACACTAACAAAACATTAGGCTTGCATTGTATGGCACAACTTAATTTTTTCTTGGTGTACTGATAGCATGGAGTTTTATTTTTAAACATCTTCCCTTTAAAAAGTGCATCTCAGTCTTTTGTGCTGTTATATCTCTGCGGTGTGGCTAGTATGTATTGCTAACTTTTGGAACTATTGTGAGGCTCCATCATCCACCACTGTTCTAAATAAATGGTCCATTGGAGTGATTGGAGATGATGCGACTCTTCCATCCAACGGCTTTGACAAACAGAATATAACAGTTTGTTGTGATTGGCTGATGGAGAGTCTGGGACAGGCAGCAGAATTAAGGACTATGCTATGAAGGGGCTTTAACCCTGAGTTAATGAGGATTGTCATGGTTCAAAAACTCTAATTCTGTGTTAACTATCACTTTGTTGGTTAAGATGTCTGTTGATTCAGTGTTTGGGACTGACAATAATTGTAGTAGAATGAGCACTGCATACTATGACTGTGCAGGTAGTTTTTATAACAATAAAAAAAAATACTGGTAGAACTATTGTCAACAAAATAATTATTAACAAAATAATTTACAGTCACATTAATGCAATTAAGTGTATCAGAAGAAAAAAAATCATAATATACTCTGTAATTTACATAATTTACACGTTAATGAATTTCCTCATATAGCTTACAACGTCAATAAAAAAAAGAGACACTTTCTCCAGTATTATAATAATAATATTATAAAAGTCACAGACTAAATGTAGTAAACAAATGTTTCCTCTTTTGTTTTCATATTAACCTTGTATTTTCTCATTCTGCTCATTTTATAAATTGTTGTTAAAAGCAAAATGTTAAACTTCACCTTTTTTATGTTTACACAAAAAATGGACAAAGGAAACTGTACACCAACTAGGAAACATCTTGGTAGGGGGACACTGAAACCTTCCTCACACGATTAAGCTGGATCTTGTCGTAGATGGTCTGAGGCTGTAAGTGTGAAAAAAAGACATCAAATCCACAGTTACTTGGTCTGTTTTAACATTAACCAGGATTTACAAAAAGTGAAGTATAAAAAGTGGAGTACTTAATATTGAGCACAAGGTAGGGAAAAGTATACTGTAGCGACTAGAGATGGCACGATACCACTTTTTTATGTCCGATACCGATACCGATATCATAAATTTGGATATCTGCCGATACCGATATGAATCCGATATAGTGTTTTTTAATCAACAAAACTGTTTTTTAAAATATCTTTCTGCATTTTGCAAGTCTGCAAGTTCATACTCAAGTTTAAAACAACAACTACACTAAAGCTATTCTGTTATACCTGTATACAAAAAAAATATTTCATAGTTCAGCAATACTGATCAATCTAATAAACTTAGACCTACACCATCCTCCCTATTCTGGTATTTTAAAGAGTACTTAGCGTAAATATTAAGCAACCTAACTAATAGGGTTCCAACTCCCAGCAACAACATAAATAAATAAAAAATAGGGAACCACCCCTCACGCGCCACCTCATGATGCTTAATCGACGTAATCAACCTTAATTTGATGCAGTGTGAAAAAAAATGCAGAGAAATCAATTATTTTTCAAGAAATATTAAATAGATTCAACATCTTTCTTCAACAAAATTGCAGACTGCACAGATGGTACCTTCCCAAAGGAAAAAGTACTATAGCTTACTAGGGTATATATATTAGACTTAATAGTCACTATATACAGTAATTGACTTCTATTCATTTTACATCAAATTAAAACTTTGGGTGTCAGATAATTATTTATTAAAAGCTCGACATTTTAAATGAGAATAAGAAAGAAAAGTATGTCTTTGTGCCCCCTTTTCCCTGTTCATGCCCTATCGGCCCCCCTGGCTAAACTTTGCTAGATCCGCCCCTGAACAGTTACAGCCATCAGCTACGTAGAAAAAGATCCTGGTGTAGAAAGTAATATTAAATAAATTCTAACAACAGCTTATCAAGCTTAAACGTGCTGCTGTTGTTCAGCTGCTGGTTTCCTCTTTCTGGTGCAAAGTGGACCAAAAACAAACAAGAGAGACGGACTCGCGACAGAAAAGCCGATCAGCTGATCAGTTTCAGATTGAAGTAGCAGCCGGAGAGCAAGAGGCAGTCACTCGTTAAGCTTAATGTGGGAATGCTTTACAAACATTCAGAGCTGGACTTACACACTTGCTTTACTTCTCTCGGGGATAACTTTGTCGGAGATGAAATGCCGGGTTGCTAGCGAAGCTCCAAATGCTATCCAGACCACCGACAGGTCCCGCATGCCACAGCCGCTCTATCACGTGATGCATACTGCTCCAACGTGCTAACGTTCTGAGGTGAGTTACGGCGTGTTGCAAGTTTTGTGAGGTGCTTTCGTGATATTTAATGGATCGGATTACATTTTTTATTTTTCTCCGATATCCGATCCAGTAATTTAGGTCAGTATCGGACCGATACTGATACGTAATATCGGATCGGTCCATCTCTAGTAGCGACCTGACATTATTTCTCCAAAAGATATCAATTTAGTCTTACAAGAATCTCAAACAAAGTTTTGCTCTTACCCCAGGTTTAACTGCTGGGACTCTGTTATCGATGGTTTCGTACACCGAGCAAGGCTGCATGGTAGATGAAGTCCCCTGAGAGTGGACAGAGACAAGTAAAATCATTGAAAGTAAAACTTTTAGGAAACACATAATTTTCCTAACAAAACTTATGTCTGCAAAGTGTATGAGCATACTTACGTCATCATTTGTAAGCTCACCAATATCAGCATACACAGTGAGGTCATTTGTGTCACTTCCTGGTTACAAATGGAAAACCTCAGATAAACTATTAAAATATGGCACTATTGATGTTATTTTAATGTTAGCTAAAAAATGGACACAATCAAGAGTTTCTTACCAACTTGTTTTTTTCTGCAGCAACAAACTCCCACTATAATGGCTATAGTGACAAGAATCAAACATCCACCAGCTATGCCCACGAAAAGGAAAATGTATTTTCCTGCAAATTATGACATTGTTTACATTAGGAACATGCTAGGATTAAATGAACATAACCAAAATAATGCCAAGAAAACATATGCAGATATGTAGTTTTTACAAGTTCAATGAAAATTTTAACTTCAAAATTTAACCCTATATGCAACATCAACACCTACAGCGATGTGCAAAGGTCCAGAACCGTCTCTCATTTCTTTATATTTTGCTTCCAAGGAACCAGACTTTCCAGCATTTTTTAAATTGGACTTGAGCAACAATTACTACGAGTTTCTGGTAAAGACAAAAAGGTCTTTTGAAGTTTTACTTTGGACACTGGCTGCGTTTTTAAGTCCAAGATACCTAACTCAAGGCGATAACCCTGTGTTGTGTCAACACATAACTAAAAATACATAACGACAACAGCCGATTTTACATTGCACCTTTAGAGTCTTTGGGCCAGCAACCTGTTGAAAAATATACTATTTGTTCACATTTCTTTGGTTTAATACATGAAAAAAAAAAAATCCAAAGAATGACACGTTTTGACAAACAAAAAAGTATTTTTGCACCAACAAGGTCATTTTCAAAGAGCTATTAGCTGAACAGTTGTTTATATCTCAGCATGGTGTGCAATGTGTCCTTAAAAAACTGAGGAAACTGGACAAGTGGAGGACACAGGACTGATTAGTCTCTATCATGGTTCGGAGCTGCAATTGATAGAATTAAGAACACAGAAAAGTCTAGAGAACTAGTGATGAAGCCCAATTAAAGAAATACAAGGTAGCTTGCCTAGGAGAAATCAGGCTGTGTAGAAAAATACAGGTGCTGATACCCAATGTTGATGTTAACTCTGTTTTTGCCTTATATAGTGCATTTATGTATTAAATATTTATGTTTAGAAATGCTTCAAAAAGTTACTGCACGTTTCCTATTTTCTTTGCAAAATATACAGAAATGAGGGGTGAGTCAAGACATTTGCACAATCGTATGTAAACTATTTATCCTGCTATATCATTTCACAGATTTACAATATCCATGGTCATGTTTGATCTGAGGATTGCATCAATATACAGGGAGTGCAGAATTATTAGGCAAATTAGTATTTTGTCCACATCATCCTCTTCATGCATGTTGTCTTACTCCAAGCTGTATAGGCTCGAAAGCCTACTACCAATTAAGCATATTAGGTGATGTACATCTCTGTAATGAGAAGGGGTGTGGTCTAATGACATCAACACCCTATATCAGGTGTGGATAATTATTAGGCAACGTTCTTTCCTTTGGCAAAATGGGTCAAAAGAAGGACTTGACAGGCTCAGAAAAGTCAAAAATAGTGAGATATCTTGCAGAGGGATGCAGCAGTCTCAAAATTGCAAAGCTTCTGAAGCGTGATCATCGAACAATCAAGCGTCTCATTCAAAATAGTCAACAGGGTCGCAAGAAGCTTGTGGAAAAACCAAGGCGCAAAATAACTGCCCATGAACTGAGAAAAGTCAAGCGTGCAGCTGCCAAGATGCCACTTGCCACCAGTTTGGCCATATTTCAGAGCTGCAACATCACTGGAGTGCCCAAAAGCACAAGGTGTGCAATACTCAGAGACATGGCCAAGGTAAGAAAGGCTGAAAGACGACCACCACTGAACAAGACACACAAGCTGAAACGTCAAGACCGGGCCAAGAAATATCTCAAGACTGGTTTTTCTAAGGTTTTATGGACTGATGAAATGAGAGTGAGTCTTGATGGGCCAGATGGATGGGCCCGTGGCTGGATTGGTAAAGGGCAGAGAGCTCCAGTCCGACTCAGACGCCAGCAAGGTGGAGGTGGAGTACTGGTTTGGGCTGGTATCATCAAAGATGAGCTTGTGGGGCCTTTTCGGGTTGAGGATGGAGTCAAGCTCAACTCCCAGTCCTACTGCCAGTTTCTGGAAGACACCTTCTTCAAGCAGTGGTACAGGAAGAAGTCTGCATCCTTCAAGAAAAACATGATTTCCATGCAGGACAATGCTCCATCACACGCGTCCAAGTACTCCACAGCGTGGCTGGCAAGAAAGGGTATAAAAGAAGAAAAACTAATGACATGGCCTCCTTGTTCACCTGATCTGAACCCCATTGAGAACCTGTGGTCCATCATCAAATGTGAGATTTACAAGGAGGGAAAACAGTACACCTCTCTGAACAGTGTCTGGGAGGCTGTGGTTGCTGCTGCACGCAATGTTGATGGTGAACAGATCAAAACACTGACAGAATCGATGGATGGCAGGCTTTTGAGTGTCCTTGCAGAGAAAGGTGGCTATATTGGTCTCTGATTTGTTTTTGAATGTCAGAAATGTATATTTGTGAATGTGGAGATGTTATATTGGTTTCACTGGTAAAAATAAATAATTGAAATGGGTATATATTTGTTTTTTGTTAAGTTGCCTAATAATTATGCACAGTAATAGTCACCTGCACACACAGATATCCCCCTAAAATAGCTAAAACTAAAAACAAACTAAAAACGACTTCCAAAAACATTCAGCTTTGATATTAATGAGTTTTTTGGGTTCATTGAGAACATGGTTGTTGTTCAATAATAAAATTATTCCTCAAAAATACAACTTGCCTAATAATTCTGCACTCCCTGTATTGTAGATAGACTTTATAACGACTTGTTATATGTCCTACACCTGTTGGACACTACCTGGTTCTTGTTGTGTGTCTTTGCTGCACTTCACAGTTTGAAATGCAGACTTCTCACTGACATGATTGGAAACTGTGCAGGTGACATTGGTCTCTCCATCCTGCTCCCTGATGATGTATTGTTGCCTGGGACCAGTTAGTGTTTGTTTTCCTACAGTCCAGTTGTAGCTGACATCACCAGTTGTGCTGCACTCCAGCAGAACTTTACATGATTCATTTAAGGGAATCCAGGTAGAACTGATTTTTATGTCAGGCTTAGCTATGGGATCTAATGAGAAAACAGAAGGAGAGAGAGTCTGTGTCAGTTCACTTTTTGCTTCAGAGCTTAAAGTATATGTGGAGTTCTGAAAATGTATTATATAAAACTAATAATATATATAACTAACATTACAACAACAAATTCAGATAAGTACTGCTTTGCCAGTTGGTCACATCTGGTCTAAAAAAATGCAAAAAAAAAAGCTCAAAAACAAACCAAATTGTATAAACTAAATGCTTTAAAGATATATTCTATTCCAAGTTAATTACCATACCAGCTTTATTTATAAAGCACTTTAACATTAAGATCCTAAAATGTACAGGTAGCCAGTGGAGTGAAATTAAATGGCATTAATAAGCTCAGACTTTTTTCTTCCAGTTAAAAGACGCACTGGAGCATTTTGCACAACCTTCAGATGCCTAATGGACGCATCACTAGCATCACAATAAAGGACATTGACAAGATTAAAGTCAAATCAAGAACAATGATGGGTGAGGGTTATGATGAGCAAAAACAAGTAGGATTTGCTATTTGAGCAAATATCTAAATGATTTCATCTTCATCTTAATTTTCAAGTTACTAAAAAATCTGGGAAACACACAATAACAGATGTGCAGTAAAAAGAACAACAACAAAAAACTGAGGTTGATTAACCATTACAAACTGTTGCATTGTATTTCACACAGATTAGTATCAATAAACAGATATGTAGATATAAAGTTCAAAATATAAAATAAAATCATTTAATTAGTATTTTACACAATACGTATTCAACATTAACACATTAAGGTGACTGTGAAAGCACAGAAAACACAAGTTAATCAATAAAGTAATCAAGAGGAAAGAAAATTTAAAAAAGAGCTACTGGGGTTTCTTTTCATTAGGATGCTTTTAGAATTAAAACAAACAAGCAAAAAAAAAAAAAAATGTCTCTTACCATGAACTTGCAGAGTGATGGTGACTGAAGGCCTTTGCTTATCATTCACCTCTGAGACAAAAGTGAAATCACCAGAATCTTGAAGAGTCAGTTGTCTCACTGTTAAATTAAAGTCTGTGAGGTTCAGCTCTGATCTGTCCTTAAATGGAGAGTCTTTAGAAACATCCACATCTTTCCCTGCAACTGTTATTTGTCCATATCTCCACGTTGCTGCAGTCACTCCTTCAGTTGGTAAGCCTGACGAAAGCTCCACAGTATCGCCAACGTTTTTATGAATGACGCGTTTTCCACTGGAAGTCTCCACATCTGAAAAACATACAAACAACTGAGTATGATCTTCATGAAAGTTCAAAGTTCATTCAGTTAGTGAGAAAAAAAAGACCAAATTGCCTGCAACCATATCCTCTAGCTTTTGTATGAAAACTGTGATTGCTAATGCAAATATAAGACTGAAGACAATTGACATTTATGATATAAGTGACCTTGCAAAGCTAAAATTTAAATATGGCAAAAATAATTACATATGATTGCTCCATAGATGTTTCTAGGTTGTACTTTCTCTATGGACAAACAAAAAGTATTTATTTTGTAATTTTAGGATAACTAGAGCAGTGCATGAATAAAAAATGAATAAAAAACAAAAATAAATACTCAACGAAAAAACCAACTGAAGGAATCTAAAGGCAGTTGTTCATTAGTATTATTATCATTTATAGCAATAATCAATACTTTAACTCAACAATAGTCTGTGTGATTACAAAAAATGCTGCATTTTGATAAAAAAGAAAATGCTGCAAATTTGTGGGCAAAGGTTACAACTGCCCTCTGTGTTGTGAGCTCATCACTTTCGGCCAGTGCTGCAACTGGTGGAGAGCACTCAGGAAATGCTGCTGTTGCTAGTGTCATGTCTGACTCACAGGTTTTTCCATTTTGCTATACTGAGTTTATTTGTCCTTTCTAGTCACTACATGTTTTTTATGTATTTTTCTTTTCTTTTGTTTTTGTTTCTAAATAGAAGAGAATCAACACATAGATCAATTTATGTCTGTACAAAAGACTTCTGAAATGTGTCCACACCCCCATTTCAGTCAGATCAATTACTGCGTAGAACTGTACTGTATGAGATGTTATGCATAAGCATAAGAAGTATACAATAGAAAAATAAAACTTGCATTTTATACTTGAAAATACCTAAAAAATACAAAATAAAAAAATCAGGAAGCAACAGAAACAGAAATGATGATCAGTCCTTGAGTTTCTACATTTAGACTTCTAAACAGATGCAAGAGGAAATCTGAAGTAGCAAAGATGCAAACCAAACTGCCAATTTAGAAATACAAGATGTAACATGGTCAATGTTGATTAAGTTATAAATCCTCAAGTAGGGAGAACAAATTTTTAACATAACACAAGAACATGAGACTTAATCGCGAGAAACTACTGCTCTTAGAATATTTAGGTGTTGAAAAACATTTAAATTTTTAGTTATTTATTTTTTATATAAAGTTCACAAGTTCACATGATATTATAGCTTTAAAGTCACCGCTACATTTTGTAACACCAGGTTTAGAAACTCACAAGAAAAATACACTGCAAGCCTCTTCCAAGGAAGACACGTCACTTCTCAAGAGTTGAAGCACTTCTGATGTACTAACTAAGCATGTATCAGAGTTTATGAAGCAAACAAATACAACACATTAGTATTGTATTTGTGACACACATCTGAGAAAGATCTGAAAGCACAGGTGTACTTACAGTAGAAGCAGACCCAGAGAAGTAGCACAATGCTCTTAACGAAGTAGCTACGATAACAAAGTCGACCACCAAACATCGCTGTGGGGAGAGGAACAACGTCTGTTTCCTCTTCTTGTCTGTCAAACTGTGGCTTCACAAGTAAGTGCAGAGAAAAAACTGAGAGGGTGGAGAGTGGGGGGAGGTTTCAATCAACACAGAAGCAGAACAAGCGGTCTTAAACTTGCATGATATGCAGCAAGATTAATGTAGGCACGCTATTTAAAATCCATTAAAACACATTAAAACTAAATTAAACTTAGTTAAAAAAAAGATATTTGAGAGGATTTTCGAAAACACTGTTAGGAACAGTTAAGATGGACAACAGCATTGCCTATTTTTACTATAACAACATTTTTAGGTCACAGAAAGCAGCCTAAATAAATACAAATTCCTACTTACATTAAACATTAAAAATCCTGGGCCCTTATTATTGGTAGTCAGTCCTACTTTGCATTAACAGTACAAACCCTGCGTTTACTGCTACAAACAACTGTATCTAAGCTAGATGTGAAGATAAGATGAGAGATTAGAGTCCTTTTCTAATAAGATTTCTGCAAGAAGAACATAACCACATCCTGCCTCAGATATGTTACACTTTACAGAGTGTTGTCCTAAACTTTATTCACCCCAGAATAGAGGAGAACATGGATCCAGATAATGAACTGCAGAGTCCATTTAAACATTTAAATAAACCACCATCTCTGTTATGACTCAGTTTCTTATTACCACTGCAGCACCCTGTCTGTATATACTGTATGTAGACATACATACACAGTCCGCAAAAATTATATTGGACAAAATGAATAAACAATTAATTAAAGACAAATGTGTTTGAGTTCCCCTCTCCTGAACAAGTCTTATCCTTGATGAGCTGGAGATTTCTTTACAATAAGGAAATGATTTTGGTCTGGAGGAACACTGGTGGAGCTTTGTCCAATAAGTTGTGAAATATTTCAACACTGCTGCTAAGTGCTGTTTTCCTCTGCACACTGTGTAGATGAAAATATGCTTATTTTCTTATTTCCTCTGCAGGGCTTCAGTCTGTGCTTGCACGATGAGGCCTATAATAGTATATGCCTTAAGCAGAAGTTAGGGTTCTGTGGGGACTTAACACAGGAGGAAGTGAACTACCCATCATCAAGATAAAGCTCATTTCTATGCAGCCTGCTCAGAGAAATTACATGTAAAGAGGATATATGACCATGCTGACCTGCCTGGTCTGTCCTGACTGATCTGATTCGCTGCAGCCAACAAAACAAAACACTTTTCAGACACATATATATTTTTAAACACACCCAGAGACAGATGGAGTGAAGTAAGTGTCTCGATGGACTAAGATGTAGGTGTATGGACACCATCTTTATGAATTCCCCAGACAAGTGCCTAAAGAGGTTCGACACTGTCTATCATTGGGGTTTACGTCTTATTACTGCCTGTGGAAACTGTGCACATCACTGCTGTCTGTATGCTGTTGCCAAGTGGCCAACTCTGTCTCTATCAGGAGAATCTCCCATTGGTTACTTTTTATCTAGAAATCTCCTCTTGGGCTGTTTTTTTCTTATCCGCGTCTATATGTGCAAACCCCACAACCAGTATAGCCAACACTTTCACAATATAGAGAACAGCTCTCTTGGTCAGTGTTGCTGCTTTTAATGTCACTCTTGCAATGATAAAGGTTTTTAATTTTAACACCCAATACATATCATTATATAATAACAACAACAACAACAACAACAACAACAACAACAACAATAATAATAATAATAATAATAATAATAATAATAATAATGGATTGCATTTATATAGCGCTTTTCACAAAGCCCTAATGAGAGAAAGTCAAATATCACACTTGCACTTTACATAATAAGGTTGATCTATTGTATTTTTAGCTTCAGATGAGTGTACGTTAAAGGTGAGTGCATCTTAACTGCAGCTAAGCAGCCAAAGCCTGATCTCCCACAGGCAACAAAAGCACTGGTAAGCAGTTAGGGTTGTATCACAACCCATAAAGGAGAATTGCTGCCTTTGGACAATTTTCTACTTTAGTGTCAGCTTTGCGGTAAAACATAAGCACTCAAAGAAAGAGCCTGTGTGTGTGTGATAAAAAAGCCCAGAAGCGATCACAGCTAATGCAATGATTGCAACAAAATCTGTCATTTAGCTGTCCGTTTGACATAATGGCCGTTCATGAAACAGAGCAATCCACCTTAAAAGTTTCCTGAAGCCTTTCAGTAAATCCCCCCTATATTTGATTCAGTCTGACATTAGTTTATGTTGTTATTTGACTAATGTGTGGAAACTTGCCACCATAACTGTGGTTACATAACTACAGAAAAATGTCACAGCTCAGTCATATCTGTGAACTCGGGTCCTCTAAACTTAAAGTAATAGTGAGCTAATAAGATTGCGTCTTTAAATGAGTATAATTATGAAAACGCTAAAATACTTGGCAACTGTAAGATTGCAACTATGTAGCAGTGATGACTTAGGGCTGATTGCACAGACAGCTACAGTGCTTTTCTCGTATTATGATTCTGATCAGTTGGATTATTTTTATATAGTGTTAGTGCATAACAGCAGTCACCTCCATGTGCTTTAAACTGCAAAGCAAAAACCTTAACAATATAAGAGAGAAAACTTCAGCAGAACCAAACACAAAGACAGGGGCAAGGGCAAGAAATGTGAAAACAAAACAGAAGTGGAAGCAAGAGTCAAAGTCAATTTGATTTAAATAGCACATTTAAAACAACACATGTTGACCAAGGTGTTGTACAATAAAAGAAATACAAACGTAGGGAGACATGATACAAGTTAGGAGAAAGAATAATAAAATTAGAAAATTTGAGTAAGAAGTAAGATAAATGAAAGTAATACAAACTCATTCTGATTTAAAAGTCATGGAGTAAAAGTGGGTTTTCAGACGGGTTTTAAAACTGTCCAATGTTGGGGAGGTCCTGATTTGAAGTGAAGTGGAACAATTTAGGAGCAGTTACAGCAAAGGCCCAATCTCCTCTGTGCAAGGCGTTAGTTAAGTAAGTGTAAAGACAAAGATAGGAAGTTAAATGACAGAAAATGCACAAGGAAAGGTAATTACCAAAATAAAACAAGAAGCCAAAAACTCAGAAAAAGGAAAGAAAAAGTTGTGGAAACAGAAAAACGGAACAAAATAAATACAAGGGAGGAAATCAGTGAAACAGACCTGGAGAGAAACTCAAATATCGACACCCAACAGAAAGCCACATGCATTATTATACGTGTATAGAAAGTTACTCTTTATGATTCTGTATGAAGGCTTTTGCTAAACCGTATGTATATATCAATACAATAAACATAGTTTTAAGACATTTTACAATTTTTGTACTATAATCAGAAATAAGATGGACTAATATTGTCATGAGGGGGGTCTTTATTAAGAACCTGAAACTGTGTAGCTGCTGCAGTGTCTCTTTGGCCAGCACCACTGTGGTTTTCCTGGTGTCACGTGTTCATGTGAAGCAGAGAGAGCTTACCGACAATGACTGAAACTCACAGTGTGGTGTTCACAGTGGTCTCTTCACGTATGTGCACGCCATGAAGTTGAACGTCTTTTAATTTAAAGTTTTTCTTGTTTACTTCAAGGAAAATGATCTCTCTGTAAACACACTGCTGATGAAACAAAAAAAGTTTTGATGTTTCCTGTTTAAAGCGTAGCAACACAAACTGTGTGTAACACCTCCCACATCTATGCTACTGACGATCAGCCACTGATGTTACTTCTCTGTAGATCAACATCTTTATGAGTTGTGAGCGACATTGTTTTCACATGTAATCACAAAAAAACATCTGAGCTTCAGTTTCATACTTTTAAATAAATCCAGTGTTTAGGTTACTTGTGTCAGACCTCGCATATCTTTCTCTTGTAAGAAAATAAAATCAGAAAAAAATAAAACTAGCATCATTAATTTTTTTTGAAACTACAAATAGTCTGGTTTGATGATGTTAATGGCTGGAAACATTTGGTTAACAGATCCGCAGACAGATATTTCACTGGTGGTTTACCGGTATAACTTTGTACCAAGTAGAATTTTGTAGCTGCACTGACTGCATAGTCAGTTAAGATTAGGCTGGAGTTTATCACCATTACCACCATTATGTTTAAGATTTTAATTTTTAATAATATGTCTTTAGATGGCTGACAGCCTCATAGGCTGAACTGACTTGGAATGATCCTGGGAGAAGACATGTTTTCCTTTGGAGTTGTAGAGCTACGCGGGGCTGTGACCCCTTATGAAAAACAGAGGAGCTTTTTATAAATCGTCGAAGATGTCTGCTGTAAAATCATTTTACCCAGGAAAAAGGACAGTTCAAAGGAATTATTCAAAACCCCAAATTACCATGACATTGTTCACTATGATGAAACTTCTGATGTCAACTGTAGCATCAAGTAGTTCAGACATGTTTGTTCAAAGACAGTTACTGTGTACGCTCAGATGAGTCTGACCACGTCTAAATGTACTGAGGCCTCTTAGCCGCTTTGAGATATTACACAGTTTCCTGTTTTCTGAGATATGGTGAGGGGAATTGGATGACACAGTTGCTTTTTAAAGAAGTGATCATACCATAAACACTCCCTTTCCCTTCTCCATCACGTCATTTTCTATTTATTTCAAGCATTTCCCACTAGTTTGTGTATAGGATCAACTGAGCTGGTCAGCCTTTGAGGAAAATAACTGGTGAAAACCTGAAGTGTAACAGATGTGTGGTTAGTGACATTTCAAAACAAGAAGTGATACAGTACTGGTAAAGTGAGGCCGAACAATGACTCATTCAAGAAACAGAACCAACACAGGACACCCTTAAGGGCACTCCCTGAAATATTTACTGGAAAGATCTTCAGCACAAACCCGATGAGTTCAAAAGTTTGTAACAATGTTACAATAAAGTTTCCACCAAGTTAGAATTCAGAGTTGCATGAACACTGCTACAAATAATGACATAGATATTACAATACAAAGCACATTTGTCCTCTAATATTACATATTTAAACGCAGTGAAGTTGTACACTTGACTCTTGCAAACCAC